TCATGGGGCTGGCCAGGGCGCACAACTCCTAGCATTCAGACGCTCCCTCCACGGTGTGTGTGTGTGTGTGTGTGTGTGTGTGTGAGTGGTGTGTCCAGGGGAGAAGGCGATTCTGAGAAAAGGGAGAGGAGAGGAGGACGTGTCACGAACCTGCACCCTCTCCAGTTTCCCATGTCTACCTGAAAGATACTGAATTACGGTCTTATTTCTGGTATTTAGATTACTAAGAAATTCAGGATGCTGAGGAATATCCACTCAAATTTTTAAAAGTTACAGTAAGTATCTCAATAGAAACTTCTTTGGAATATTGCAGTGCAAGTCAGCTACTGATAAATTAGCACAAGCAGTCTTTGCCCACCACGTGAACAAGCCTGAACCCCCAAATAACCCCACCTACTTAGAGGAAGGGAGACAGCTGGAGTTAATTTTTAAAAGTTGGCTAAAGGTCTCTCTCAAAGCAAGGTGCAAATTTCCATCTGGTTTTTCTGGTAAATTGAGAGGAAGAAGGCTCGTGTATTCTCTGATGCAGATCTCGGTGCCAGGACTATAGGCACTTTGGCTTATACAAGATGGAACTGTGGTTTGTGGCAAAAAGTCTATTATCAGAAATCACCACATCCTGCAAATCTGCTGAAAATTTATGGATGGAGGCTCCTTTCCCCTGACGTCTGCTGGGATAGCAAAGGGGGTTCCGATGGGACCTGCACTGAGTCCTCCCAGAGGTCCCCAGGACCACAGATTCAAAGCACCCTATCATTACCCTATTGATCTCTAAAGACCACATCACCCACCTAAACTCTCCCCCTAAATAGAACATCATTTTGCATTAGTTTTGTAAGAAGGCTAAATCAAAGGAGACTCGTGGCAAAGCTTGATTTTTCTCCTATCTATATAATCGTTTTATTTTTTTGCAAAGATTTTAATGAGATAAGCAGCCTTCCGCTCCTGAATTCAAATTCCCAGGTACCTACCAGATGGGTTCCTCTGTGCAATATTCACATTCATTTTTTAATTCTACATTTCTCCATGCTTATTGTCAAATCAGTTCTGTAAAGTTGAATTGGTTGAGAATGACTCAAGTAACCAGTAAGTTTCCATCATAAATCTTGTGTCTAAGACCAGCTTCTATCTATGACATCGGCTGGGCTCAGGGCCCACCTAAACATGGCTGTAATTGCCTTGGTATCGTTAGGACTTTTGTCATCCAAATAGCAGATTTGGGAAATCCAAAACCAATATTAAAATCATGAGTGGAGAGAAGAATTGAAGAAGAATCAACACAGGATCATTGTCTTCTGGGAAAAAAATCATGTCTCTGAAGATGCTACTTGAATTTCAAGGGAAATGGCTACTGATAATGAATGTGACTTCACCAAAATCCAAATAGCTGTTTTGGACAGACAATTATATTGTCCAGACAACTTTAAAAAATTAACCTTTCATATACTTTGAAGACTGTTCAGTCTTCTGAGGAGAATTGGACTTCTGTCTTCAAAAAACATTAAAAATAATATGCTGTAACTATGTAAAGATGAGGAAAGTTAGAATAATCTCCAGAAGAGTATACATAACAGTAGATCAAATGGTCTGTACTGATGACTTATATCTAAGAAGAACTCCATGCTGAGATTGCAACTCCCAGGGTTCAGAGATGGGTACCACAACCTCCCAAGTCGTGGCAATTTCCCAGAATGACACACCCTGCATCCTATTGCAATTATAATTTCAGTTTCCATAAACAATCCACAGAAACCCATCTAACTCCTCAAAATATCTCTTACAACTGAACAGTAAACATACATACCGACACCCCCAATACTCCACCATGAAGAACTGATGGGCTACATCTTCCATAATTTTTCCAAGGAATATTGAGACAAGAAATCTTCCACTTGGGACTGATGGACAAATAGTTGGGGAAAAAAAAATGGAACGTTGTTTTTGTATAGCACTGCACCAAGATTATTGTGTGTACAAAGATGGAAAGATTTCACAGTACCGCCAATGCACGAATGGTTGGTGAAGGTGACAGAATGTGGTGTGAGATGGACAATTTGACTTGTTTGATCAGATAAAATACAAGATCTATGTTTGCTGGTGACTGGAGAGCTATTATAAATTTTTTGCATAAAGCAGAGAAAAATTAGCTTAGCTTATAACTTATGGCTTTTATAATTAGAATATAGAAAGAGAAGGGTCATAATGAAAATTCAGGGAAAGAGATAAATATATAATTGTATTTATAATTGCTGTAAAGAAGACTGGAAATCACTTCTTTGTATCTTTTGTCTTTTGTTTCTAATTTTCTTTTTCTTTCTTGAACTGTACTCCGTTTTTTATTTTCTTCCTTCTTCTTATGTTTTAGTTTACATTAATTTTTATTGTTGTTCTTAAAATGTCTAATAAAAATGAAAGTTTAAAAAATATTTTTTTCCAACAAAGAAAGAATTTATACGGAAATTAATCCAATCTATGAAAATTGTCGAAACTCCATTTTGCACTGGTGTCTAGCAATGACGGACTTACCAACACACACACACACACACACGGCAAGATTTTAAGGGGTTCTACAGTGGGTGTCAGGCTGCCATGATGATTCAGGGGAGGGAAACCCCTCCCTCAAGAGTGGAAGACCCGTGAGTGGCTGAAGTCCCTCTCATTTTGTGGGTGAGAAAGGACACTGGACACATCACGGGGGGGGGGCAGAGGGGGGGTACAGCAGAATAAGGGGGTTGCCAAGTGGCCCCTACTGGGGAAGATGAAGGGAGGGGAACCTGCAGAATCTTAAAAAACACAGCACTTTTTTTAATTACCAAGGAAAATGGAATGATCAAAATGATGATTTCCAGAATTAATAAAGAATTTAATGGCAAACTAATTAATTAGTTCATTAAAATGAAATATTTACCATGACAAATTCATTTGGTATTTCAGAAAAATGTAACAGATCTAAAATTGATAGGAGCAATATTACCCCTTGTGACACGAGCTGCAATGTTTTATCTACAAACAAGCTACCTATCATCTATTTGTATATAAAATTTAGGGTAACACAAAGTACTTAGGTTGTTGCAAAATATATGATATTCATATATGAATTAAAACAGCTCCTGAAAACTTTTATAATGTAATAACATAGACTTTGCCACCATCTAATCCCTATTTCATTTCATGGCACCTAATAGTTGATCATACTGATGAGTTTCATTAAGCAAAACCGGATCTTTTAAAAGGTAGCAAGTGAAAAAACAAATGTTTATTTTTTTTACCATATTATCTAATTAATACTTGGAGACTATAGACAATAAATTCAGTTTCATGATTTGGTTGAATTGTAGGTATCTATTAGGCTGGATTGCTAAGATTAATTAATTTCACGGAAGGCTATAATTTGCCATTCTGAACCAAGTGCCCAAGAAAAATCGTACAGTTACTGCAAAGGATCTCTATAAGAACCAAAGTATGTAGCCTGGCAGAGAAGACAACTGCCTCAGGCTTCTCTCAACAAGATAATACACGAAGCAACCCAGCGTGGGATTTTGTGGTGCTTTCTGCAGTCAAAATTAAAGCAAGGAAGGCTTAAAGATATACCTGCTTCCTCCAGCTATTGCTCAGTACTTAGCAACAAGCAAAAACAGCAAAATAAAAACAAAAATCCATAGGGGATGAGAGCATTCTGCTTAGACACAAAATATGAAAACTTTATTAGCAATTATTTAAAGTATCCTCAAACTCATAGGGCTTTGTTTAGTTTTGTTCCCATTTGGGATAATTACCAAATAGTTCAAAATATTTCTGATCTACTTAAATATTTTTCTTTTCTAATATTTGATTTGTTGCAAAGCATAGAGAAGAGCTTGCCAGATTCACACATGGTCCCCAAAGTGTAGCATGATTCAAGTGTTTTTAACTTATAACTAGGGAACATAGCCACTATGGTTCATAAACCTTGGTTTATGCCCTGTGGCATAAACTAGGACACTGTGACTTAAATTCAAAAACCATGCTTAAGCACACCATGACTTAGTGAGATATGTAAACTTGGTCCCATCCGCCCGTCCATCCCAATTTACAGTATATGGCTGCCCATCTATCTAAGAAACTCTGGGCAGCAACCAAGAAATGCAAATAAGGTACTCTAGGATCACACTCATCCGTTTGGTCCTGAGGAGACCGAAAGTATTTGCTTCCACACTTAAATGTGCTAGTCCAAACTGGAGGACGCTAGTGACACTCTTTGTGAAAAATGCAGTATTGTACATTTGGTCCTGTCCTCTGTTTAAACTAACTAGGTTCTCCTGAAATTCAGACAAGGAATTCTGAATAGTCACAGATGTTCATTTTTTTCTTTATAGGTTTTTCAGACCCAGGGAAAATATTCAAGCCCAAAGTTGCCACTATTCATGCCCGATTAGTCTTTATCCTTAAACTGCCTACTTAGCAGCCTGTCTTTGAAAACTAAAACAACAAGCATAACAATGACTAATGGTTTTCGACATTGAGGAGGCCGCGAGGTCATGCTAACCTCTATGAGTTGGCTGGCATGTAGTTGGGGCCAAACTAAATGGGACACGAAGGGCTTCTTTGCATGTAATCCCCAAAATATTTAAGATGGGGTTAGGGAAGAACAGGAATTAATAAGGTTCAAGCAGGTCTGAAGAAGACGGAAAGTCCTTCCTCTCCCGCAACCAGTATCTGCGTTATGGGGAAATTCCCGTTCAGTGTGAAACCCCTGAGCTGCAGTTCACCAAGAAGTCCATCTCCTTAGCCTACGGACAATATCCAGGCAACGGCTGTTCATCCCACCAGAACCTTAAACAGCAACGGTCCCTCTCCTGGGGATTCAAGGGGCCATAAAAGCTTCTGGGCCATAGCAGAAGACGGAATGGTTTGAAGCCTTTTGGGAGTGAGGAAGAACATCACACTGGCCCTTTCTTTGCAAAAGGACGCCAAAGCTACGTGTTGTTGGCCCCACCGGGTGCTTCTATCGCCTGGCCTACCTTCTCTTGGTTGCCCTTATTCCTGTAGCATAAATTTCCAATGAGACGAATCAGGTGTGATTTAAAGCCCACAGCTGGATGGGAAATTTCTTCCTGCCCTATTGAGTAAGTGACGGTGAAGATATTTGTGCTCTGCTTCCCAGCAAGATGTACAAGCTTCAGAAGGCCTAAACAAAGAAAATAATTTTTGCAGGTAGCAACATCAAAGAAAATCAATCTGATTCTACTTACAGTTCAAAGAAACACTGAAACGGTCTCTTTCACGTAAAACAAGGAGGGGGAAAAGAACCTGGGCTTCCGGGGTGACTTGCAGACTCAATCACGGAGGGAGGTTACACATTTTGAACTCGACAACTGGCCTTGTCAAAAAGGAGGGGCAAAGTTCTCCAGTGTCATTTCAGAAGTAAAAAAACAAAACAAAAACCCAACAACATAGAAAATACACAGCAAGACAAAAAGTAAGAAAATAAAAACAAAAATACGCCCAATAAATTATTTAAACGTCTAAATGTATTCCTGTTCTCCTCAACATGAGTTCCGGTCCTGCCTTGGGCACGAAGCCGGCCGAGGGCCTCTGGGACAGTCCCTCCCTGCCCAAGGAAGAAGGCAAGGGCAAAAAACACTTCCGAAGTCGAGCGGAGGAAACTGCAGAGACCAGCCTCGGCCACGTCCCCAGGAGTCAAGATGGACCGGAAGGCACGCACACGCACAGATTCTCCCCCGCATCAATGGGAAGAGCCAGGCATGCCCGGACGCTGGATCCCCGTGACTCTTGTCTCCTGCTTTTTGTATTCTCACTACTTTCAAGCACAAGGAGCAGATTCCCACGCAAGAAAGTCTCCCGCATAAATAAAATGCAAAGGATCCCGGCTACTTTATGGCATGCGCAAAGAGGATATTAGGCAGAACAGCTCAAAAGTGTTGCAAACAAAGGGGCAGAAATAATGTCGCTTGCTATCGTTCAGTACAAAGGGTCTGTACTGAACTTACGACAATTGAGTCCAAAATCTAGATTGCTAAGAGAAACATTTGTTAACTGAGTTTTGCCCCATTTTATGACTTTTCTTGCCACATTTGTTAAGTGAATCACTGCAGTTGTTAAGTTAGTAACCCAGTTGTTAAGTGAATCTGGCTTCCCCCGTTGACCTCAGGTTGCAAAAGGGAATCACGTGACCTCGGGTCACTGTAACCGTCACAAGTTTGAACCAGTTGCCAAGCATCCGAATGTAAATCCCGTGACCGTTGGGGATGCTGCAACGGTCATAAGTGTGAAAAAACAGTCATACGTCGCCTTTTTTTCAGTGCCGTTGTAACTTCAATCGGTCACTCAATGAACTGCTGTAAGTTGAGGACGACCTGTATTTACTCCTTGCACCACTTTATTTTCCAGCGAAATTAAAAACGACATTCTCTTTCAATTACACTATTTTGAAATCATAAAAAATTCCCGCTTACCGAGAGCTACTTCAAGCAAACCGGGACAAGCCTGCAAAGGCCGCGGTTCTCCAGGACTTGATGTCGCTTCACAAAGAATATCAAGGAGACGGGCTGCAACCAGGGCTTCCTGCGGAGGAGAGCCCACGTGTTTGAAATCAGATAATGCACTTCCATGATAAAACATCAAACTCTAATTAAATGATCTACTTCAACTCCTGCTTGACATTTAAATTCAGCAGGAGCCCTTACTGAGCAAATAAGTAGCAGCATATCCTATTCTAAAAGAAAAATATTCCTAATATTCGACACAGACTGCCACGGATGGCAGCCCACCTTCCAGTGAACGTCATTGGACGTCTATTCCAAGTGAAAAAGCACATTCTTGAGGATAAGGAAAGCCGAACTGCCTCTTAAGGTACAGGCACGGGGGGGGGGGGAGAGGGAGGGATGGGGAAAGGGAGAGGGAGGGAGGGCCGTCTCCTCGCCTCTTAAGCACATGGACTCAACGGCCTCTGGGCATTGGCCCCCCCCATGGTCAGAACGGTTCACTGGGGCAAAAACAGATGATGCCACCTCTGACAACTCCAGGTAAATCCATGCCACTCGCTTACCTTGTCCAGGACTGTATACAGGTAGTCGCCAACTTACGATCGCAACTGAAGTTGTTAGCAGAACTATCAACATTTATATTAATATTAATCTTCTAATAATTATTAAACTGGTACATTAAAGAATATTTCTGAATGAGAGGGTTTTTAAAAAAATATTTCTGTCCATCCAGTATTAGAATTTCAGAAACAGGATAAATTCTCATTTATTTACTCAACTGTTAACTCATTCTTGGCATTGTCAAATTCATACCTGGACTAACATATTCCAATTCTATCAATTGCCAAATTATCATTTGCAGAAAAAAGATTTTTAAAAATAAAGGCTGAACTTACAGAGGCTTATGCTACAGTATAGCTTTTATCCAATTTTATCCAATGATTAAAGTCTTTTGTTATTAAAGATTTCAAGAATTAACTTGTGACTGATTAGCTAGTAACTAACCAAAAGTTAATTCCAACATTTTTTTACTTAAGAAGACAGGTTATGCAACTAGTGTGTGATTTGATTAAAATATTGCTAAATTATACCCATTTAAGCATACGGACAGCAAACGAAGTGACAACCTTTGGCCTTCCTGGCAGTGCTATCCAATGGGGGCTGGGGTGGAATGTCAAGATGGCAGCCACAATCCCACAACCAGAACGTCTGTCCTTTTTTATGAGTCATAAGACAATAAAGTGTCAGGCCCTGGTTCATGCAGTCACACCTGCCATCTCTGTCCCCCCCCCCCAGTGTGGGTCTTCTTCTGACCTTTTCCTTGGCATTTGTTGGTTTCAGGCCCCCCGCTGGAAAGCAGCAAAACAATTTCTCATGCCTTGCAGTAAACATCCTTACAACTGATGTGCATTACTTTGATACTTGAGTCGACATGAGGTAGTTTTACTGAGCAAATCTGTCCCCCAAACTGATGGTATGGCAAATCTCTCACTAAAGGACTTGTTTTATTCACACCAGACTCACTCTGGCTTAGACACTGTATTGTATGTAGGTAAATATGTACAAGGACGTTGGTCAAGCCTCTTCACATTCCAAGAGAAGAAAGCTCCAAGGGGAGAGAAGACTGACAAAATATTTGTCCACAAAGTTTGGCTGGTGTGGTGTGCAGGGAAGCCCTTGAGCCAGGGATGTATGTCCCGGGGGGAGGCGTGATGGTCAAAATCTGTAAAGATGGCAGGTGTGACACTGTGACTGAAAGGCTGCCCCTCTGCTGTGTGGGCCCGTCATGGTGCCAGAATCTGTGCAGGTGCCCCAGTGCAGAACTCCAGGCTGTATTTTACAATTCACCTTTTAATGTAAGAGTGGAGAATTTTACCTTGTCCTCATTTGTGTCAGAAAGTAATCTTAGCACTGACTGACACTTCTCTTCAAAGGACACGGCAAGAAAAGTGGCCATCTCTTCACCGATTAGGACATTATTTTCCTTCATTTCTGACAGAATTAATTCTAACAATGAAGTCCTGGGGAAGAAAAAAAGGAAGTGTTACTGATCACAGTTACAGAGATTGAGGTACAAAGTCTATTTGGATAGTCCTCAGTCTAGGACCATTCGGTCAGTGACTGTTCCAAGTTGTGATGGTACTGAACAAATGGTTGTTATAGCCAGATTTCAGAGTTCCAGCCATCCCAGCGCCTTCATGGCCATGTGATCATGATCTGGGTGCTTGGCAATCCATTTGCCCTTAGGATCAGCTGCCAAGTGCCCCATGATCACAGGGTCACACCCGCAAGCTTCCCTGGTGGCTTTCCCAGAGGTCAGTGAGGAAGCCAAGAGGAAATTTCACAAGTCACTGGGTTAAATCTCTCCCACCGGTGCATCCTCCCTCCGGCCCCTCTATGCTCACGCTGCACCAACCACCTCTACTTACACCATACCTCACGTACACTCCCCGATCACATCACGTTTCTTGCGGACCCTCCCTGACCTGTGCTGTACGTCACGTACACACTTGCATCCTCCCCAATCCACACGGTACCTCTCTCATACCCTCCTCACAACCTCCCAGACCCACATCTTACACAACCCCTAGGGCAGGGGTCTTCAAACCTGGCCCTTTTATGACTTGTGGGCTTCAACTCCCAGAATTCCTCAGCAAGGCATACTGGCTGAGGAATTCTGGGAGTTGAAGTCCACAAGTCATAAAAGGGCCAAGTTTGAAGACCTGTCTTAGGACATCCTCCCTAACCTGTGTGGCAAGCCGCACAGCGCCTCTCAAGCACCCTCAATTCCAGGGTGCAGCAGACCTTCCAGTTTGGCACCCGCCTGGTGGAACCGTGACAGGTCTCAGGGATTGGAACGGAAGCCGTTTGTCTACCATCAAGGCCTTGCCTCAGAAAAGTAAGCCCTTCTCAGGAAAGGAACCCTGGTGGCGCAGTGGTGAGAAGGCAGTATTGCAGGCTGACTCTGCCCACAGCCTGGAGTTCTATCCTGACAGGCTCAAGGTTGACTCAGCTGTCTGTCCTTCTGAGGTCGGTAAAATGAGGACCCAGATGGCTGGGGGCAGCAGGCTGACTTTCTAAACTGCCCAGAGAGTGCTATAAAGCACTGTGGGGTGATACATAAGTCTAAATGCTAAGGTACCAGGAAAGAGAGACAAGAATCCCTAATAACAATTCCCCCCACCAAGTGAAATGGTTAGTTAGAACTAAGAGCACAAAACTAGATGCTGGTAGAACTGGGAGCTGATCAGCAGCTACAAGAAGACTGTAGGAGCATTGCTGGCTGTGGAATTCTGGGAGTTGAAGTCCACATGCCTTAAAATTGTCAAGGTTGAGAAACACTGGTCTAAGCAGAGCTAAGAGGTGATACACAACCTCAGTTCCAATTTACATATGCTAAAGAACAAATTATGGCCCCTTTTAGTCTAGACACCTTGAGAAGGAAACCTCTTCTTCTTTCAAACATTTCTGTGTCTATTATATGACATCATTTTTAATATGCAATCCTTCCAGCTGCTCTTTCCAACCTAACTTTCTACCCACAAACAAATTGTAAAGTGCACTGGGAGATGTCCATGGCAGCATCTGAAAAGTGGAGGATCGATGTTCAATTTTATAATAATCAGAGAATTCAATGTTTTTGAAACTTACTTGAGTAAAAATATAAAATTTCTAATCCAAAATAATTATTGTATTAAAATAATGTTGGGAGTCAGGTAAGATATAAATTTTAAAAATTATTATGATAACTTTAGGAAAATTTCTATTTGCATTGTCTGGTAGTTTCGAGGAGTCATATTGTTAATAGTTAACTTTTGAAATAGGTTTTTCTGCGATGAAAGAAGAACTATTCTGCTGTTATCAAAAGCTTAATAGGCAGGTTGGCGTATATATTCCTTTGACAGCAGCTATGGAGCCATTGGATAATACTGGTAGCCCTTGTTTGCTACTGTCATTGGGACCAGAACCAAGTATAACTATTACCCAGTCTACAAAAAAAGCAATTAGCAGAGCAAGTTTTTTAAATGTTTTAATGAAATTACATTAAAATTGCCTCCGGAAATTGTGTGTGCTCCATCACTAGAGGTTTTCAAGAAGAGATTGGAGAGCCAGTTGTCCAGAATGGTATAGGATCTCCTGCCGTGGGCAGGGGATTGGACTAGGGGGCCCCCGAGGCCCCTTCCCACCCTGTGATTCTGTGTCCTTGGCACCTAGTCTGTAACGAAGCAAGCCAGCCTGCCCAGAGAGCATCAAGGGCGCCGTTAAACGAGATATTACGGTTGTGGACTACAGTATCCATCATGAGAGACACAAGCTACCACTAATTTATAACTGATGAAATTTCTGCGGTGGTTAGAAAGTCCCAATATTCAGAGAATACAGATTCTTTTTTTTTTTTAATCAAAATAAATATTTTAACAGAGCAATCCTACTGAGCACAGTAGGGAAATCTGAAGTGAACCAACCCTTCCATCAAAGGCCCTTCTGGGTTTGTGCTGGCACGAAGAAAGGAAAAGTAGTATTTTCCATCCCGTCTTTTATGTTTCGATTTGTTTGCGGAAATATTTTCCCTTTCACTGCAAGCAACAGGAGCGCACCAGCTGCAGAACCAGCCTCCAGCCCTCCTGCTTTGTCACTAAGAGCCCATCAGAGCCGGTCCCAGTCTGCCCAGGCCATTAGTCCCGATTCCTTTTTCAGAAACTTTAACCACGGCCGAATCTAGCAGAGGCATATAAGGGGGTCTGCGCACGGACTTGGCCTCAGGGCGGTTGCAACACTCCCTGCAGAGAGGAAGCCAAGGGAGAGGAGGCTTATCCGATGGCGTCCCCAGCCACGGAGGAGGCAGAGCGGGCCTCGTTGACTTCCGCAGGGAGAGTCCTGGGCAGGAAGGCTTTCGGGCTGCTTCTTGGGTGCCTCAGATGAGGGTGTTCCTGAATGGGCAGGGCAACGTGGCCAGGGAAGTGCTCAGGCCTTCTAGTCCAAGCAGTGCAGGATATTAAAGATAAGACCCCACGCCTGGAGCTGCGCTCAGGTTATCCCCAATGTATCCTACGGGGTAGTTGCATAGACCAAGGAACAAAGATATGCTATAGACTTTCATACCGTTTTTAAAAATTTAATTATTCGGATAGTTAATACTGCTAAAAGTGTTACATAGTACGATTCATCATTTGGGATTCCTGTGTTTTTTACCACTGGCACAAACTAGAAGTGAAACCAGCATCTGGACAGTTTGCAAACCCTGCTTTTCAGTAACCCTGCTTGGAAGCTAATCACTAGGTTATGATGCTTTTCTATTTCGGTGCATGCCATTTCCCCGTTATGTGCTAATCCTGGTTGAAATCTGTGCACTCCTACTGAACAAGTCACACTTTCCATTCAATTCCTTCAAAGTATAATCACGAAATACGGATGGGTAAGGAGTAGGATCCCTATCGTGCTTTTTATTAACACTGGTTTGCGTTGTGGGGCTGCCAAAAAATAAGTCAGACAAAAATACGATCGTGTAGATTACTGTTACCCAAAATATCCCGTTTGAGATTTCTAATCTTCTTCACTCCGCTACTCAGAAAGGGCCAGCGTATCCTCTGTCGTTTCATTTCAAGCGCTGGCTTGTTTGTAAGGAGGCATGGCTGGTGGGGCAGGGAGAAAAAAATGCTCATCTTGCCCTTCGTTTGGCTGGAGGGTTGAAGGTATCTGAAATGATCTGGTAGATACACGCTTTGCTGTGTTTGTGTGTGTGGGGGGGGGATTGTTTCTGCCTGCTCTAGCTACGAGATGAGAGGCTACGTTGAGTCATTCCGTACAGCAGGGCTCGGTGTTCTTATGCAACTGGGGCCCAAGTGGGAAGTCGTCTTCTCCTCCTTTATTCCCAGCCTGTGCAGCCCTTTAGAAAGTGAGGGCGCCAACCTGGATTCTGCAACTCCTATCCAAATCCTTGCCAGTTGCGGCTGAATTGTAATGTTAACCAACCAATTTAAAACCATTACTGACACAGAAACATGTATTTAGAGATTCCGTGCCAACTATAAAACCACACCGTGTTTTTTTTCCCCCAAATCATGTGAACAGGATACTCTAGATGGTATGCTAACTACTAAAACCCACACTAGTTTTGGGGGTTACCTTTCTGGATCGCTCAGTTTGGCATAGAGGGCTTCGACCAACTCGGGGCACTTCAGCAAATGGTTGGTAACAATCAAGGTCCTGAAATTAGGAAAAACACACAAAAAGTAGGACATATTGTTGTTGGTTATAAATAAACAACAAAGTTGGGGTCTTTGGGGGTCTTATCTTTGACGAACAGAGGCTTAAAAGATGGAACTCAGTTACGTCCTATCCGTGTAACATTTTTACAGTGCCTGAGCTAAGAAGAATTTAAAAGAAGCTGCAACTTATACCCTCCAGATAGAAGGTTATCAAAAGCTAAGCAGGACCCTTTGTTACCATTCTGAAAAGTTGAACACAATACACACATCCATTCCAATTCTGGGCATCTTCTAGAAGCCTGCAGAACGCTGAGGGCAATTTTCAAGCTGTGATGTTCCTGCAGTTGTTTGGTTCGCTCAGGATTAAGACACGTGAAAAGAACCATAGAGCAATAATTAACGATTTTCTCATCTTGATGATTTAAACAATTCCTTAAAAAAAGAAAGGAAAGAAAGAAGAACAGTCACTGATGGCAGCAATGGTTAAACTATAATATTTTCACAATCAAAGTTATTATGAAACGTTTTGACAAATTCAGAGAGATGCAAATAAGGATAATGAAAATGACTGGAGGCTAGGGAATTGTCAGCAAGAAGAAGAGACTGGGGGAAGTGGGAGTATTTAGCAGTAAGAAATAATGGTTGAGGGCAGAATAATGATTTATCTCTTTACTAGGGTTATCCATTGCTCCAATCCATACCGACTCCGAGTGTTTCACATACCGTACTTTTAAAAATACAGTTAACAAATATGCAAGTATCAATGACAACAGAATTCTATAGCACAAAGCACAAATTAATTGAGATCAACAAAACAGCTCAGTTTTAACCATCCACCAAATTATTAGAGGGACTAGTTCACCGTGTCTCTGCTCCTAAGGCCCACTTTAACTGCCTTTTAAAAACCCAACAGACCCTGTAACAGTTCAACACTCCTGAAGTATCTGAAAAGGCGTTGCTCCCGAGGACAGGCTGAGGAAGAATGAAGTGGCAGCAAAGTAGACACCTGCACAGCGCCCGCTTGGGAGAGCTGTCTAAATGCACCGGGTTAGAGGCCTGGAGACGGGGCCTTCCAGTCCTGCCCTAGAAAGGAAGCCAGTCGGACGGTGTTGAACCAATCTCTCTCTCTCCCCCCCCCCTCCCTCTCTCTCTCTCAGCTCCAGGAAGAAAGCAAGGCCACCCCACTTCAGAGAAAGCTGCTGGGCTTGTCTAGATAGTTGCCTGGAATCAGTATTGACTCAAAGGCAACCCCAAAATGTCCCTGCTAACCAAGTACACTTGCTCCTTTTCATCTGCAAATTAAGGCTTTAAAAAAAGACCCTACTTTCTGTTGACATTTTTACTTATTTATTTAGTCCAGTTAATCATTGGATATATCCAAACCTGAATGAATTTCAACTTCTGCTTCTACAGATGACAGAAAGCAGATTTTGCCTAAGATGGAGAAACCACCTACCTGAATTTGATTAAATATAAATCTTTAAGCCACAAAGAAAAGATGATGGTCCTGCAATTCAATTTAATCCAATTTAAAAAAGAAACTCTCGTTTTGACTCTTTACGTTAGCGTGGAGGAAGAAAGCCACAGAATATAAATCCCATTCCCTTATTCCTCCCATTTTTTTTTCTCCAAAGAACTTTAGGACCTGCAACAATATCAATGAAGCTTAACATCAAGCACAATTAAAGTACTTTCAAGCAACTTTACCCTTTGTGTGCAGATGCTTACAAGAAAAGAGAAGGGAAAGCAAGTTTCCATATTGAATTCTGGGAGTCACGGTTCCCTGTTGCAATATTTCCAAGAAACTGGAGGCTACAACGAAAAGCTAGAAGAGATAAAAAAGACACATGTCAAAGAAGATAACTGTTTATATTAAATAATTCTAAACACGTCCCTGATATTAAAAGGGGGGTTATTAGGACAGCCTGGCTAGCTTCTTCACCCCATTTACCAACCATGAGCCTTTTGTCTGTCAACCTAGAAGCCAGTTCATCAGCCATGTAATGCACGGAGTCTGCTTTTATATTTCACGAATTATACGCCTGTCCTTTTCAGACTGCCTCTTATGCTCCTTCTTCACTCGCTGCCTCTCCTTCCTTCCTTCCTTCCTTCCTTCCTTCCTTCCTTCCTTCCTTCCAAAGAAAGTAGAGGGTGGACTCACTAAAAGGGATAAAGGGCAACCCACTTTAAAATAGAAATACAGTCAAGAATTGGGTTCCATTATAACAATTCGAAGCTAATGCTAGGAGACTCATCAAATCAGTGCCCACCTATATGTGGGATTACTCTTGAGAAGGGGAGCCTTGCAGATCTGCGTTTTGATTCATGCAAAAGCTGGCCCCAGAATACTCCTAAATGGCTCCATTTCTCAATGCCTAGAGGAAGAACTGGGAGCTGTTCTATTTCAAATATATGCTCTATTTCACTCTCAATAGGTGCCTCTCTAGATGTGCGCAAGTACGTTTAAGTAATGCTAGACTTATTTAAAATTTATGTTAAGCAGAAGCTATTACTGCTGATTACCCTTAAGAAAGGTATTGTCTTAATGTGAGACTAGGTTGCAGAACAAAGGGTTTACTTGCTGTTGCAAAACAGCATCGGAAGTGACTCCTTTTTCGTTGAAAGGGAAACTTGAAAAAAAATCTCAAGTTCAGCCAGGTAAGTCTATACATTGCATAAATTGCCATTTCCTAAAAGTTTGACCCCCGAATTTTTATACCAAGAATTATTTAAATCAAGCACATGACAGAAGGTTGACAGTTATGGGGACTTGAACAAGTGAGCAAAGAGACAATAGAAGGAAAATACAAATCCAACACAGGAACAAGATTATTACAGGCTGCTGTATGGTATAAAATAGCAATATTTCAAAAGGAAAAATATTAAAGTCACTCACTACCCTCTTTATTTTTAGACAGCTTGGCAAACCGCTGCAATTTGCAGTCAAGGAACTCAACACCCTCAGATCTCCATACAAGAAAATTGAAGCCAGCATGTTCCATTGCCAGCATTTGCTTTCTTTCAAATGCATCCAGTATGGTAGTTTTAGATATTACATACATTATATAAATCTTCCTCTCTGTATGATTTGGGGTTTTTAAAAAATTGATTTTCGGTGAAACACTTCATCCAGTGGCTTTGATCAACAAAAGGCCAATAGATTTAAAATTAGAACAACAACAAAAACTTCTAGAAATCAAACAAACAAAGTTTGTAGACATCCACAACATTAAGACAAAGGGCCTTTCTGGAAAAAAATCAATCAATTCTCAGTTTAAGAGCTGGCATTTAAACATACCATTACCTATTAAAATATAGTTAACCAGATATTAGGAAAGCAGTTGGAATGTTGATTGCCAGGCCCTGAAGCAAACAGAAAGACAATTTAAAATTAGGGGAACAGGGACCCCCCCCTCTCTCTCACACACACACACATATCAAGTACTTGGTTTTTCTTCAAATAGTGATGCCCCTTAAAAACCTCTAAAGTCAACTCTCAGAGTAATGAGGAACATCTTCCATCTTCATGCACGAAAGAATGGATCCTCAGTGTATGCAGTACACCTCGTCTTTGTGGCAGGCCCTCAAATACTGGAACACTGCTATCATGTCTCCCCTAGTCCTTCTTTTCACTAGACCAGACATACCCAATTCCTACAGCTGTCCTTCACACATTTTAGTCTCCAGGCCATCGATCATCTTTGTTGCTCTTCTTTCCAGTTTCAACATATTTTTATATTGTGGTGACCAAAACAGGATGCAGTATTCCAAGTGTGGCCTACTAAGGCTTTGTAAAGCATCAGTAGCACTTCGGGTGATTTGATTCTATCCCTCTGTTAATGCAGCCTAGGATTGCACTGTTTTTTTTGGCTGCTCTCACACACTCTTGGCTCATATTTAAGTGATTGTCCACTTGGACTCCAAAACGCACATACACACACTTACATGCAGTATGAAACTGAGCATAATGTCAATATTAAAATAAATTTTAACTTAACTTTCGTTTTGTGAATATTGAGTCACTGTGTAGACAATTCTACCAATTAGCCCTAATTTTGCTGAACTTAAAAATCCCCAAAACACACATTAAACACTATTTAATTTAAGCCATTCTGGAAATTATTGAAAAACTGAGAAATGAATTCCTACAAAACAAAAAGATTCCCGAGAGGCTATCCTTCTGGTGGCTTGTTTTTACTCTAAGAAGTAATACAGCAAATAACAGAAAGCTTTTTCCAAGAAAGTCATCTCATTTGGAAAAGTTGTCCAGAACCTACATTCAATGAAGTAACATCCCTTACAATTAGAAATTCATTAGTCAGAAAAAAAAACCAGATATCAGATTAAGAAAGCACGACCATCACAGGTGAAGGTAGTCACTAACTCCGGATTATAAAACATAGCATAGAAACGCCCACTTTGTGTTTCCAATTCCAGTAGAAGCGCCAACTAACCACAGTTCATTAGATAATACGGAGTATGGATCCAATGTACAAACAAGAGAAGGAGGTAGGAATGGGCAATATGATCAACTGCTCTAAGAGGTCTCTTTTTTAAAAAGAAAAAATTGAATGTCACGTTTTAATACTGTCCGTTCAAACAGCTGCAGAATTACAATTCGTGGAACATCTTTGACAGAGGCCAGTCCTAAATCTCCCAATATATTCTGAAAGAGCAAATCACAGTGCCCTCTAGTGGCCAAAGCTCTCAACTCTCCAAGTGGTCCCAATGACTTGCAATCTGTTTTTTTAAACTATTAAACCATATAAAATTGACAATCTATAAGAAGTAAATGGGTAAATGGCCCTGTGAGGCAACTGGGGGTCAAACACAAAACCAAAGTTGAATACAGTTAAAAGACTCCATTCCCACACCGATACTTTACATGGCGTTTGAAAAAAAAACATAGATCTCCCTAAAAATAAATGTGCAGGTGTTATTATATCAGGGTCTTTTTCACTTTCTGCTGATGCAGGTTCTCCCATGCGATCTCCCCATTCCAGATATTGAAGAAATCCGCAAGTTCATACATCCTATTAAGATTTATGATCAACATGTTAAAGTATAAATAAGCAGCATTACTGAAACAACTCTTCAGAATTAGATTCCTTCAGTATTTGTACCATTTTTAAAGGAAACGATCACTGAGGTGCCTTATTTTTAAATGCAACACAACGTGATATGATGACAAGGTGCCTTGCAACAGAATGTCCTGTGGGGTAAACAGCACCATCTGCTGGCGACTCCTTAAAGCCACCCTTTACCTCCGTCTGTATATAAACAGGCGGACAGTTGGATTTTGATGACGGAATGCATGTCCAGAAAGGGGCAGAAGCAAAATTCCCCCTGCACCTTTCTCGTGGCTGTCTCACCGGGTATAGGGCTTTAGCCGTTCTAGATCAGTATTCCTCAACTTGGGCAACTTTTAAGATGAATTCTGAAAGTTGAAGTTGAACACATCTTAAAGTTGCCAAGGTTGAGAAACCTGGCAAAGCATTGGCAGCTTAGCCATTGAAACAGTCACGGGATAACTCACCAATGGCAGAAGGGAGACGAAGACGTGCAGAAGCATCCTTGATTTGCCTGTTGCTGCTTCTTAAATCTAGGAAAGCCAAACAAAAAGCCACTCTTCCACGTGGCTCAGGTCTGATCTCATTTGCCAACAAAACGTTTGGAAGAAGCGAGGGGGGGGGTGAACTTTGGGAAGCACAGCACAATGTATGCAGGAACATGTTTAATGAAATTATAATTGATATAGACTTGAATCTGCTGTCCAACCCTCTTTTTATTTCAGCTAAAATTCTGGTAGACTAGTTTGCTTCTATGCTATCACAAAGAAACTGTGTGTGTGCGTGTGTGTGCGTATTAAAAAACATCCTAACAGTCAATTAGAGCAAAATGTATGCAGATGCAGGTGATCCCTGCCATTTAATTTTCAAGCAGCAGAACATTTTACAGTTTGAAGGCCTTGCTTACCGCTCTCTACTTTCTGCAACACAGAACATACAAAAAATTTTGATTTATTGGTAGAGGCATATGAAAACAATAACTCAGGAGTATTCCAAAACTATTCCCATCAGAAATTTTTGGAGTATTTCATCCAAAAGATATTACAAAATGATGATATGAAATCTTATGCTTTTTGATCAATTACTGAGCATCTGCAAAAAAAAAACCAAAAAACTTCCATCTATCAAGACAGCGTGAATAACTGCTTCTCTCCCCACCATACCAGGCTTTGGGTTTTAATACACCAGTTCAAAAGACAATCGTTTTATGTGAACAGTGGGCAAAATGTGAGTTGACCACATTTGATTTGGTCATCCATCACTTGCCGGTTTTGATCTATGGGATATGCTGAATGCTTTGAGTTCACAATATTTGTGGCCTGTGGGTAATTGCTCTCATGGCCCATAATTTGCTCTGATTGGTACTTGAAGCCATAGAGAGTGCATATTCTCTTGTGGACAGAATAATCATTTTTTTAACAAATGCTCCAATAATGCTAGACTTTATCTAAAGATATTCAAGGCCTATAATAAATATAAAATTTCAAGGGGATGTCTTTCATGGATTCTGGGAATAACTAACAACAGTTTTCATTTGAAGTTGTGCAGTTTGATAATGACTCCTTTTTGCAACAAATTCAGGAATAACCTGGTTTGGGGGTAAGAAATAAGCAATTCAAAATAAAAGCCAAATATTAATATTAGTGGGTCTTGATAGCGATTTATAGTATTGATAGTGGCAGAAGGCAAAAAAAAAATTGAAAGAGTTTGGAGGACTAATCCAACATTAACTCAAATAAAAACTCACACATATGTTTATTCAACATTCTAATGTATAATATATTCATCACATATGCCATTATCCACAGAAATGAATATTTTAATAATATTATCTTGACAATATATCAGCTCTGATCATAGTTGTAAAAAACTGGCACCAATTCCTTTGAAGTAGAAAAGAACAAAAGCGAAAGCTGGAAGTAAATTCAGGGCTATCCATTTTAAGTAACTAAGAAAAAAATTGATGCAGGTTACATTACAGTTACTCTGCTGGTTATTTTTGTCTACTACAATGACAATAATGTAATCTTCATCAGTTTTTTCTTAGGTACTTAAAAAGGTTTTGCCCTGAATTTAAGACTAATAAGCTGCACTATTTAAAGGGAACTTCCAATTTAAAAATAATAAATGTAGAAATCTAAATTTAGAAAAACTGGCCGTTAAATATTATATATCTTGAAGAATTTAGCAGAATCAATTAGCATTTCTTCTCAATTAAATATTGATCGGTATAATATCACAGGAGATATTTTTTTCAGATATTTTTTGTAGAGAAGGAAAAAAATAGATTATTCTTAATACCCCCCAGCTCTCCTTAGGGTTCCTCTCTCCAGACAATGAAATGTGCATTTTTTTTATAATGCACGGCCGGGGTGGGCATGGCGTCACATGGCGCATCCAGCCCCTGGGCCGCCAGTTTGACACCCCTGCTCTAAAACCTTTAAAACCTGCACAAGGTGAGACAATAAATTCTAGTCCCGCCTTAGCCATGAAAGCCAGCTGGGTGACTTTGGGGCCGGTTGCCCTCTCTCTCTCTCTCAGCCAAACCCACTTCACAAGAGTTGTTGTTGTGGGGAAAATCGGAGAAATGAAAAGGAATAATTTACAGAATAACAGAGTTGGAAGGGACCTTGTAGGTCATCTAGTCCAACCTCCTGTTCAAGCAGGAGACCTTTTATACCATTCTAGACAAGTGGCTCCCCAGTCGGTATCATGTACTTGCTGTCTTGAGTTACTTATAAAGTAATAAAGGTGAGATTTAAACAAATCTAAAAAAAGCTTCAGTTCCTGGGTGAAGAGAAACCATTCAGGCTGATGGTTAACTGGATTGGTAGCATCTGACCTGAACACGGGCAGAATCTCAGTCTTAGGTCACTTGTGCGAAGGGCAACTGTCTACGTTCAAGAAAAGAGACGGCTGCTTTAAAGCGCTCCTGACATTTTAAATTGTGTAGTTACAAAAACCGTAATTTCTATAAAATCACAGGATTAAAAGGTAAGAATGAGAGACCTTTAACCAGGAAAGTTCTCCAACCTCTACCTTCACAGCACCCCAACCTCCAAGCGCTCCAAGTTACCATGGGGGGGGGCAATTTTAGCCCCCATTGATAAGTTACTAATGTAAGATAAAAGTGGGAGGCCTCAGGCAGGCTAACTGCTCCCATCGCCCTTCTCGGCTCTTCCTATAAATAACCTTTGAAAGCATCCCTGCCCTCTCCCGCAACACCGCAGCATCCCTAGATGGCCTCCCGGGGAGTCTCCAAAAGAAGGGGAGCTGGACTGGACCCTCCAGCCCCTCAGACATTCCTCAGCCCCGATTCAGCCTCCGATCTTTTGGCAGGGCCGGGCAGAACAAGGTGTGCCGTGCCCTCTGCCAGTGAGGAAGCCCCTGGCATCCCCACAGCACGGCTCCTAACCAAGAAACATCCCAGTCAGCATTCCCATAATAGGTCCCTATACATACACACAAGTGCAGAGATCCTTTTCAGAACAGGTAGATAACAAGCCATAGTGTTTAAATCTACCATTAATAAAGTTCCATAAAGAATGTAATACAGTGTAAGATGGTAATATGGTAGTTTTTAATGGGAAGAACATCACCCGGGCTGCCAAGAAATGTTTTTGTAAAATGAAGCTGGGAGGTATTTTTTCACGCCATCTCCACAACAAAATTAACATTGTGAGTGCTTTCAGAAAGGCACAACAGCTTTTAGCTGAGAAGTTCTGGGAGATGATTTGTAAGATTGTAGTAGCAGCAGTTGCCCAATGCTTACCTATCAAGAGTGATTCCAGATCATTTTCTAATTTCTGTAGCAACTGAATCACATGGATAGATGCATCAATCAGACCCAAGCTCCTATTATTAAAAACAAAAAAGGCCCATTTACAAGTGAAGAAATCAACATTAGATGCAACGCTATTATATCGACACAATATAAAACTCCACAAAACATGATTATACACAATAAACAGAAAACACAGAGCAAAGCAATCCTTTAGCATTAGCATCAAAATGTTGGCAGAAAAAATGGGATTAAAGAAAATGAGGGATTGGCTGAATGAGCCTCAATCACCTTCTCAACAAACCTATTAAATCTTACGCTAATGGCCCGTGTTCTGTGACCATCCTGGGAGCTTCCTGGCTCAGGTGGGTTTGCCAGCATCCAGGATTGAGGAGGTCTCTTTAGCGTAGCGGGAGGGCAAATTAGTGCTGAACGTCTACCTGCTGGAGTCTTAAAATTCACCCAGGCAGCTGCACAGAGAACCAGTTTAACTCTCTGGATGGTCTTTTAGGGCAGGCCCAGACAGACAAAGTTGCAATAGTCCAGCCTTGAGCCGACAAGGACACAAATGACTAGCAGCAACACTTTCTAACCAAGGGATGCAACCGGCGTACGAAACGTAATTGCCCCAAAGCTGAACTGGCTGTGTGGCCTCTTCCCTCTGTTCCAGCAGGAACGACGGGACCAAGAGAACCACCAGATTGCAAAGCCAGCTCCGAATATGGGAACGTGACCCATCCAGAGGAAGAGAGGAGCCATTTCTGGCTGCTGAAGGCCTCCGAACCCAAAGACACTCTTTGTTTGGCTAGGGTTCAGCCTGAGGCTGTTCCTCTCCATCCAGATCCTAAGCAGAGTTCCAGACGCTCCGGCCATTTCATCCTTGACCAACGGCCAGGTTCATTCAGCACTATGAAAATGAACATTGCTATGAGAGGTACAATTCACAGTACCGGAAAAAAATAGGCTACTTTGATACTTCAGACTCTCTTAGTGATTGAAGTACTATTAAAATGAAAGAGCTTTCACCAGCTGAACCAAGAACAATGTTGTCCAGAAAATGGAGAACGTCTGAAATCGGCAACCACCAAACATGCAGTTCCCAACTTTGGCCTGTTTCAGATTACTGATGAATCAAGACAAATTATAGTTATCACCACACATCAATCAAATTCTTCTCCTAGCTCATTCCCCGTGTTTTCAGTAAGGCCAGAGCTTGTATGTGTTGGAATATCTAGACATAACTCACCTCTCTCTAAAACCACAATTCTCATTCAATTTAAAAAAAATGTAAGATTTGCAGCTATTACTTGGAATTAATTTCATCCATACTAGGGGAGATTTATTTTTTATTTTGTAAGTCTCATACTACAGTATATACACTTTGCATAGACATTGTTCTTCTTGAGATTAAGAGACTAAAGATATTACCCTTGTGTGTTTAGACACACCTAAATGAAAGTAAAAAACAAGCAGTGCCCAAATGCTGCTTATTCACTCCGGCTAATAATAATTAAGTCCAAAACACCTGGAGGGCACCAACTTGCCTACCTATTTTATTTACTGAATTACTATTAACTTGACAACATAATTACTATATCAAGCTAAAATATGATTTTTTTTTTATTTTTTTCCTTAAAAAGAAAATTACAGTTTTACAGTTTGGATTGCGGTAGAAGAAATATGTGCATTGCAGACTCTATAAACCGCTTAGAGAGGGCTATAAAGCAGTGTATAAGTCTAAGTGCTGTTGCTATTGTATGGAGCAGTACTTCTCAACCTTAACCTGGCTGGGGAATTCTAGGAATTGTAGTCCACACATTTTAAAATTAAGGTTGAGAAACACTGGTATATATTCTAGTTCAACAACATGTACAGTTAGAAGATAAATGTGTGCTGTATCTGTGCACATTCAACAAGACCTAATGGAAAAATAGTAGCAAATGAACGGAGCCCTAAAACTAGAAATTTTAGGTTAATATGTAATTTCTGCTAGGTTTCAACAACTGAACGTAATCAAATCATCTTGTTAATCATTATCATGATCTGCCTTTGGGAGATAACAGCTCAGGCTCATGTAGCAGGCTCTTCTAATAATTTTCAGTACTAATTATTTGGTGGTTCATACTATGAACAGTGCCCTGAACTTGCATCTCTGAATAGTTCTACTGTACAACATACTCAGGCAGCATAAGGGAAGAAAAGAACTGCCAAACACCCAAAGGAAAAAACAGACTGCAAAATAAAGTCTAAAGTATCTTTGAACAGAATCAAACAAATACAATATTATGCCTTGGTCAGCTAGCCTGACCTATGAATTCATTCACTCACAAGGTTTCATTCTGATGCCAGAGACAAATCATCTCCTATTAATATGCTGAGAGTGGACAAAAGATAAAGTGAATTAACAAAGAAAGAGATGGATTTCAAAGAGAGCAAGTTTCCAAGTTAAATCCGATAAAAACTCAGAAATATGAACAAATGACTGAATGTAAGCATTCAAACAAAGCTATGCATGTATAGGCCCCACGCACAGGAGCCAGAACTATACCTCATAACATTTTGGTTATTTGCACACTGCACGCAAGCATTCCGAAGGCATCGAAAACATTCAGACAGCAGTTGCAACTGTGAATCTAGGTGTGCCAATGTACTGGCATCCTGGCATGTCGCTTCAATTTCATGTGAAACTTTTTTCAAAATTTGCAGGAGATCTTGGAACAAACTTTCAGTCGCTGTTTCCCTGAAATGAAAAACAAACACAAAGTGAAGGAACGGTATTATCAATGTAAACCTGTATAACAAATTTGCAAAAGCCTCTTTTTAAAAAACAAAAATTGCTTATTTTGAGGGAAAGAAAGGAGAGGGAAGAAAGAAATTTAGACATCTAGCAAATGAAACTTTTTCTGGGGAGGTTAATATTTCTATTCCAGTATCCAGAAATTCAAGCAAATTCACAAATCTCTGCTTACGGGACAAGATTTTAAAATTAGATTTAAATCTACCTTCCTCTTATCTACCAGAAACAGAGATCTACTGTACAGTGCTCTTCAATCAGCTCTGACCACACCTAGAATCACTTTGTACAACTGGGACAAATGTATCAGGCTTGCTGGCTCTCAGAAAGCCATCCTATACTAATCTCCTGATGCAGAACGAAAACTTAATTGTGAATAGTTTTTCCATCAGCCTTCATTTCAGAGTCCCATCTTTATAGAATCCAGCTGAGCCATGCCTACTAGATCCCTAGTTCCAAAAGCTGTCCAACCTGGCTTCTCCTAATCCCAGCAGCATCCTCCAAATTTATTGTAATAAAATAAAATTGTTGAACATTATGACAGAAGGATGACTGCTAGGTTCTATAGGAATCTAGAGTGTTAGCACCAATTTGTACACTGTCATTTAATTTAGGATTTGCATGGTGGATACCAAAAACCAAGAACACCAAGAAAGACACTAGAATGACAACAAACTCTGAAGACAGTTTATTAAGAAATTACTCACAGCACCAGCTGGTCCATCCTTAATCTGAGCCAAAATGGCAAGGAGTTTTCAGAATCTGATTCACAAAGGGGTTGCTTTCATTGGGAAAGTTTTACAGCCCTGTTACCTCTCTTTTCCCCTTAACCCTCAGGGATGCTTAGCTTAGACATCAGCAAACGAGGATTAGATATTAATGGTGATTATATGTATGGCAGGCACTGGGCACTTGCTAGAACAGAAGAGGAAATAATTATCTGGTTGAGATAAGAGCATAAAGTTTGTTATCTCACAATTTGCAAGAGTAAATAGAAAGAGCAAACTTATCTAAGGAGTCTCTCGTCCAATGTTAAGTGAAAAGTACAGATCAGTCACATGACAGAATGGAGCGCCAGAAGATTATGATGAGGCCAGGTGACCCAAATTTCATTAGTTGTTCCGGGGTTTTTCAAAGAGCGTAATCTTTGGATCCAAATGGGTTCACTCAACCTATTTTTACTGGCTTTACGGTATAACATTTCCCAGTAACTCTAAGTGGAGCAGCTCTGCCCTGTTTGGATTCAGGGCACAACTGGGGGATTCTCCACAATCACAGCTCCTGCTGGAAAAGAAGGTGGCAGCCGTGGCTTTTGTCCTGTATGCAAATTGCCCCGTTCCAGGAGGCCCTGCTCATGGACAATCAAGATTTAATACAGGTGGTCCTCGATTTACAACATTTGACCATTTGAAATTACAATGACACTGAAAAAAGTGCACAAATGCAGCAGCATTTAAGTACAGCTAGTCCTCATTTAGCTACTGCAATCAGGACTGGCAACTTGTTCGTTAATCAAAGTGCTTGCTAAGTGAAACTGAGGCCAGGCTTATTTTGATCTTACTTCAGGTTTGCTTTGCTTTATAGACCTGCAAAGGCCATAAATAGGAGGATTGGCCACAGTTACATCAGACATAACTGCAAACAGTGACAGTACGAGGCAGCCACTAAACAAGAACTGCCTCTGCATCAGAGCATTCCTCATCGCTCTCACTTGATTCCATGAGCTGCATTGGCCTCCACAGGCCACTCAATGTGCTGCTGTCGCCTACAAAGCCCTCCAGTGGCATCAGGAACAGATAATTTGCACGACCGCTTCCTCCAACGAGGTCCCTTCGCTGAAACTGTCGGCCATCCCAACTTGACTAGCTAGCAAAGAAAGGCTCTCTGGACCACGGCTACAAAGAGGATACTGTACTAAGCCAATTGGTTACAGCGTAGCAAAGCCAAATCTTGCCCAAAGCACCTGGTTCACTTTTCCCTTTCTCCCCCCTCCCCCCCCGTTATCTTTTGCAGTCCAATTAGATTCAAACAAATGGCTTTGGTAACAATCCCTGGCTTGGTGGGCAAGTTGGTGTTGCATTTCTTATGTGACCTTGGAACTGCCCATGGCCCAGATGGCAGGATGAGCAGTTTTGATTCCCCTGAAGCCAGCTAGCCCTCCCTTTATCTCACCCCACAACTCCTTCCCTCCTGCTTCTTAGGGCAGACTGGCATGTAGCGAAGCCTAACTGGCGCAGCAAGGCAGTCCTGACAAAAACGATGCCCCCTTATGGGACCCTGGGGGTAGGGCTTCTTGCTGGCAGCCTGTTTTCTGGAAAGGAATCGCGATGAAAAATGTCTGAAATGGTATCAAGTCTCCTGCTCGAGCAAGGGGTTGGACTAGAGGACCGCCAAGGTCCCTTCCAACTCTACAGGTAGTCCTCGACTTACAACAGTTTGTTTAATGACCGTTTGAAGTTACAGTTGCACTGGAAAGAGTGAGCCATGACTGTTTTTCACACAACCGTTAACAGAGTCCCCATGGTCACATGATCAAAATTTGGATGCTTGGCAACTGACTCATATTTGTGACGGCCGCATCCCAGAGTCATGTGATCATCTTTGGTGACCTTCTGACAAGCAAAGTCAATGGGGGAAGCCAGATTCACTTAACAACCAGGTTACTGACTTAACTGCTGGGATTCGCTTAACAACTGTGGCAAGAAAGGTCATAAAAAGGGGCAAAACTCAATAAATGTCTCACTTAGCAACAGAAATTTTGGGCTCAATTGTGGTCATAAGTCGAGGACTGCCTGTATTATTCTATGTTCTGTGAAAAGTGGTCTGCCAGAAAAAAGGCTTGCAAGAAATAGCTGGAGGCTCGACTTGTTTATCTCAGAGAAATTTAGAGTAGGGAAAACATGAGGAGTGTCTGAAGAAAGGGCATCAGGTAGAAAACGCGGCAGGAGACGGAACAAATGTGCCTATTTGATGTACTAGTTAACCAGGAGACCACAAGTTGTAAGCCTCTCTTAGGTATGGAAGCTGACCGGTGACTTAGGGCCAGTCACAACTCTCACGGGGTTCTTGTTTGGGGGAAAAATAGGAGGCAGCGTTCAAATCAGTGTCCTTCAACCCTGACAATTTTAAAACGTAATTTACAGAATAACAGAGTTGGAAAGGCCCTCGTAGGTCATCTAGGCCAACCCCCTGCTCAAGCAGGAGACCTTATACCATTCCAGACAAGTGGCTGTCCAGTCTAGTGACGGAGCCCCCACCCACCCACCCCCAACTTCTGGAGGCAAAGCCCTGTCCAGCTGGTTAACTGTTCCTGCTGTTAGGAAGTTCCTCCTCCATTGCAGGTCGCTTCTCTCCTTGACCGGCTTCCATCCGTTGTTCCTCGCCTGGACGGCCTTCGGGTGCTTTGGAAAACAGGCTGTCCCTTTCCTCTCTATGGCAACACCGCCCTCACGTCCACGCAGACGTGGGACAGGAAATCCACGTGGATGTGTGGATTTCAGCAGCCAGGCTGGCTAGCTAGGGAACCTCGGCGGTGGAAGTCCACACGCCTTACTTGTTGAGCTGGAAGAAGACTGGGCTAGATGGCCTCGGAGACCCTTTCCGCCACGAGCCCTTAATTCCACTGCCGCGCCTGGTCCACGGGCGGCCTTCGAGGCAGGCGCTGCCTCGGGGACGGGGGGGGGGAAACATCACCCGGTCCAGCAGTCACACCCGAGCTCTTCCCCGCCTCAGCGAACCAACGCGACCGACCCTCCCTCCCTCCCTCCCTCCCTCTCCAGTCGCCGACACGCGTGCGCGCCTCCCCACGTGACTCTCCGCCGACGCCGTCCTCACCTTACTGCCGCGTCCCGGAAGAGTCTCGTAGCTCGCCTCAGCGTGGCCAGCCCGTCCGGCAGCGTCGCCGGCTCCAAGGCGCATTCTGCAAGGCGCCTCAGCTCCGCCGCCAGGCCGGGCGAGATTTCTCCGCCCGCCGCCATAGCGAAGGGAACGGAACGTGCGTCGTAACGTCCGGAGTTGCGTGCTCGGGTCAGAGGTCACGAGGATTCATTTGACAAGCCGGGCGCCGCTTTCCCTTTCATTCTCATCACGGCCGTCCCTCCGCGCATGCGGAGAGAGTCGTGACGTCACGCGTGCCGTGGCGTAACCTCGTCAGTTGCAAGTCTGACCCCCTGCAAGTATCTTGGGATTCCTTGCAGACTTTGTTACCAGGTGAGATAGAAATGAAATTGCCAGTTCGCGCACTTTTGCACAGCCGCTTAGTATCACGTTGTCATTTTTACAATGATTTTGTGTATTCTATACCACTGAAAGTTTATGAAACATACAATAACAATATGCAATAAAAAGCAATGGGCTCTGAAATAATATGGAAAAGGCACCCCAAAAAATCAAAAGTCAAAAAAATAATGATGGCAGACCTGACTGTGCTGTAGTCTGTTTTTATACACGTGCACAAAACAGCGCTGCCCACAATTTTGCCTTCTAGGACCCAGCAGAGATGCCTGTTACTCCCACCAGGCTCCCTCCAGCTATTCCTTTTAAACACTCTTTACTGAAAGAACTGGGAAAGTCGACTCCCTGCAATTACCAGCTTCCAACAGCGTCCTTGTTCACGGGAATCCCCATGGGCACTCTTAGAAAATAAAAGCAGGTGGAGCAAGAAGCACCCTGCAAAAGGTGATCTGGAATGGCTGACAGCCACACGAAGAGATGATGGGGGAAGTCTCTCCTCCATGTGTCTTTTGCCAAACAGCTACTTTTTGTAATTGGCCAGGTCCGTCACTTTGCTCCCAGGATTCAGGCATGCCACGTTTTTTTATCTGATCTGGTGTTGGACGTCACCAAACAATTCCGGATGGACTAAAGGCCAATCAGATTTCTCCAGTAAGTTTCTCTCAAGACAGACTGTGCTTCTAGTGGGTAGGTGAACACATAAGTATGAATTTTTCTTGGTTTTTTTTTTCTACAAAACCCATTCGCTCCTGCCTTCTTTTGGAATGGGTTAATTCTCTGATTTGAAATCCAGGAAAGTTAAGAAGGTGCTGCCCAAGTAAATGCAAGTATGCATTGCCCTTGGTGCGAGAATAATAAACGTGACATAATTGTCACACAACAACAGGATATTTATTTCTTTAATGAACTATTGGGAAGATATGAAAGCCACATATTGTATACCTGCCTGTCTGTCTGCCATATAGCTTTTAAATTCACAGGAGAGCTGCCAAGAAATACATGTTAAATGTGTTAGAATAAGGGCAAGTCTTTATATATATACTTTTTCTATCCTTGAAAAAAGGCTGGAATTTACCAGCCTAACCCCATTTGTCCCTGCAGCTTGGCTGTCTCTAATATTTCTAGCTTTGAAAAGAATGTGTAGTTGTTTCGGATTATTTCAGTTTTCTTCAAAACAAAAATAAAATCCTGTCTACTGTTGTAAGAACTTTTAGATGGAGCACGGTTGTTAGAAATGCTAAACAAACAAGCAAGATTTCAATCAATCTGAAGCTAAATAAACAGACAAGTGCTACGATGACTTCAGGCAAAAGGAAATCTTCCATAATCAACACGAGAAATAGGGATTAGTATTGTGTGAACGATATGTAGGACAGTCATTCTTAAAGTTCAAGTTCTTGCGGTTCACCAAATTATAAATGAACAGGTATTTCATTTAATAATACATTTTTTTGTTTCTCATTAGATTGAATGCAGTTAATGAAATTCATGAATAAATGGAACTGGTTCCTTTGCAAGTATGCAGTATTTCTGCCTTCTTTAAAAAGCAATTTATCTTTATTGGTTAATTCCTTGAACTGAAAATAATAAACCACAACATCTCACTCACAAAGAGAAACAATTAAAAAAGTGATAGCAATGTCACAATATATATTATGTCCCCAGATTATGTCCCCCGCCCAAATTCAAAATGCTGTGATCTCAGGAACTCTGTCTGTGAACCAGGATCTACTAGAACACGTCGAACTCCATCAGCACAGCCATTGCCCGTTGCTGAAAACCAAACCAAGAGGGCTGCTCAAGCAAGCAAGAAAAGGTTCGGGTTCAAGGCTGAAGACAGGATGGTCCAGAAAACAGGACTCTATTGTAAATTTACTTCCTTGAGAGAAAATCGGTCCATTCATGTTGCTTAAAGGTTAATTACCCAAGGAAGAATCTGCTCTGAGAACTGCCAGCAACAAGCAAAGTGAGGCACCGGATTTTGGAGCTTTTGTTTGAGGAGGAGAAACCTCCTACCAGTAGCCATATAGTTTTCAAAAATGTCTTACTATTAGTTTTAGCCTTTCAGCTCTGTATCCAGTTTTGAATAGGTCTACTTGTCCAAAATTTTCCTTTTCCCACAAAGATGCCTCTTGAGAAGCTCTTCTCTAAACCACACTTGTATATCAAAGGCAGAAGGTCTCACTGATTGCTCTTCTGCTGTATTTCCCCTTTTGGTTGCTGGCCTTGTTTGAGATTTATTTTAGTATCCCTGTCTTTCTGCCTTTTTTAATTATTGTTTTGTTCAGGGCTGTTATTAGAAATTGGACTTTTAAATTTACACTGCAGTTCTTCACAATACATTTGGGAGTAACTATCCTCAGATATATGCCACTGAATTCAGAAGAAATTTTCTCTTGGTAGTAAAAGGAGGTTTACATTAATTTTTCTCCCGTTGAGTTCTATTGTTAGCCATCTTGGAAGTTTTATATAAAAAGAAGAATGTAGGTGACCTAGTTAATGATGCAAAGTCTGTAGCCACAAAAAGTAATTGTCCCGTTATTGTTGCATCTGGGGCTGATGACCACTGAATTGTTAATTATGATTTTGGATCAATTACTCTTGTTAAAGATGCAGGTGTTCTTCTGGACTACATCCCCAGTCCCAGTGAGACTCTTGGACCTCCTCAGGTTCACGCTGACTTTCCTGTCCTAATGGTGCATCCATCTCTACCCTTCTGCCATAGATTCAACGCAGCTGCCAATGAATTGAAGATGGGGAGAGCGCAAGGGCTTTCCAAGTTCAGTATCAAAAGGGGCGGAGCTTTGTTCATGTGGTCACACCTTGATGGTTTTTAGACTCTCCCCCCCCCCGGCTATTGGCTGGCCTACAGGGCTCAATTCTTGGCAACAAAAGCAGGTGAGAACAACAGCAATTGCGTTATCTGTCTGTCGGGTTTGACAAAGGACTTCCTTTCTGCCACATGATAGTCATGCACTTTACCATGTATAGCTCCTTGCTACGCTCTCTAGTACAGCCAATTTCCCACATCACCATCTTTGAGGGAAAAAAATCTAAATGGGAGAAAAATCAGTTCTTATATCAGATTCTACAGCAAGATGCTGTGCCCAGCAGTGTTTAAAACCAATGGAGTGGACCTCCAGCTGCAGGAAATCTGTGGAAATGTGATCCAGATAATTGGGTCACCTAAGAACGTCTGGGACTACGTGGCATCTCCTTCTAATTTCTCACTTAACAAAGCTCTCTTTGCAACAAGCTGCTATTTGGATCCATTTTCAATATTCAGAAAAGTTTTTATGAGGGAAATCGCAAACCAGGACACAAATGAAAAACTCTATTCTGTTGGCAAAGATGTTGTCCAAGCTGCACATTAGGAATAGCAAAGACAAGCTGTCCTGGGCTCCCTTAACTGCTGGCACTGAGAAATATTCGGAGTGGTCTACAGTTTCAAGTAAAATCTTGCTCACCTGCTGACCTTGACGAGCGAAGGATCTGTCACAGAGGTCCCCAGTTCCTCAGCCAGGGGCAGGAGGGGAGCAGCGTTGGTCCAAGAAGTGTGCCAGCTTTATACGTTTCTTAAATGATCATGTTATTTATCGGATTTCTCTCCCGCTTTTCTTATTAAGTCAAGGTGGCGAACATACATAACTCTCCTCCCTCTTTTTTTTCCACACAAAAACTCTGTGAGGTGGCTTGGGCTGACAGATACAGACTGGCCCACCTGTCCATTTCTGACTTAATTTATTGCTATAGGGGTAGCTCCTCAGTGACTCTGCACAGTTAGGACCGACTTTATCACTCGGATTCAAAGTTCCAACAGTTATCCCCCCCCCCAGCTTTGTGACCGAATTTCAGGTGCTCAGCAACACAGTTACTGTACATTTATGGCCATTTGCCTCAACCTGCAGTCACATGACCATAGGTTTTGCGAACCATTGGTTGACTTATCAAGTACGGTGTTTGCATAGCAACCACAGATTCACTTAACGGCCACTGCAAAAAAGTTATAAAGTCATTTAAAAAATCATTTTTCAAACATTACGGCTTACAACTATGATAGGAAGATCCATTATGTCAAGGAATACCCCTACTCTTCTTGGGGACTCACAGCAGGCAAGAGAGGGTCCCAGATGTAGATGGACGCTCATCAGGGAGAGAAGCAAGCTAGAACTAAGGAGAAATGTCCGGACAGTGAGAACAATCAACCAGCGGAATGGCTTGTCTCCAGAAGTGGTGGGTGCTCCATCAAGAAGAGACTGGACAATCACTTGTCTGAAATGGTACACAGGGTCTCCTGCTTTAGCAAGGGGTTGGACTAGAAGACCTTCAAGGTCTCTTCCAACTTTATTCAGCAGAAAAGGAGAATGGAGGAGAGGAAATAAAAGTCAGGAACATTCACCACAATCCTACATGTCCAGTTGGTCAGAAATGTCCAGAGATTGAGCCCCGCTTACAAGGAAGAGTCATTGTCAGATTAGCTCCTCTAAGGAAATCCATGCCGTCGTCGTTGCTAGGAGATCCCAGACATTTTCTTTCTCGGCCGCCCAGGGGCATCTGCAATGCCAAACCCTGGAAGACGGTGGGCACAGCATTGCAAGTGAAGCCCCCTCCCTTTCTAAATCTGAATGAACCCAGATACCTCGACACCTTTTTTAAAAAAAAAACTTTGTGGTAAAACACGTTAAAATAAATTACATTGGTTGAGCAGTAGCTAGAATGAAAATTGGGAAATGATTATTTTGTCAAACTCGGCCTGAGAAAGGCTCCCAGTTCTGCTATGTTCCACCAGCCGTTTCCGTCAGATTATAATCATCCCTTGGAGTCTGGCTCTGGCCCAGCAGGCTCTTCTGAAGGGGCCTTCCGTGGATTCCTGCCTTATTCTGCTCCTAATTAATTGATGTTCTTAACGTTCAGTTGATCTTGTTCCTTTCACTCATTTATAGGGAGAGAACAGCAAGATAACATAAAGTTGAATTGCATATAAATGTAGCTTTCTGTTGCTTGTTAATCTTCTCTTGTGGTTTCCGTCCCAAGAACAAACAAGTGCTCACCTAACTGTCTGGTTTACTCACAATCCCTCCAAACATCAGGTCGGTGTTTCTCAACCATCTGTCCCAAAGGGTACAGGGTTTCCTGCCTGAGCAGGGAGTTGGACTAGATGACCTCCAAGGTCCCTTCCAACTCTGCTATTCTCTTATGCTGATCTTGCTTTCCAGATGTACACCAGAAAGTAATATTTTAATCTGGTCTTCGTGCTCCTCCCAATGGAGTCCGAGCAAAGCCGACTTCATTTATTCTGACTTTACACTTTCAGCTAATTTAGTGAAATTTGAACACCCTCGTCCTGTACCTTGTAGAAACAAGAAACTGCTTTGGGTAGCTTAGCCCCCTCCAGAAAACAATCCTATGATAATCTGCCATTTCAACAAAAGTGTAATATGGGAAGAAAGGCAATGCTGTTTTTTTAAAGCACTGTTGAGTGTTTACTTTAAAATCAAATAATACCATTTGAAATTCCAAATAAAAAGGAAGTTTGGTATCTAAATTGCTCTACCCAAGCTCAAAAAATAGTAATATGAATTAATGATTGACCTGAGGTTTATTCATCTGTTTGCTCTGGTATTCATAAAAATGCACAGTTGCCTTAGCAACCAGTACATCATACAGATTTTCATCTATCCTTGATCTAAAGTGCACTCTCTTAAAGAAAGGCACACAGTTTCTCATGAGAACGCTTTCCCCCTTTCTCCCACCCTTGTTTGGAAAGGAAGAAGTAATGAATTGGCCATTCTTTAATGGGCCCATTTTGATTTTTTCTCGCCTCGGCAAACAGTCTCTGATGGAGAAATGTTGTGCAGTTGCTTTCTGAAAGACTCTAGCAGCACCGTCCTTCGCTTGATGTTCAGAATGTCGCTGAGTCTTCTGAAGCACATTGCCTGGACATCAGTGGACATGGAACTGAAATTGCAGTGTGAACTGGGGCCTTTGCCCGTGTTTATGGGGTAGGACTTGGGGTATGTGTTCATAGCCACCATCTTGACTTTTCTGATACACAAGGAGGCCTCTTGATTTAATCAACATCTCTTCTCACAGATGTATTTTACCTGTTTACAGCAAGAAAACGTTTGAGACACGAACTGCATTGACAAGGACAATAAGGCAGGACGCCTGAGGTTAAGCTCCATGCAATTGCCAGCACATCAATCAGCCCTATTCTGCTTTTGCCTATTCCTACAGCGACTAAATCCGTGTTTGTCAGCCTTGACAATTTTAAACTGTGTGGACGTCAACTCCCAGAATTCCATAGCTAGCAGGCTGTCTGAGGAATTCTGAGAGTTGAAGCCGATATAGCTTTTAGGGCCCCAACCTAACAGCAAAATTGACCCAGGCAGATTAAGAAATATCTGCAGTTCCCACATTCGCACTACTAGCCATTCATCTAAAATGACTCATTTTCCATTTGTGGAAGCTTTCTGCTTCTCTGTACTGACAAGAATCATTTGATTAAGTTGATCACCAGTGGATGCTTAAAGCCCCCAAAGAGATCTTTTACCTTTTTAATGTCAAAACGTATCACTGAATTAAAAAATTATGAGAAATTGTACTATGTATCTGGTGTCTCAATATCAAACTAATCATTCTTGTGGGACTCACATGTACAGCTGCCATATTTCACATATATTTTGCACAACAATAAATTTCTACTCTTAAAACTCAAACCTGCATTCATTAAATAGCTGGCAGAAGAAATAGTCAGGTAAGTTGTTTTATTGCAGAAAAGAAGGAAGTCATATATATGTGTGGGCTTCCAAAATGCTTTCAAAGCATTTTCCACACCTAAAATGTCAAGGAAGATTAATTTTTAAAGAGAAGCAAAGGAGTCCCTTATGTGAGCTGAAGACTCTGCGTCCTCTTTGAGAAGCAAACCTCCTGGGCGGGAATACTAATACCGTCAACAAGCCAGGGTTTTCTTGGAGACATACATGCGTTTTGTATTGCATGCTGAAGATCTCGGGCAATAGAGGACTCAGTTTTCCACCATACTCTTCCCTTGTTGTCCAGTGTCCCCTTAATGACATTTTCAGTTAAAAACAAAAAAAAGCACATAGGGACCTGAAATATTATTAAGCAATCCCTTGGACTTACTACTGTGGGTGACTGGAAGTAGGGGGTTCAATGCTGGTAGGAAGAAATCCTATGTGATGGAGTTAGTTCTGATTCCAGATGGCCAAGAGATTTTTAAAAAATTTCTACAATTTAAAAAAGAAATCATAGCCAGGTAAAAAGTTCAAGGAGGTGGAAACATCAAAGACAGCAAGATTCAGATCTGCAAAATACAGTCTCAAGCACTTAACAAAATAGCTGAGATTAAAACTCACCAAGAGGTTCAAGGCCACCAGACGCAAAATGTGGTCATACTGTATATACAACACAATGTAACTACCGTGAATTTACAGGTATTGATATCCTACTTCTATTTTAGATAGTTTGCTATTTGTCCTGCAACTAAGCTAGCAACCAGATACATCCTTGGAAAAGAAAGCTACCTGGTCCTTTTTCTCCACATCCTCCCCCAACCGTGAATACAGAGCTTTTGGACAATTTGTGGTAGAGTTCCGCTCTCTTCTCTTCATTAAATAGCCCATCAGAACCAATATTCTGAAACAAAGATGTGCACGTTGACAACATTACGATGTGAGACAACCCCTCCAACAACGTAGTTCATCTCCAACTTCAGGATGGCATGAAAAGGACCGATGATGGGTTTCACTTGTCGAACGACCCCTGTGAGTTGAGAAACAGCAACAATAATTAGCATCAACATTTTTAATCGCCGTGACACGATGGGCAATGCATCGGTTCCTTTGGCTAGACCGCTCTCAGCTCTCAGCGGTGCTGAGAAGCTGCTGTCCCACCCACCGGTCTTTGGTTTATGGAATGCCACAAGCTCCTTTCCATTTTCCACGTTGTTTGGGATCCCTGAAGGCCTTACTTCCCTCCTCTGTTACAAGGGAACATGGAAACCATGGCCAAGTCCCATGCTCAAAGCACAGGATTCTCTCAGTTGAGGCAGGATCCCATGTAGGGATCTGCCAAATCCTTGAGGGAAGAAAGCCGTGTTGTCCAAGGTAGCCAAAAATGCGACCTGGGCTGGGAGACCCTTGTCAGAGGGACACATTTTCCTGAAAGGCACCAGCTTTTGTGAGATGCTAGAGTTTGGTTAGGCAGTGTCACCTTATATTCTAACCATAGAAAAATGATGTCCGGAGTGGGGGCAGGGAGAAGGCATCCAGGAGGCATCCAGGCCATTGAAGTCCCATGCCAATATTTTCGGTTGCAGGAAGTCCTTACAGCCAACTACTCAGCGGATCCTTCGGAGTGGCGCAATGGATAGAACCTGCTGGGCTCCTTACGACCCAGCACCAAAGTTCCATCAGCTGCTAGATTCCCCCCGCATCACCTTCGGCGTCTCCTGTGGTCACGTGAAAACATTTTATGCTTTTGCCAAAAATCAGTGTTTACTTCTGGTTTTTGCCAAATCTGGCACTAAAGCAGTTGGTTAGCGTAACAACTGTGGAGTTCGCTTTATGCTGTGACATCCACTTTATGACAGCGATGTTTGCTTAATGCTTCTACGAAAAAGGTTATCAGATTGGGTTGATCACATGGGTGACCTGCTTTATGACTGTCATGATTTATGACTGTAATGGGCATGCTGCATCACGGCTGTGAATCAAGGACCACCTCCAGATCCTTTAAGCATGGGGGGCGTCTCTGGGAAAGGCCAAAAACTCAAGAGGGCAGCCACACCGGTGCAGTGGAGGCTCTACCTGTGTTTTATACATGCCACATAAAAACCCCAACAGGGCAGCTAAGACAAAACCAGAAAAGATTTAGTAGGGAGGTAGATTTTTAAAAGCCAGGAATGTGCTTGCTATTAACTTGGGGCAACTGTGTCAAAGTTTTGCTTTGCAGGAATTAGTGGCCTTGCCCGCGTACAGGTGGCATTAGAGAATTAGACAGAGCCAAGGGGAATAAGCCTTCTAATACCCCAGGCTTTAATAAAACCTTTTTGTACAGGCAGGAAACGAATTCTTCCCTGACAGCTGGTTAAAGAAAAATGGGGGGAGGGGAGGGGGGGGAGGGGAAGAAGCTGAATAGCCTTATAGTGGAAAGTCTGTTAAAAGGCTTAAAGAGAACAAGTGGAGGCTTTGCTGCTGTTTACCCTTCCGCCTAGATCAGCTGTGACACTTTGCAGGCGGGGATGCAAAAGCAGCCCTCTTTGCCTCCCTTAGTTTGTACACCAGGAGGCTTCGGTCAGCTCAGCTCTTGGTCCACCCATATCCCCTGATCGTAACTTCTAGGCGCCCAGAAACACGCCCAACCTTCGTCTCGGTCCACAGCTTCACCCCCGGCCCTGCTTTTGCAGCCTCCAGACCCCTCGATGCAGGACCCGAGCCTTCCCGTGGCTTCCGTGCATTTTGGAAGGCGGCCTGTGACGGACCAGCGGCATTTCTAAATTCACCCCTGGAAGAGAGGCCAGCCCCGGCCACCACCGACTGCCTCCTGCTGGCGAACACTTAAGGCAATAATTTTGGCCCTTTAAACCTCTTCAACTGGCCCACTGCAAGCGGGCGGCCCCTGGCTTCAGCTGCTGCACTTTGGGCGAAGCAGGGAAAGACTGCCTCCAATCTCTGGAGTTGGCCCTCAAGCCGCCCTTAAGGGCCTGCCTGAGAATTAAGAAAATAGTCTTTGGGTGTAAAAAAAAAAATCCACTCCAAAGAGCGATCAGAAAAGGATTTGAACTGCCTGCTTTTATACTAGAAGCTTTCTTTACTGCTTGCTTCTGTCTTTTATGGCTGACTTTTTGTTGTTAATTCTGATTCTGAATTGCTCCATTTAATGCAGCTCACACGTGTCATTTTGATATGCAGACAGACCCTTCCTATAGATGCACGCAGAGATGTTTCCAGAGGATGGTTTTCAAAAAAGGCAAGACTGTGGCCGTGACAGTGTGAACAAAGCTCAGCCTGGTTTCCATGTGCCTTGCGCGTAACGGCCCTACCCTGGCCAGCATCTTAATTATTTTGCCCATACCCAGGGGACATGCTGGGCCTGTGTCCGGAGCTGGACTCAAGTCTGCTGACCTGGTTCTATGTCTGCCCCATTTTTACAGAAGTGTTTTGTGTGTGTGTGTGTGTGTGTGTGTGTGTGTGTGTGTGTATTATAACTAATCAACCAAGAGCCATACTCCTGCGTGATTTGCAAGCAAAGGAAGTCACATTTGATAAAAAGTGACTTGATTTTCAAAAGTTTGAAGTGGAAAGTAAAGTTTAGCTGTCACATCAGTAGCATGGTATGTTCACCTTTCTTTTATAACCAATATGTACCAATCAGTGTTTCTCAACTTTAGCAATTTTAAGACGTGGGCATTTCAACTTCCAGTTTTCCCTGGCCAGCATCCTAGCTAGGAAATTCTGGAATGAAATCCATGCATCTTGAAGCATGTTGTCTGGGGATTTCTAAGAGATGAAGTCCATGTATCTTAAAGTCGTCAAGGTTGAGAAACACAGGTGCAACTGTCGCTAACTCTACAGGCTACAAAGAAGGCAAATTCAGCCTGTCATTGACGTGACATCCTGGAAATGTGGACAAGGGCAAGGGCACATTGTTAGAGAGGCCACAGGAAGATAGCAATGCACAGCTCACATAAAAACAGGGGCTATTATAAAGAAGCCCCTAAATTATGCAGCCTTCCTCCCTGCCTGCTTTATCATGACCACCCTTTTGGGTTGCATATATAGATATTGATTGGCATCCCCGATTTCATCATGTCTAGGTTAGCATCAGCATCCTTGCAGAAAATCATCTTGCAGGTCTTTAATGGCTGTTTTCCCAACAGCTCTTCTTGAGGACCCAAAGCTTAGAAGCCTGCATGAACATGTTTCCCCTTTGGCACCAAGGAATCGCTTCTGCTGGCGAAATTTTGAAATAAATTGGAATGAGCACAACCACAGTGCCACCTTCAGGCCAAGCTGTAGGACAGGTCCTAAAATTATGCATGGGTATGCATGGCTGTTTCCCTTGCCCAGCATTTCTCAACCTTAGCAACTCTTAAGATAGAAGGAGTTCAACTTCCAGAAGCCGTGCAGCCCAGGGAATTCTGGGAGCTGAAATAAGTACATCTTGGAATTGAGAAACACTGCATAGCCCATCACTCAGCATGTTTTATTTTTGTTTTAATTCTATAAGTAACTTCAAAATACGCTAGGACACCTAGATTCTGCACACTGCTGGTCCTACTCTCCAATCCAATGGCTGGAGGAGATCACTAATTATTCTTTTATTTCTCAGGTCAAAACATTGGCCGAACCCAGCAGCCCCTTCAGAGGGAGGATGCGGTGAAGAAGAAGCCAAATTCTCTTGAACTGTTTTTTCTCTTTCTTCTGCCTTTTCTCTATTTGTCTTGGAGCTCTAACGCTCAGCCTATATATCCCAAAGGTACTTTTTTTTTTCAAAAGGCACCTGACAACTGGACAACTGGAAAAACAAAGTCCAATTGCCTTTTGGGAAAAAAAAGCATCTTTGGGACCACCATGGCCTGGATGACTGAGGATTTCCATAGACCCTCAGCCTACATGCTCTTCTCGGGTGTTCGGAAGGGAAACACGGTATTTTGAGTCATGGATTCCAGTGTGGCAAATGCTAGTATTTTCAGAACATGTGCTGAGGAAGCTCTAGCATCCCCCTGAAACATCCCACCCATTGGTGAAAGAGAAAAGCAATGCCTTGTGCACCTTGCACGTTTTTCACCACTATCACCTTTCCTCTTACCAGCCCCAAGAATGAACTGGGAACCTTTCTGGGGTGAAGGGTGGAACTGGATGGATGGGTGGATGGATGGATGTAGGGATGGCTGGGTGGGTGGGTGGATGGATGGATGGTTGGATAGATGGATGGTTGGATGGGCAGGTGGATGCTGGAATACCAGCATCGAGACCCCTGGGTTCAATGGTAAGAGCTACAACACAAAAGAGGAATTTCTTACCCACAGTCATGCCATCTGCATAGCGCTTGATGATGTCAAAAGAATCCCGTAAATTTCCTTCAGTTATATCGAATATGATGTCAGCCTCATTGGTCGGGTATGCTGGCGTAATGGCACGAAGGAAAATAATCTCTGAGGAGACAGCAGCAATGAGACCGGTGTTAGCTATTTAACCAGTTGCCAATTGGCCCAGTTTAGTTAAGGACAGTAACAGCAGACCCAGGATGGACGTCGGTACTGCTTTTGCCTGGTGGAGGAGAAGAAACGGCGTTTTCTCCCCGACTAGAATATATTAGCCAACAAGGAGCCTAGTTCTGAACCTAATCAACAACCATGCCCAGGTAAGCTGAAGGAATTTTTCATGTATCGCTTTTCATCTCATTGATAGGATGGAGGTTCTCTGTAATATCATAGGACCTTCTCCATCTTGTGCCTCCTGGAGATCTTGGACTATAAAGGCTTCCAATCCTAACAAGTCTGCTCAACAGATTAGCTGGCTAGTAAGGAGTCCAAGATATCCAGAACCACTTCCAACATCATCACCCCGCAAAAGGTTCCTTGGGATAATTTTATGGAAAGGAAGGAATCTGATTACCTTCTGGTCTCGTAAATTCCCGGAAAGTGGGCAGAGAGATAACAGTGTGGGAAATCGTGTGAACAGGGTCTAAGACACAGTTAGCATCATTTGATCGACAGGATTTAATGCAGCGAATGGTATCTGTCTTCTCATGTCTGACTCTAATGGAAAAGGAAAGACATACGAATTAAGATCAGAAACAAATGTCCCAAGGTGTCCACAGAGCATTGTCTAAAAAGTCGAGAAAATGGTTGTGATGACGTGACCAGAGCTCCATCGCATCTCCAGGGTTACCACCTTCTGAGCACGTCTCTTGCAAACTATTTGTATGTCAGCAGTTGAAGAGTTGATCAGGAGGGAAGATAAGCTTTTGATCCCACCGTGTTAGCATTTTATGGAAATGTGTTGCAGGCCCTGGAGTCTGATCTAGCTATTTTGGAAATTCATGAAATGAATCCGATTTGGAAAGAGACTAGAGTACATCCAGCTACAATTGTTTCCAACAAGGCCAACGTATCCATAAGTATTTTGGAGATGCATTTAAAGTTTTTAATCACAGCAAAGTGATTATTTTTGATTCCTGTTTTTTACACATTTTTTTTTTTACGTTATCAAGTTGTTCTTGTTTAGCTACTGATGTTCATTGGGGGGAAATGCACCGCGTGGCCCCCTAATGTGATGGTTTTGTATCAGTTTCCCAGGGCCGACATCCACTCTGGTCTGGTGTGCAAATAGTCGCATACGATTGTGTCTTGGACTGAGGGCACAACTGGGGACAATTTGGGATACAACTTTTCAGCCTTGAACTATACTTTTCAGGTGCCTGATATGCTGGTTTCATCTCCTTTGCAGCAAACCAGAAAAGGGAATTTGGAGTGGGCAGAGAGAATAGCAGGAAGGCTTTGCTGTGTGCAGCTGAAAAGACTTCCAGCCTACATTTAATTTAAAAAAAAATCTATATAACATGCTAGAACAAATCTAATTTCATAATTAAGATGGTTCATAAACTATTCCATACTGATTAATTGAATAATCTGTTAGCTGGCTTATTTTCAAGCATGTCTTGCCAAAACCTGGAGCATTATTTAATGCTTTATCTATTTTATTTACTGTATATCTATAATCTTTTGTTCAAATGGGCATTTCTTTCAGACATCGGGCTAATTTGGGCCTTAGTCAATAACGTACAAACCAGAATACTTTTCCAAAAAGTCATTTCTCCACAATGGCTATTGATTTTCTGGCCTTTTGCAATTTGACCTCCCCTAAGTCTGGAGTGCACTCACTTTCACACAGTCCTTGATATTAAGTTCTATAAGCACAACAGTTCTGAAGAAATAAGCTTCATCTTGGCTTGTGTAGTTTTCTCTGTGTTGCCCTCTCAATATCCTCCCCCTTGGAGAAGAGAAAGACACGAGCCCAAAACGTTTTAGAGCTAGTTGCCCAAATGGTTTGAAGAACAGTCAGAATATTGAGATCTATGCTAGAATGTGCAATTGTTTCAATTGCTTCTTTTGAAGTTAATCAAATGTTTATGAAACTGATGCCCACTTTTCTTGCCTATTTTGAGCCCCACAAAGTAGATCCAAATCGGTAAGCAATTCCACAGGAAAAATTAAAGTCATTTTCATTGAAATTGTCTATAACAACCGTAGTCTCTTGAAAGTGGTAATTGTGTGGTGGAATGTAATCTGGATTCCCAGGAGAGACGGACTGCATTCCACAGGGCAAAGAGGCAGTAAAGTATGGAGCGTTTGGTTGGGAGAAAGAGAAGGCTCCTCCCTGGCAATTCCCAGAGTGTATCTACAGTGATGCAAATATTTCCTTTAGTTTGGCAAGATTTCTGTCTATAGGTGAGGGACAATAGAGGAAACTACTCAGAAGTAGCTCCATGTGTCTTTCTTGGTTCTTGGGCGGCCTGACAGGTTTTGGTGTACCTCCTCCATGTATCTACTCCAAGATACCAATAGACCCTATTTTCAGTATTTCTAATGGTCACTTGGATCTGTGCAGCCCACGTATAAATGCTTTTATGAATCTTCACTCAGGTGCAAGCAGGGCTGACTGCAAGTTTCTTCCAATTGGAACCACCCATTTGAGCAAGAGTTGGAAGGATCAACAATTAAATCCTCAGTCCCAGACCCAACAGCTGATCTTGGCTGATCTCCAAAGCCAGGCAGGATCGGTTTAGCTCTCAGATGATGAACCAAGGGAAAATCTGAAGACTGGGAAGGCCAGAAGTATTATGGAATACGGCAAGAGCAAGCCAACTCTTTCCGTCGTGCTAATGCCAGAATCCAAGTAGTAACAGCCTGAAACATACAGCCTCCGGGTCTCTGTTGACGTTCTTCAGCCACCGTGTGCTGATGAACTGGATTTGGAAAAAGTGCCATCTTGCTGCAGAGGCAATTTGTGGACCTTTAATCTCATTGATCCAAGCTTGACTCCTGGAAGTAACAAAAGGCTAAAGTCTAATCCAGTGTTTCTCAACCTTGGTAACTTTAAGATGCGTGGACTTCAACTCCCAGCATTCTCCAGCCAGCCGCTTTAAAGTTGTCGAGGTTGAGAAACACTAGTATTATCCCTGAAAAAGTTTGAGAAGAGTTCTTACCTGCAAGAGGTCATACTGGAGCTGCTGGGCAGTTTGATTTAATGAACACATACTATTTAGCAGGAATGGAATAACACAAAACTTCAGCCCAAAGCTTTGTCAGAATAGGACACAATGTAGTATTTTCGGGAAGGCATGTATTAATCTAGTAATCTGAGGTAACCTCCAAATTCTTAAGCATCTCCTTATTTCTGCATTAACAATTTGATCCCAGGAGAGATTTTAAAGAAGTAAAGATATTGGCTGAAATCCCACAACTGAAGTTGCAAAACTTTTGAGATACAAATTAAACAGGGTCAGGGTCAATCTTGATCTATCATCTTGATCTCCTATCCACCCACGTATTCCTGGACAATGAGATATCCAAGCTAGCAGAGTTCAAATTACGGAATTCCAATCAAATAATCATCTTAAAAATTATGTGCAAATTGTCTTTGGGCAAAACGTAATGTGGTTTATGATGGTTTTTATTTTAAAGTTACAATTTTATTTTGGTTTTTATTTATTGATCCCTTCCACGCAGCCATTTCGTAGGGCTGAGTGCATCCCAGCTTATTATTGCTTTTAATTATTTTATTAATCTGTGATTACAGGTAATCCTCCACTTGTGACCACAGTTGGGGCTTGAATTTCTGTTGCTAAGCAAGATGGATGTTAAGTGAGTTGTGTTCAATTTTATGACTTTCTCGACTGCCGTTAAGCGAATCATTGCCATTGTTAAGTGAATCTCACATAGTCATGAAGTGAATCCGGCTTCGGCCACTGACTTTGTGGGAAGCTGGCTGGGAAGGGCACAACTGGCAATCAACTGACCCCGGCAGGCGGCGGCCCTCACAAAACAGGTGCCAGTGGCCAAGGGTCCAAATTCCGATCACGTCCCAACTGTGGGGAGGGGGGCTTTGATGGCCATGTGTGCAAGGGGCTGGTCATGAGCCACTCCTTTCCAGGTGACCCTAACTTTGAACGGCTAAATGAATGGCTGTGGCTGGGGGGCTCCCCAGAAAGCACTCGGCCAGCCAACGGGGTCTGGGCCCTGCCAGGGGGCCCGCTCAGCAGCCGCCAGCGGAGAGACCAAAGCGGGAAAGCCGAACGCCTCTTCTTGGGCTGAGGCTGCCATCCTGGCCTTTTTGGACCCAGAGACCCGGCTGGTTGAAAGAGGCCTTGGTGGACTCGTACACAGAACTTCCCAAAGGGAGAAAGGAAGGCAAGTAACCGGCCACACGAAGGAGCATTAAAGGAAGAAAACACGGACCGGGCCGAATGAAACAAAAGGCAAAGGCGGCATGCAGGAGCGGAGAGCCATCTGAACTTTATTACAAGATGTTAAAAAAAAAAATAGCAACCGCCGAGGCCCAGGCCGAGTCAGCATGCGAGGGGTCAAAGTTGGGTGGTGACAAAGACCCACAGCCGGGCCAGGGAGGTGCTGACCCATCCGTGGCGGGACAGCTGCATCTGAATCTCCAGGAGGAGGTCTCGGGGTTCTGGGATGGACCGCTGCAAGGACACGACGCCCCTGTGGCCGTCCACCTTCCTCACTGCGAAAAAGCCCTCCTCGTTCCCGCTCAGGATGGCGAAGTGAAGGTGATCCCCAGAAACGACACTGGACGGGCCCATGCGGAAAATGTCAAGGGGGGCCTGGAGGCCGGTGGGGAAAGAGAGGTGGTAGGAAGTGATTCTCAAGGGCAGCTGCTGGCATTGCTTCCTGTCGGGGCAGGGCAGGCGCTCGCAACGGCTGCAAGACAAGGGGAGGAGGGGGAGAAGAAGGGGAGGGGTTAGCAACCCTTCGGTCGGTCAGCAGGAGAAAAGCTGCAGGGCCAAGGGGTGCTGGATTCCCACATCCCCCAGGCCTGCAGCGGAGCAGGCAGAAGCCCTGACCCATGCGCTTCATGCAGAAGGAGCTAGCTTCAAACTGCGGCTTAAGAGCAGCGCAACAAGCCATGCAGGCCACCAGGTCCCCAAGCCTCTGGCTAGTCTTGAAAATCCTCAAGCATGCTCAGTTCGTCTGGCCAGGGAAGCTAATTGGGGGCAGTGCTGGGCTGGGAGACGCCCAGAGCAGAAAGCTCAGCGGGCAAAAGATGCAAAAAATCCCACAGAAATTGAGGGCAAACAGCTTCCCTCTTGCAGCCAAGGAAAACCCCATCCATGCCTCCACAATGGCCATCGGAACGGAGCTCACTTCGAGGGATGCTTAGCCTTTAGGCCCAGCTTAGCTGGCTTTGGTGTGGCTAGTAAGTGAATAGGAGACCACCTGGAATGTAGACTTTGTCCTTTAGAACAGGGGTCCCCAACCTCCGGTCCATGGACCGGTATCAGGCCACGGCATGCCAACAACCAGTCCACACAAACAAGCGAAGCCCCATCCGTGGGATGCAAGCAGCACACAAAACCACGCACCCTCCGGTCCACGGAAAAACCTCTCTCCACGGAACGGTCCCTGGTGCCCAAAAGGTTGGGGGCCTCTGCTTTACAACCATGTTTCTCAGCCTCAAGAATTTTAAACTGGGTGGACTTCAACTTACTGGGTGGGAATTCTGGGAGTTGAAGTCCACCCAGTTTAAAGTTCTTGAGGTCAAGAAATTGCTCTGGGCGGTATCTCCTGGGGGATACTGTCTCAAGCCTATGTTCCAATTTTTCTTTTCTTCCGTCTGATGAAGAGAAACTAATTTGTGCTTTTCAGGTTTTGCCCTCTATTTTTGTCTCCAAATGCTCTTAGCTGCCTTTAGCACTTGTCAGACTAGAAAGAAGTTAAATTAGTTAAAAAAACAGAAAATCATGTAAGCTTGCATTTGCAGTCTACAATGGGAAAAGCATATACACTTGATTGTTTCAGGATAACGGTTTTCTTCTAAGGGCCCAGCTAGGTGGCCACACAGAGATCACCTTGGCTGATTTTGAAAAGTTGAGCAGAATTAGTTTCTTTCCTAGTATTTGGATGGGAGACCACATGGAAATCTCGGGATCATAAGCTATGTCTCCTGGGGTGGGAGTAAATCATTCTAGTTGGTTACAATAGTTGTATACACAAAAAGAGGTGGGGCTTAGATTGCACATTGCCACCATTTGTCTTTTTTGACCCCATCCCTGCAGACACTCTTTAAGATTCACCCTGCCTTTGGGGGACCTTTATTTATAATATGTAGAGACCTAACGGTTTTTCTGGCCCCCAAGGACACTTCTAGGATTCTCATGCTAATTTCTAACATACAAAAATTCAAACAGATGCTTTTTTGCAGCCCCCCCCCCCCGTCCCTCAAGTACAGGATATTAGAATCAAAGGGAAAATTTTAAAAAGAGCAAAAACTGCTCTTTTTGAAATACACGGCTGGACTCAGAGATGCTGGCGGCAGTCATCCATGTCCTGATCAGACGGTTTGATACTCTGCAATAGACATCAGAGCAGGATCATTTCCTGCCCAGAACCACTTGCAGGTTCTATAGGCCTTGGGGGAGCAAAAGCCACGAGTCCTGTGTTTCTATGGCTACCAGCAATTAGCAGCATCAAAAGCTTTAACTCCAACTGGGGTCAAATCTTCTGCATCGTCCTGAGTAAATGTGTGCATGGGGGGGGGCTTTGAGTGCCATACCACGCCCACCCTCCTCCCCACGGGCATCCCCAGAAAGAGATTGGCATCCATGGAGAAGCTGAGCAAGCAGAACCCCCCCCCCCTCATGGAAGCTGCCCACCCAGATGGTTCTCCTTGCCACCGAGGAAATCTGACAGTCTGAAAGAGCAAAAATTGGAGCACGTTTCCAAAGGTACTTTTATGCAACTCCTCAGCAATTATATTAACCAATTACTGGGATCAAAAAACAAGTGCTCAAGGGTGGAAAGTTTGATTATTTTAGCTGAAAGTAGCGATTCCCCCCCCCCCAAGTATCAGTATTCCTGGTTTTCTGTTGAGCCGATTTTGTTAAGATCAAAGACATAAAAAATGTAAACTTTTTTTCAGTTAAAAAAAGCAGGTTATGCAGTCACATAGGTACACAAAATAAAAACTGAACGGAAATCTTTATACCTTGAAGATTTGACAGAATATTTTATCTGTATTACAGCTCATTTGTGGAATGTTTCATAAACTGGGTGTTGAAATACTGTAATTTTGTAGTGAGGAGTTGAAATGTAAATAGACCAAAACCACATGGGTATTGAAACACCTTTGTGTTTCACAAAAGTCTCACACTCATTTCTGAACCAAATAAATTCCTAGATGAAAGGCCACTAGATACCATACAAGCAATACATATAAATATATAATGTATAATTATTCTAGGGGTAAGAAGGAGACATTATTTTAAAGGATGTATTTTGCCTTTATATTGCTAACACCATAGTTCATAGTGCTAACACCTTTGAACTATGGTGCTGGAGAAGACTCCTGCGAGTCCCTTGGACTGCAAGGCGTTCAAACCGGTCAGTCCTAGAAGAGATCAACCCCGACTGCTCTTTAGAAGGCCAGATCCTGAAGTTGAAACTCAAATACTTTGGCCACCTAATGAGAAGGAAGGACTCACTGGAGAAGGTCCTAATGCTGGGAAAGATTGAGGGCAATAGAAGAAGGGAACGACAGAGAATGAGATGGCTGGATGGAGTCACTGAAGCAGGAGGCGTGAGCTTAAAGGGAGTCCAGAAGATGGTAGAGGACAGGAAGACCTGGAGGAACGTTGTCCATGGGGTCGCGATGGGTCGGACACGACTTCGCAATTAACAACAACAACAAGCAACATTGCTAACATCGGCTGTTTTTAACTGGCAAGTTGCCTTTGTTATTTATAATTTATAAAATATTGGCTGCCAGAGCTGCCATCTTCAGTCCTGGTTAAAGCCACTGGGCTAGGCACTGGGCAAGCAGAAATTCTAGTCCTGCCTCAGGCACCAAGCCAGCTGGGGGACCTTGGGCCAGTCCTTCTCTCTCGGTCCTGAGAAGCAGAAGACCAGGACAAACCTCTTCCAAAAATCGCCTCAAGAAAACTGCAGGGACTAGTCCAAGCAATTGCCAGAAATCCAGACCAACTCAAAAAAACACACACATAAATCTGACCAGCATAATCTGGCTTTAGGAAAGTTAATCTAATCTCGTTCAGAGCTGACCAACAGAAACCCCCAAAACTGTAGGAGACAGTAGGAAATCAAAAAGATCCCTAACAGTAGGGGGGAAATACCCTTCCACATAAGCCTGCTGAACCATCCCCAGGACAGAATCCCTGGCTAGCTGGAGAATTCCTGGAGTTGAAGTCCACAAATATTAAAATTGCCAAAGTTAAGAAACGCTGCTCTGTGTCTTCGCCATACTTCCCATCATCCTTCTGTTCTAGGGTCCAGGGTGACCACTGCAGTCTAACATTTCAGCATCCGGTCTCAATTTTCACCAGAAAATTGAACTGAGCAAACGGGTAAAGAATGAAAAAAGTCACTTGGACGGGAAGTTTCTGGTCCGCTGCAGTGATGCCCTCGGCCTCTAACTCCTGGGGGGGATTTGGGGGGGGGCACTTACGTGTCTCCAGATTTGCGATAGTTCTCCGGGCATTGCAGAGAAAGGCAGCGAAACCCTCCCTGGATATTAAAGCAGGTCTGGTTGTGGGAACAGGTATGAGTTTCAGTAAGACATTCGTCAATATCTAGGAAGGGGAGAAAGAGAGCAGGAAAGAGACGTTAATTGGGATGCTGCAGCCAGAAACGGTTGTTTTCACAGGACCAAAGTGTAGCTGAGGGCTCCGGTTACACTCGTGTTCACAGGGTTGCGGGTTCTCCTGTGGCAAAACTGCTCTGTTCCCCCCCCCCCCCCGCTGGGAGGCTGAGGGACCAATTTAAAGGAAATGAACTTTAATCCGAACAGGGTCAGCAGGCCCACCTTAACCGTCGAACAGAACTATTCGAGCTGCTTTTTCATACCTGTTTCTTGCTTGGTACAGGTAATCCTCATTTAGCGACCATTAAACAAAATGGTTGCTAAGTGAAACCACAATTGTGCTTATGATCTCACTTTAGCTTTCCTTTGCTTTACAGACCTGCAAAACTTGTAAACGTGAGGATTGGTTGCAAGTTATTTTTTTGTTACTGTCACAATCGCAAACGGTCACTAACCAAGAAACAGAAGGTTTGTAATTCTACTGTCTCATTTATAATACTGTAATTTCCAATTTTTTGGGTAATAAGACACTAATAACTAACAAGCTTGCAGGAATGAAGAATATATGCAGCTGTGGGCTGGGCTGCCGCTCTCCTCTAAGATTGGCTGTTCTTGTGGGTGTTTCATTATTTTCCTCAGGAAAAAAATCATCAGGAACATCAAATGCAAAATGCCATGGAAAATGAAGTTTTACGTGCAGGTCTGGAGGAGCACACTCAGAAAATCAGCTAGTGAATGTCTGTATTTCGCTTTCTATTGTGTCTTGTTTGCTTCTTCTTATTATTTCCTTTCTTATTTTCTCTTCCCGTGGAATTTTATTGGGGTCTTACTTTCTCATTTTTGTTTTCTAGTTTTATGTCATTATTTGGAGGGCAGGAAATCTACCCAATAGCATTTTAAAATGCCATCAGCAGAGGGCGCTGTGGCACAGATTCCTTTCTACTGGTGGAAGAAGTGGGGGGGGGGTGGCAATCCCTGGCATTTTGCAACCAAGGAAAAAGCAAGTGGTGCTTCTTTGGTGCCCCAGAAGGGGGTGGGCGGAGAAAAGTGCAGCGAAAGCCCCCTCCCCAATCTTTCGTAAAGGAAGCTAGAAAAAGCCTCTAGACTCAGTTACGCTGCCGTATCGAAACAACTGTGATGGTGCAACCTTACTGATTATATAAAAATAAATGCTTCCCCAATGTAAGCATGTTATTTGTTTACTGCAGAGCTCCCTGTAAACTGGCCTGCCCACCCCTCTCCTGGGTGGGAGAGTCCAAGCTTGGGACCTGCATGAAGAGCCACTGCGGTGTTCCTCCATCTGGATGGCTACAAGCTAAAACGTCTGGTACCGATGGAAGCTAGGGATCCCCGTCCAACTGCAGGACACCCAGAAATGGCCAGTCAACCCTGACTCAAATAGGATTGGCTTTTATCAAAACTGCTTCTGCAGCCTGGATTTCTGAGACTCACCCTGACAGTTCCGTGCATTGGGGGCCAACTTGTAACCTGAAGGGGGGCAGGTACACTGAAAACTGCCCGCCACATTGATGCACCGATAAGCACAGATGTGTCCCCCCGTGGGTAAAGCACACTCGTCAATATCTGAAAATCAAGACAAGAAGGAAGTCTTAATGGTAGATCCCAATGGTGGCTCTTAAGCCACCCAGAACTAGAGAGACCTTTACATCCAGAATAAACAACCCAAGGCCGTTTCCCCCAATCTGGCATCCTCCAATTATTTGAATCACAGTTCCTAAGATTTTTTTTTCCTGAAAACCAGGAACACAAACCACACTGGGGGAAACCCACCCTGAAAATCCCTAAACATCCTACCCCACCCAATCCCAGATCCCTTGGGCTGGGTTTAACCAGCATAACAAGGTCACTTAAGGGTTGGCTAGTCATGGCACTTTTATGTATTTATGTATTTTGTGGTTTAGTGCATTATGTGAATTTCCACTTTTTCTTGTGTTCCTCTTCAAAAAATATTTTTACAGATGTCTCAGTTTGAACACTACAGGATGTATAAAAGTGTCTTTGCACTGTTCATACTGTCTCTTATGCTTCATTTAAAGAAAACAAAACTTTGTACACTTTCACACCTAGGAAAACTGGCCCAACTTAATGGGCTGGTTCGTGAGATACACACACACACACGTATGTATGTATGTATGTATGTATGAACCCATTGTAAATTTCTGAATGGGACTGGAAGATCTGTCATATCTCCAGACGATGATCCATGAAGCTATGCCATTGGTTCCTGCATAGCTGGCCAGTGGTATGTACACTTTGTGTAAATAGAAGCTAAAGACAAGATTGTGTTCTCGGAGGGAACTCTGCCTGGAATTCCATTTCCACGCACATTTTCCAGGGGTATCATGAGCTCTTAGAGAGCAGTTGCCAAGCGCGAGCACCCTTCCCGAGCCAGGCGGACTGAAGGCCTGCAATCGACGTCTAAAGCTTGACTGAAAGGGGCAGCTGATGATAACGGCCACTCACCTTCACAGGTGACCCCATCTATGTCACTGAGCTGGTAGCCACGACGGCAATAGCACTGGTAGGAGCCATAGACGTTGGCACACTCCTGGCTGCAGGGGCTGCTTTCGCACTCATTTAAGTCTGAAAGCCACAAATATGCATCAATGCGAAACAAGATTCCTTCCTCTCACGCCCTCCTAGGCCTCGAGGGAAGCCCCCACACTGTCGCTTTTATCCATGCAGGAAGACGCTGAGAAAATGGTTTGAATCTGGTCTGGTCCTCGTCTAAGCTTCCAATCTTTACACTCCCAGTCTAAGTTTAAAATCCTATGCCTATGGCCTCTTTTTGATCAGTTAGCCCCATTAAACCCTAAAATTGGGAGGGGCACTAATTCCCTGGAGTCCAGTGAAAGTATCTTCGACAGATAACTGTCTAGTCTCTGTTGGACACATCCAAGGAAGGGGTGTCCATCACCATTACTGAACTGGTATGGGGAATTTTTTCCTGATAGATACATAAAGAGAACCTGCCATCCTGTAACTAAAATGTCCATTATAGGTAGTCCTCAACTTAAAATGGTTGCCTAGCAACTGTTCAAAGTTATGGTGAACTTGCCAAAAGGTGCCTGGATTCAAAGTTGTGATGTCTGCACCACCACCACCACCACCACCACCACCACCACGGTCACATGACCAAATTTTGGGTAGTCAGCAACTCACCCATCTTTATGGCCCTTTGCAGCATCCCAGTCATCTGACCATGGTTTACATTTTTGTCATAAACCCACATTTACTTCCAGCCCATAGGAAACAATGAGATTGCTTAAGGACTGCCACAAAAATGGTCGTAAAATCAGCAGCAGTCACGTGATGACCTTCCTAATGACCAACAAGACTGATGATTATAATTGAGGGCTCAATTACACTCGTAAGTCAAGGACTGCCTGTATTCCACATCCTGCCCTTTGGGATAAGGTCAGATAGATGCGAGCGTCAATCCCAGCTGCCCTCCTGACTTCTCTGTCACCTTCACACCTGCCGATTACCAGAGGGGGCCTCCCGTGTCCTGTCTCGCTTGTCTTCTCCCGAGGCTAAACCCACCCCACCCTTTCAGCCACTCGTTATGCAACATGTTTCGGGTTCCCCAAATCCTCTTTGCCATCCTGCCTTTCACCTCTCCCAATTTTTCTGAATCCACTGGAAAGTTTGGTGCCCAGATGAGACGCAGCACTCAAGGTTGGGGCCTAACCAAAGCCGAATCAAGTTGAATGGTTACTTCCTGGAATTCAGAAAGGATTCTTCTGCTCACACAGCCTACCAAGGTATTGCCTTCTTTGCAGCTGCATAACACAACTGGCTCATGTAGCTAAATGTTTTCTCTCTCCCTCCTCCCCCGGCCCCCTTTCTTTCTCTCTCTCTTGGTGATTCATAGCATCTTACCTTCACAAGATCTCCCATCAGATGAAAGTTTGAATCCCATTGTACAGCTACAATAATATGACCCAGCAGTATTTTCACACTTATGAGCACAGAGCCGACCAGGGTATCTGCGACATTCATTAATATCTGGGGAGAAGAATAAGCCATGGTTAACCTTTTGGGGCCTAGGTAGCAAAATTGGGTGTCCTCAAAAACAATTTATTCATCTCATCTGAACCATCATGTTACCGTGACTTAACTCCCACTTAAATGCAATGTGCCCTCTTCAAAGGGCAGCAGGATATCAGCCCCAGACATAGGAAAGTAACATGGGATAATTCTGAAGAGAGGCTCTTGGCAGGCAGGAGGTGGCTGTAACACAGCAAAAAATATGACTCCTGGCCTATTTTCCAGTCCATTCTCATAGGGACGACAAATAGGACACTCATAATAAGATGCTGTCTCCAAAGAGATGCACGTAGCCTGATTCCCACCGTGTCCCAAGAAAAAACTAACCCTGCCTGGATGGTGCAACATCTTGAAACACAACCAAATACCTATTTATACCTATTTCTGCCTAGTTGGTTTTTCCCATTCCGATCTAGGCTATGATGAAGCCCACAGGTGACCCCTTGTGCTCTTACCTGTGCACGTTCTGCTGAACCCATCAAAATAGTAGCCCAGCCGGCACTGGCAACGGTAGCTCCCAGGGGAGTTGATGCAGATGTGACCCTCCCCGCAAGGTTCGGGGGACCCCGAACACTCGTCTACATCTTGGGGAAGGGAAAAGAAAGGTTTGAAAAAAGTCCCGGGAGAGGAAGGTCATCAAGCAACGCATACAAATTTAGATGATGACGATGACGACAATACAAAGAAAAGCAGAACCGAACTGGGAGGGAGGGAGGGAAGGCAGGCCTGAGGGCCATGACCTGGGGCTGATTCTGCGCAGCCTTCATAGCTTTCATTCTTTTCCCTTCCCCAAGATGAATTTGGGGATCATCATCCCAGTGCCAAGAGAGAGGGAAAAGATTTAGTTTTTAAATTAGTGCTCTTATCTTTTGTTCCAGCGGAGTGATTAAATTGGTTGTAGGATGAGTAAAAATGCAGCAGAATTCTAAATAGATGTAAATAGTAATACCTAAAGCGCTCACCATATAGCACATTACCATCAATAACGAAGAATTCAGTTCAGTCCAACAGAGAAGTCAATCTAAAGTATGAATGTTGAATATTGATTTGTTTTCACTTAGAAAGCAACAGGGGTCAAGACAAAGAACTCCTGATCCCTTTTCCAGGAAAAATCATGCAGCTTCATCAAAGATATGAAAAAAGTAGCTTCACCAAAAATAGTCAATACTGTATATTCTTAAGATAGCTGTTTGAATTTTGGCCATGGAATGTGATACAATGTGAGTAGAAAAACAGACAGGTGGGTTAAAATCGCATATCATATTGCAAGTTCAGGAAAATTTCTGCTGACATGGTCAACATTCCCTGGTCTGTGAACTCAGCCTCTCAAGTCAGAGCCAGCAGGCCGCCTCTTGAGCAGAGCGAGCTGAGGGGGTGTTTGGAGAGAGACTATAAAAAGTAGGAACCTTTCTGCAACTAAGCTTTTTGTAGTCAGGATTTTCCTGGCTTTCCTTCTGAAAAATTCAGATATTTCATTTTGCCCCCTTGGGAAAGCTAACCACAACTCAAGCATTACACCACTTCCTGGATTCTTAAAAAAATCTTGGAGGTTTTGTAACGTTTCTATCTTGAGATGAAACGCTTGGAGGAACGATCAAAAGCTCACCAGAGAAACAGAAGGAAAAAGTGACTAACGGAAAAATATAAAAGCTTCAAGGAATGTAAAGTTAAGAATTTCATTGTGCAACACATAATTCATATGAGACTCCATGATGAAATTACAGTGGTTCAGAATCCATTCTTTTTCTATGTTTTCATCATAAAGGATAAAAAGAACAACATTATTCACTGGGCACAAAATACTGAAGAAATGGGTGGTTGCCACCGTAAGATTTAAGCACGTCAATGAATTTAGGTAGCCAATCATGGTGTGAACCATTTGGACCCAGAGCAGGCAAAGTTGCCTCTGATCTGGCATAGATCCGAAATGTCTATGCCCATTTCGGATCAAAACTCTGCAGATTTCTAACAACTGGTGCATTATGCTGGGTTTTTAATTATTTAATGAATGTATTTGACCGCCCATCTCACAGAAGGTGACTCTGAGTGGGATGTAACCAACGGTGTGATAACTGTTAAAAAAACCCCTTAAAATATAAATAAGATCAGGATTGCAAGAGAACATCTAAACACAATAGAACAATTATGTAGGATCTCCATGGGATCCCAAGGCTGCTAGAAAAGGCATCTGAAAGGCCAATAGCGATGGGGCTGGCCTCACGTTGGGCTGGGGGAGGGAAATGATGTTCCAGAGGGCAGGAGCCGTGACAGGAAAGGTCACCAACCCACAACTCCCCTGCTGGACCAGGAGGGGTGGATGGATGTGACCGGGAAGAGGCCGCTTGGCCCCATTCCGTGCAGGTCTTTAAAGGTCAAAACTAGAACCTTGAACTGCACCCGGAAGCAGACTGGCAGCCAATGCAGCAGGGGCCGCATTCTGCACCCGAGGAAGGTTCTACATAGATATTCTTCAAGGGCAGTCCCAAGTAGAACGCATAACAGTAATCCACTCTGGAGCCGGCATGCAATCAAGTGCTTCGGGAGGGGGAGGAAGGAACTACGAGCCACAGCCCCCACCAACCATCACCAAAACGTCCCGTAGGTCGTGGCTTTTATACAGAAGATGAATTAACAAAAAATGGTCACCATGCTAGATTTTTTTTTTTTTAACTTTTGCTACGACGAAGGCAAAGTATCTTCCATAGGAAGAGAGTCCGTAGCGGTCCTTAAGTGCCCACTTTCCTCTGCTGCTACTCTCTCCCAATGTAACTAACCTCCTCCCCAACCGAGGAAAGACAAGCTGGTCCTCCAGTTCTGGGAAGCCCAATTCGGAAGCCGTGGAAAATAATATGTCGCGCCTCCCATCCCTGAGGTAAGCTGAGCAGATGTCGCACTACTAATGTCGTCATTGCTGCCATTGCCAGCAATTTGCCTTCTAAAAGGATACACGGGCAAGAAGGCAAGCAAGCAAAAGGGGCCTCTCGCGGCTGCCACCGCCCGGACCCCTGGTGATGATAGCCACCACCCACTGCAAGGTTCACCTGACCACCAGCCGGAGCCACATCCAGCCAGCGATTCTCCTCCTCCTCCCCCTCCTCCTTCTCCTCCCCCTCCCCCTCCACAGAGGGATGAGCCCAACTTTTGCCAGCAATAGAAATGTGTGGGGGAAATGGCCCCATGCAAGTTTGCTCCCATGCAGCAAAAAGCCTGAGAAGAGCAAAGCCAGCGCAGCCCAGGGCAGAATAACACAACAAGTTAAAAGGAGCTGGGAAGTGCACAAGCCAACCAACCAACATATTTCTCAACTCAAAAACACACAAAACCCTTTGCAACTTATAAAATGCTTTCATACAAATCCTTCCATTCATTTGAAGCCCACGTTGCACAACCTCCTCCCTCACCGCCATCTTGCCACCCATATAGTGGGTGGTTTATTGAGGGTGCCCTCCGTACCCCTGCCCAGGCCTTCCTCTCAGCATAGCGGGGAAGGGAGAATTGAAGGATGTCAACGGAGGAGAAGCAGAACATGGAATAAACAGGGCGGGCGGGGGGGGGGATGAAACATGGCCCTCTCGGCACTGACCAACACATCTGGTCTTCTCCTCGTTCAGGTGGTAGCCTCTGCCACAGTTTGGGACATTTCTCTGGCAAGCAAAGGAGCCGTCGGTGTTGACGCAGGCCTGCCCAGCAGGACAAGGAGCAGCAAGAGTCAAACATTCATTAATATCTGCAAAAATACAGCCGTGGTATTAAAAGGAAAAGGTGAGATGAAAGAAAGAAAGAAAGAAAGAAAGAAAGAAAGAAAGAAAGAAAGAAAGAAAGAAAGAAAGAAAGAAAGAAAGAAAGAATCTTCAACCCCTGCGGAAACATTGCTTGTAAAAGCAAAACACCTTCAATGGGATAACTTGGCAAGTGATGCGTAGCTCACAAACATAGTCACAACTATGATAAAAAAATTCAAAATAGTTATGGTTAAAAAAAACATCCTCCAGACAGTGGCTACGGCACACATTTTATCTGTGCTATATCTGCCACCTGGAGTTTTCTGACGATAGTTTGAGGACATTCCTGGTACTGTAAGCAGCCGAGCAGGTTGGCTGCATCTCTTACCGATACAGTTGCCGAGAGCATCTTGTATAAAGCCGATCTTACACTGTTGTTTGGGCCGGCAACGGAATGATCCTGGCGTATTCTGACAGATAAAATCGGGGAGGCAGTTATGAATACCAGTCTCACATTCGTCAATATCTGGCACATCACAAAAGAAAGAATGAGTTAGCACGAGGTTTCCCAGAGCCATCTTGTCATGACCAAGATAAAAGCAGTTGTTGTTGAGTTAACTAGACAAAAGTAATCCCCTCCCTTCTCCAGAACTATAGATCCTCAGATTTTCTACATCTGAAACTGTAACACCCAGGTGTTTGGAGGGAGAGGGGAAGACTGGAGGGCATGGGGAATCTGTAGATTTCTCTGGTGTTCATTTACCTAAGTTCCTGACTTGGAACCTATCTGGAAGTGAATTCTAGTGAAATGTTACTTCAGTAGTGTAAACAAACCATTTGAAGTCTGTGAAATTTGTAAATGTATTAAGAATTATGGATTATTGAGATATAACTGAAATATATTTCTACAATATTGCAAAGATAAATCTGTATCTGTTTTGATAGAACAGATTATTGATGCATGATTTTTCATGTACACTCTTCAAATTTACTGTTACGATTTGATGGATCTGAATTGGCCTAGAATTGACACCTGGACATAGCTCTGTCACTGTTTTGGACTTAAAACAAAAAGAGGAACCTGCACCACTGTTAAACAACAGTCCTCCTTCAGAAAACCATGGAGGAAATTACAACTCTATTATAAAATATCACTTTAAATTAATCCATATCTTGCTTTTCGAATGAAATTAAATATTTAATTGGAAACTTGGCCAAAATAGCTATAAAGGAGTAAAGGTATTATTTCTAGAAAAAATTAATGGTTGGGATGCTGCTATTGCAGAGGATGTTATTATTATTATACGTATTTAATCATCCTGCTGAAAGTCTACTCTTTCAGCCGCCTTCTCTGTGCTCATCCGACGGTTCTTCGGGAGACCAGAAGACCTGGTAGCTAAGCAGCTTCTCAGCAACTCTCCCCTCTGCTTCAGGTCAGAGGTGCAACGTTTGTGGTCTTCCCAATGTTGTTGAACCACAGCTCTAAGTACCCATTAGCCGTGCTTGTGGCAGCAAACTGTAGCTACCCATAACTCCTGCGAGAGCAGGGCACGCAGGTCTCACACTCAGCTGAAGTGCTCAAAGAGCCAGTTCAGGAGCTCTGAGTCAGCAGCCAGAACATTTCCACGTCTTCCTTTTCTAGCATGAGGGTCTCTTGGCTTTGTGAAGAGGGAGGAAGACCACAGGCTGACTGTTTCCTCCAGAGGGAAGGCACAGGTGGGCCTTGCTGGAAAAACTGACAAGGCTTGACCACCCAGGGATGTTCAAGCAACATGGAGAAGAGCACAGAAAGGCTGAAAGCAATTTGCTGAAATTTGGCTGGAATGGGATCAGGGCTGGAAGACATACTTTTCCTGCAAAACTGCCCAGCTCCAGTGAGGCTCTGCCTCTCCCCGTATACCAGCACCTCCGAATCTTTGCCACAGAGTAATGGCTCTTTGCAGCATTAAAGGGGTCAGTTTGCACAAACAGATGCTTCTGTCCCTCAAGAACCACCCCAAGGCCTCTGTGGGAGGAACACCCCCCACCCCAACAATCAAGATAGCAGTCGTGACTTTTTTAAGCTCGTCTGCAGATATAACCCTCTGGGAAGATGATTTGCAGACAAGCGTCTACTTTAACATTAATCACTGCAAACATCAGCTGACATTGGGCAAACATTGGGCAAACCTAACATTGGTGGCACTCAAAAAAGCAAAGGTAGTTTACCATCTGTAACCATTCCAGGCAGTTGTGAATTGTGAGTTGTAGGTGCTCCATCAATGGAGGTTTACAAAAATAGACTAGACAACCATTTGACCAGGATGGTATAAGTTCTCCTGCCTTGAGCAGGGGTTGGACTAGAAGACCTCAGAGGTCCCTTCCAGCGCTATGAATCCATGTTCTACATTCTAAAATGTACCTTTGCAGAGATTGTGCTCTGTCAGCTCATAACCCGTCCCACAGCTCGTCTCCCGCTGGCAACGGAAAGAGCCCACAGTGTTGACACAGACCTGCCCGAGGCTGCAGGCGTTGGCAGAAGTGATGCACTCATTAATGTCTGGAAAGAACACAACCATTTTAGTGGTAGCGTATCATTTTCTATGCGGGGAGTCCTCGATTTGACAACCACAATTGGGATCAGAATTTTGGTTACTAAGCAAGGCAATTGAGTGAGTCACGCCTGATTTTACAGATCTTGTCATCGTTATCAAGCGAATCGTTGCAATTGTTAAGCGATTCACGTGTTTGTTAAGTGAATCTGACTTCCCCCCACACACACACACACACTGATTCTGCCTGTTGGAAGCGGCTGGGAAGGTTGTCAGTAGGGACTGCAAATATCCTGGGACGCTGCAATCGTCGTAAACACCTGCCAGTTGCCGAGGACCCAAATTCTGATTCCATGGTGCTGGGGGGGGGGGGGAATGCTGCAAAAGTCGCAAGTGGGAGGACTGGTCACAAGTCATCCTTTTCACTGTAATTGTAACTTTGAATGATTGCAAGTCAAGGACTTAAGCTTAAAAACATTTGTTGACACGGATCAGCATTTATGAGTAGGTTCTCAAGGTAATAAACACTTCTGAAATCACACGTGAGAAACAGGTTGAAAAAGTTGAAGAAAATTTGACAAAACATCAAATATTTTCTGTTTAAAGGAATAATCAAGAAAGTTGGATTAAAACAGAGCAGTGTTTCTTTAATGATTCTATTCCACTATTTCTTCAATATAAGTGTAACTCGTCCCATGGCGATTTAGCCACGGTGATTTGGCCGTGATGAGTTGTCATAGACCCCTTGGGAGCCAGAACAACTCACCCCCAAAATAGCTGATTACCTCAATAGAAGAGAATATTTGTAGCTCAGAGCTGAATTACAACTCTATAGGGTCCTTCGTGCTCTGAGTTGGTTATTTTCTTGCAGACATTTCATTACAAATATCATCAGTGCTCTGATGAAGTTACCTAGTACGATAATGAAAGGTATAATAATAATAATAATAATAGTAAAGTTGGAAGGGACCTTGGAGGTCATCTAGTCCAACCCCCTGCTCGGGCAGGAAACCCTACACCATTTCGGACAAATGGCTGTCCAGTCTCTTCTTAAAAACTTCCAGTGTTGGAGTATTTACTGCTTCTGGAGGCAGGTTGTTCCACTGGTTAATTGTTCTCACTGTCAGGAAGTTTCTCCTTAGTTCTAGGTTGCTTCTCTCCTTGATTAGTTTCCACCCGTTGCAAGAAAACAACCAAGCTCAGCGAGCACCAAGGAGCCCACATCCTTTACGTTCTTTAGAGAAGGAGGAAGAAGAAGAGGGCAAGAGGCTTAAAATACCAAAGAAGGAAGAAGAAATGAAGGAACAGAATGACTCCTTTGCACTGGCCCTCACCACACTAAGTATCAGCAGAAGGGGAAGAAAGAGGCTTGGAACATCCAAGGCAAATAGGTATAAAAGATGATCTTCTATAACTTGCTGACAACCTGAAATCAAGCCAACTGTTTAGTCTAGGCACATCCATCCAAAATTTCTAAACAAACTCAAATGTAAAATCACTTATCTTGTAAAAAAATTATCTCCCAGCTCAGCTGAAGCGCTGCTGAAAAAGAGCATCAATTTCTAAAAAGAGATCAAAGGATGAGCCGGGAAATTACAGCTTGGTTAGTTTAATGTCTCTTTTGAGTAAAACAGTGGAAACCACGGATCTTTTTGCTAAAGCAGGATCAAGCCAGACATCTGCAAAGATAATCCTTGCCTCCCTGGATTTTAAAGTTGACTGAAAGTATCAACAAGAATATGGAGTCAAATAGGAAGCTTTTTCACTTGGCCTTCTAAACAGCCATTGAGAAATGAATGCCTGAGCAAAGTTAGCAATCAGGATGAACAAGAAGAAAAATCTGCCATGGATTAGTAACTGGTTAAAAAACAGAAAGCAGAGAGCAAACATGTCTCAAAAAAAAGAAGGATGTAAATAATGGTGTTTTTGAAAGTTCTGCCTTAGAACTGGAGCTTTACAAGCGATCAGAGGCAACCTGGAATTAAACAATGAAACCAGATAAGAATGGAATTCTTCCCTTTTCTTAACAATAATCCAGAAAGTTGGATTAAACTGAGACATTTGCTAACAATATCAAGTCCCTTAGAATGGCAAACACAAGTCACAAGGTTGAAGTACTGCAAAATTATTTTCCCAAACTGGAGAAAAGACAAGAAAACAAGAACTGCAGTTTAACATCATCCAATATAAACTATCATGCATGGGCAACAGGTATGATAACATACAAAGGCAACTGCAGAGTGTGGATATGTGTCAAAAACTCAAGATGGCAACCATGATTTGATGATTAAAGTTCACGTTGAAAAGGGGAAAGGCTTTAAATGCTTGGGGCCTCCCTGAGTGGTTTACAATGCCAGCATATGGCCCCCAACCATCTAGGGCCTCATTTTACTGACCTCGGAAGGATGGAAGGCTGAATCAACCTTGAGCCGGTCAAGATCGAACTCCAGGCTGTAAGCAGAGTTCACATTCTAACCATTGTACTAGCATCTTGACTTTCTTGATTTCTCTGCTTGAATGTATATGTTGATTGGGTCTGAGCTAGTGCTGAAGGACCAGGAAAGAGTTCTTAAGATAGTCAAATGACTTGGGTCTAGATTGACACCTCATACTAATCAGTGATTTCACCACGATTTACTGAATTAAGCATAATGGCTACATTTATAAACCTATGCCACAAACCATGGTTTAGAGATAATCATGGCCTGGTTCATGTATCACTTCAAGCCCCACAATGGATGCAGTGGCAGTCGATGTTGAAGACTTTAAGAAAGTTATAATAAGTAGAATTGCCTTTAGAAATCTTTATGCAACTGCAATTAATTGCAGTAATTGAACCAGAAAAAGACATTATAGAGTTGGAAAACTTATGAAAAATAATCAAGAGGTAATAGTCAAAGCAAAATGTTCAAGACTTTTAGTTCAAAAGGAAAAAGATGAGAAAAAGAGATGTGACAATATAAAATTATTTATTGTATATAGAAAATGGAAATGAAGGTTATCTTCCTTTATAACCCCTAGAAACAAGATCCTCCTATGAAGCTGAACAGGACCAGATTCAAAATAATTTTTCGCTCAATAAATAGCTAAACAGCGGATATTGCACTACACATTTTATTGGCTTTGAAAGGGCATTAAACAATGTAATGGTGCATAAAGCTGTCAGAGTCCCAACAGTCGCTGCATATATTTCTTCCAACACCAGGGTATCTCTCCATAGGAAAAGAGAAGGCCCGTGATCACAGCACAGCAGAATGTTCTGATCTGGACAACAGACAGGTCATAAAAAGTCTCCCTTGAGTTGAACCAGGCCTCAGACATACTCATGTAGTTTTGTAGCCTCTTTCTGGGTGTTTTTCCAACTTCCTCAGCTGGAAATTATGTGTCAGGTCTATTTACTTTCCTTGTGACACAGAAGGTGGTTGCCATCAGCTTCTTTGGGAATGTTTGTTCAAGCTTATAAATCTATTTCCTGGTGTTCCCCCACCTCATGTCAAACCTGCTTAGATTTTCAAAACAAGCCAAGACATAAGGAGGGCTAATTAGTTAAAAATATCAAAACTATAAGGAAATCAAGTTTTTTATTACCTTCACAAGTGAAGCCATCTGGCTGAAGCTGGTAACCCATGAAGCAAGAGCAGAGGACACTAGTTCCTGTGTCCCTACACTGCTGGGTACAAGGTCCTCCGCCTAAAACCCAAGAATTACGGCAGAATAAATTCCTTTCTCCAAAGACTGTCATAGTTTCCATTAGAGAAAACTTTCCCAGCCATAACGATACACTACTGCAGAGGACCTGCAGACAGGACATTAAAAACTCATGCAATCCACTTCACCAAGTAGTGAAGACCACTCAGAACTGGCAGTAACCCACCCAGTGACAGCAAACATATCCAGTGACCAGGTGGGATTAATTCCATAAATCCTGCAGGGGCTGCCAAGATAGTCCTCAATACATTTCCATTTCTAATTTTAACCTATAATGTCCTTTAAAACCTATGAAGTATCTTCAGGATTGTTACCTCCAACCAGATTTCATCCATCTAAAGCAGGGGTGTCAAACTCACCACGTCACATGACGTGTCGTGCCATATCGTGACTTTTTCCCCCTTGCCAGAACTGGGGTGGGCACAGCTTCTGCGTGACACGTCCAGCTCGCAGGCCGGCAGTTTGACACCCCTGATCTAAAGGGACCCCTCCCCCCCCAGGAGAAGCTCTGGAAGTGAGGGGAGCTGAAGTTGGAGGCCTTGTTTCTCCATGATGGCGCTGCCGCTCTGAAAAGACCTCCACTTATAGATTGCAGCCTTCCAAAAGTTGGTATAACTGATTGATCCTGAAAGGATTTAGTTCTGTTGTAACATTGAATGAGAACATGGAATAAAATTCACCCTGTAAACTCTACAAACTCCCAAGTTTATCTAACGCCAATTGCTCTGTTCTCTCTGATGGTCCCTTGCCACAATATGAACTAGCTTACCTCTGCAACGGTCATTCAGGTAATGATCCTCAAGGTTAATTTCCACTGGAGAAAGCAAGTCAGCATGGAGGAGTGAAAGAGAGAGATGCTGTTAGTTATACTGACATCTTGCTGGAGATATTGGCTGCTTCACTCACAGTCAAAAGAACAATATAGGAAATTGGGAAGGTTTCCCTTTGAAGCTTTTCTGGTAACATCTAGATGTTTAAATGACTGTTATTCAACCTTGGCAACTTTAAGATATGTAGACTTCAACTCCCAGAATTCCCCAGCCAGCCAGCCATGCTAGCTGGATAATTCTGGGAGTTGAGCTCCACACGTCTTAAAGTTGTTATGGCTGATAAATACTGGTCTAGCAGGAATGAACTCAAAATGGACATGGTAAATTGTGTGACTCCTCCCAAGAACAACTTTGCTCTTCTGGGGATACAGAGCAGCATTCAGCCTTTTTAACTTCTGAAGTAAAAACTGTTAAAGGTTAATCTCAGATTCCACAGATTAAATCTCCCTATACATTTTAAGCCTTTTTACAAACAGCATGCAACCGTTCTCCTGCAGTTCAAAACATGCTGCTGCTTCATCTGAGAAAGTTTTCTTATTTGCACAACTTACCCAGTTCTTTGTTAGGACCGTCAACAATCCCAGCATCCGAGTTTTCATGCCCTTCGACACAGCAAGCTCTGAACACCAGTCCACACTGATAGCCCATTAAGAGGCTCTGCTCACAGCTATTGCCTTGTTTCTGGGCCTCTTTCCCCAAAAAGCAGCAGTGACAGCATTTCTGTGTAGCGGAAATTAATTGATGTTATCACAGCCTCAGCTGTCCTTCAAACACAAAGACCTAACACACTTTTCTATGCTACCTTTTGGGGTTAATCCAGGTTTCCCAACCTTGGTAACTTTAAGATGTATGGGCTTCAACTCCCAGAATTCCCCAGCCAGAATGTCTTATAGTTGCAACATCACCGAAAATATTTGAATGTTTAAAAGTTTTGGATAACAACTACAGTACTCAGTTGCAAGCCCCAAAGGATATCTCGAGTGTGTGACCACTGTGTACACCCTGGAAGCGTTTGGAGATTGAAATGTTTCTGTGAAATCCAGAATATGTAACCTGTTTTGAATTTGGGACATTTAGTCTCTGGACATATTCAGAATTCTCAGCAGCATAACTGCAATCTATAATTGCAGTATTAAAAGAACATTGCTTTGGTTAAGACAATATAACAAGTAAAGGCAGGAAGGGAAAACAAATTTAAAATAGCAAGGATCAAACATGGAGCAATTAAAAGCAATTAAAAGAAAAGTCTTCAAGACTCATTAATAGGTCAACTCTTGACAAGTGGGTTTTCCAAACAGTCAGCTGTTCCATTTTTTTAAGCTCACCTGCTCCCTAATCTGAATCAAGTCGGCCCATATTATCTGAATATTATCTGAGTTGGTAACTTCCGCACCTGGCACCATGGACCATTGTGAGGTCTCCACGGTCAGGTAGTGGCCATCAGAGAGGTGGCCCCAGAGAGAGGATTCCCCTGGTCTGAAGGCCACGATGCAGAATTAAGCATATGCAACGGCGGCAGAACAATCCCCAGGAGTGCAGTAAACGATCTTTTAAGGGACCCTCAGGAAACCCTGAAAGCGCCCCACATCTTCCATTCCCCTTGGCCCCTCTCCTTGCTGGGAGCCCCCAGGGAACCACCCGGGGACCACGGCGAGAGATCTACTGAAGCAGACCAGCAGCCTTCAGCACTCTGATTACAAAGAAAAATTGGAAATTGCTATGCAATCATTTCAGCGTCCCCTCCGCCGTTTCACCTTAATGATCTTGTCCTCACAGGTGGCGTTGTGCCTTGGCGAGTCGCAGTCTTCCTGCTTACTAGCAAGGGCCATTCCGGTCGTGCAATGCAGCACCTCCAGCTGACTGAGGCAGCACTCTTCCTGGGCTATCCTGCAAAGGGAACCAGGCGGAGGAAGCCCTGTAACGGCCGGCACAATAGGATGGCATGACACACTTGCCAGAACATAGAAAAAGATGCCAGAACATCAACATCGGCAACTCTGAAAACAGTAGAGAACAACCAAAACAACACTTTGCCAGAAGAGCCTGACTCTCCTGCTGGAACCAAAGTGGGATTAGGCAAAGAGGCTGAATTTGTAATGGAAGAGGGCTAACCGAGGAGGTCTGGGAAATGGGTGCAATTTGGGAAACGGGACACGAGGAGTGTCTTAGCAGGGGGCAGGATGTGGACAATTTGTCTGAGCTTGGAAGATAAGCAGGATTGGACCTGGTTCATACTTGGATGGGAGATTACCAGCCTATCCTAAATCTTAGACTTGTCTGGAAAGTAAAAATAAAAATAATGGCAAGCTATTTCCATATTGCTGCTAAAAAGAAAATCAGACAGAGGTTCAAAAATCACAGAGGCGTGCCAATGAAAATCTCAGGAAGTCAGCTTGAAGGAGCCCGTGCAATAATTAAGGCACCAGGCTAGAAAGCAGAAGATGGTGAGTTCGAGTGCTGCCTGAAGCAAGAAAGCCAGCTGGGCGACTTTTGGCCTCCCTCTCTCTCTCTCTCTCTCTCTCTCTTTCAGCCCAAGCCCACCTCACAGGGCTGTTGTTGTAGGGAAGATAGGAGAAGGCAGGAATATCAGCTACGTTCACTGCCTAGAGTTATTTATGGAAACAATACAAGTGAGAAAAAGATAAATAACCGGATGGTGCCGCCCCACAGCAGCCAAACACTTGGCCCTCTACCTGCATTCCTTGGAGTCCAGACCGGAAGAGAGAAGCCTGCAGTCTTTCTTCTGACTGGCCCATTCATAGCCACGGGAGCAGCAGGTCTCCACCGATGAGTCTGCAGGGGGGGAGAATGCATCGCTTGCAGCCTCAGAAAGCAGCGCTGAGAAAGCCCCCCCCGTTCCAAGCCATTCACTCCCATGGGATGCAAGGAAGCTCCTGGACCACTTTGCTCATTCCCCTGCAGAGGACTTGGCCTGTGCTCCCACTCCATAACCCCCCCCCTTTTATTTTATCTTGTGATTCTCTCCTTGGACTGCGCCCCTGAAGCCACCGGCCCCCCGTGTTTATCTATAATTTGGGGCGGATAGAATTACATGTGCATTCAGACATACATTTTACAACTGGATGTAGATACGTTTACATACACACATGTATAAGGTAAAATGTAGATTTTCTTCTTCTGAGCTATAGACAGTCCTCGACTCACAACAATTCACTTAGCAACTGTTCAAAGTTACAACCGCACGGGGGGGGGAAGGGACTCGCAGCAGCCGATCCTTGCACTTCCAGCTGCGGAAGCCCCCCCCCCCGCCACATGGTCAAGACTCGTCACTGGCCGTCAATTACCCATTGGAATTTTCTAACCCTATTTACCTGAACCAGTGAGAGTTACAGATACAGTGGATCCCTTCTGGGTTTGGCTGTCTTTTTTGGAGAACGTTTGACAAGCGCCAGCCCACAAAAAGTGGTCTAAATAATTTGCAATAGGTGGGTTTATATGCAAGAGAGGAATTATAAACTACTGGAGGTTTTAGAAAAATATGGCAGTTTAACAAGAAACATGAAACCCTGTAGTGTCTGGAGAAAATTCAGATGGCAGTAATTCACTATTGGTTTAAGGGATCCAAGAAATAACTTAATAACTTAAATCAACTTGATGGCTGGGATAAAACAGCGATTAAGTCAACGCGATCTTCCATTACTCTTGGATACAAGATTATGACTGTTTCAGTACAAATCTTATGTTGACTTTTTTCTGGACAGCTCTGGTTATGAATCAGATGTCAAAATGGATCAGCTGATGAGGAATTGTGGTCTAGACTGTGATAAAAATCTAGACTTGGGAAAGAGTAGACAGATCTGTTTTGCAACAGCCTCAGGCAAGCCAATGACTTCACAGTCCTGTATTATATAGTCCTGAACCCATCCAAGAAGAATTAAAAATAGATTTAAATATGGCTCCAGATAAATTACCTCCTGCCTCTATACACCCAAACCTTTTTGCCAGTTATTATAAATTATTATTGACATCTCCCATTAGTAGAAGGAGAATCCTGGCAAAATTGTCTAATGTCACCTTGAACTTTTAAAAAGATACAACCCAGAAAAAAATGCACAGAAAATGGGAAAAGTAGAAAAACGGCTATCTTGTAAAATACTTTCACAGAGGCTGCAAGGGACGGCTGGGGGGAGAAGCACAGGAGGACGGGGCAGCCCGTCTACCAAACTCCCACTCCCCCTTAGCTCACTGCATTTGATCGACCCTTCGGGCAGAGGCCACCTCGGCTACAGGGACATCACTCTGCCCCTCGTGTGGAACTGTGCAAAAGGCAGCGCCTGGAGGCTGCCCTGGTGCCAGGTGAAGGGATCAAGGGGTGCCGCCTGAAAGATCCGCCCTGCTGGGGAATTGCCCTCCAGCACATCTTGAAGAGCCCCGGTGGAGAAGGAGCCGTCTCCAGAAGACTTTCTCTCGCTGGAGTTAGTAAACTGGGGAGAGGAGGCCCCGGAAACAACCAGTTGTTCGGTGGTGGAAGGATGGGATTCTCCCCACTTAACTCACTCCGGCAGGCGAAGGAAGGTCTTCCGCTTCCCCTTTACAGACCAAAGCGAGAAAACCATTCTGCAGGGCTCAAACTACTTTCCAGGTTTTAAAGCCCTCAATTTATCGCCAAGATTGTCACTAAGTGATGCGGTCATGAAGTGAGTCAAGCCCAATTTTACAACCTTTTTGCGGTGGTCATCAAGCAAATCGTTAGAGCTGGTTATGTGAATCACCACCGTTGCTAATCAAGTGCAGCTTCTCCCGCTGGCCGCTTGCCAGGAGCTCCCCGGAAAGGCTGCAGCCGTCGGAAGAACACGCCGATTGCCAAGAGCCTGGATTTTGGTCACATAATTGTTGGGATGCTATAACAGTCATAAATGCGAGGACTTATAAGGTGTGAGTCACTTCTTTCAGCGTGGTCAAAACTTTGAATGGTCATTAAACAAATGGTTGTATGTCGAGTAATACCTGTAGTAACAGAATCTTGCAAATCTGACTGCGTTTTGTGCTGCCAAGAAAGCTAAGGTAGTAGTTGATGTGGGCTGCATCAAAAGAGGGATAGCATAGCAGTAGTGTCAAGATTACACAAAGTAATAGTACCATTTTATAGTTCACTGGTAAGACCAGACTTTTAGTAGTCAAAAGGAGACTTGACCGCCATTTGTCCGGAATGGCATAGGGCAGGGGTGTTAAACTGCTGGCCCGCAGGCCGGACGCATCATCCGGAAGCCGCGCCCACCCCATTGCCGGCAATGGCAAAACTGTCCCGATACGTCTCGCGACGTCACATGTCTGGTATAGGGTCTCCTCTTGAGCAGGGGGTTGGACTAGAAGACCTCCAAGGTCCCTCCCGACCCTGTTGTTTTATGTTCTGTGTTCTCTCCTCCTCACCTCCCACTATCCATATGAATTAGTTGGAGCTGCTTGCGCATACTCTACTTTCTCCTTTTTTGGGACTTAAGCTACCTTTTTCCCTTCTCACTTTGGTAACAGATCTGGTCACTTCCTTTTCCCTCCTCTCCGTCTCTGACAGAAGCCTGATCATCAATTACCCAGGAAAAGAAGATCTCCAGGCTATGGAATGAACTCCCTAAGAGGATGTATCGTTTGACTCAGGCTCTGCCACAATTTTAGAAAGGGTTAAAATCTTTCACGTCATTTTTCACTGCTAATGATTGAGGTCAATTGTATTTTGTAATTTAATTGATTTGCAGTAAATGTTCAATAGATTATATGATGCAACTAGACCTGAAACTAGAAAAATGGAGTGAACAATTGCAAATTACACAACCAATGAAAAATTACAGGAACAATAGTTTTAGAAGAGAGTACAGTAGAAGAATTTGTGTAGTTTTTGAAAATATTTCCTAATAGGAAAACAGATGGAAAATTTTTAAGCAGTGGAAATGTTGGGACAAAGGTAGTAGGTGGTATGTGGTCTGGGGGAAGGAATGTCTGTCAAAAGTTATATGGAATTGGAAACTCTACATGTCAGGAGAAACATTAAAGTAAATTGAATGCAGTGGGAATTTGTTACATAAGAAAGGGTGTGTGGATAAACAAGGAGAAATTGATTCAAGAATGAATGAGCGCCAAATAGTTGTGAGATAGATATAAAAGTCGAGGATAAAAAAGGAATTTGGGGGTCATTTGGTCATAGAAAGTGAATAAATTGCAAAGCAAATATATGAAGGAAGCATGACTGGGCTGAGAGGAAAAGAAAGACAAGAAAATCAGCACTGTTAAGGAATCAATATGATGTTGAAAATGTGAGAGGTTGAAAGAACAAAGGCAGTATGGGAAGGGGGGGGTAGGGGCACAGCACATGGAAGAAGGTCCAGGAAGATTAGGAATGGTATGGTTGTAAATCAGTTCTACTTATATCGATGTATCTGGTTATTTCTTACTTCTTCTGCATAACTTTAAAGAAAAGTGGAGTGCAGTGGAGTGGTGTGTGTGTGTGTATGGATATAGGGGTACATGCTTTGTTCTCTCTATGAAGGATTGATGCAGATCAAAGGCACTTCACTGATAGATAACAAAGATGAAGAATAAATGCTATCATTTTCAAATGTAGCCTTATGCCCAATAGAACTACGCTTTAGGTAAAAATTGTAGAAGGGACACTTTGCAGATAGCATTCTCCTTCCTAATCTTTTTTGATAACGCAGTCTGTGGAAACGTTAAAGATTGCTGAACGTTTTTGTTTAGTCTATGCTCTTTTCTTCACTCAGCTTGGAAAAACAATAGGTCACCAATTAGACACTCCAAGACAAATACCAGAAACCTAATATACAATTTATTGCTGTAATTAATGTATAACTAACCATTGCCATTAAATGTGTATGTGCACACACACAAATGCACAATTGCACAAGGTTTTGGATTTATTTTCTGCCGCTAACAACCCGTAAACTGACTTGTTGAGCTCAAGGCACGGGTTTCCAGTCTCTTAATGCTACTACTAATTTGGCTATAGTATACATCCAGATGCAATGGAAGCCAGCCAAAGAATGGATTTCGCATGCACCCGCCCAAATGTGTGCAATGTGAGAGCACTTTTTTTATTTTATTTTTTTGGAATTAAACCAAAAGGTACACCTCACAGCTACCACGAAGTATTTATTTAAAAAAATGTCCTGAAAGTAAGAATTACGTTCTTTCAAAGGTGTAATCCGTACCTTTCTACTGGAAAAAAAAGAACAGCTGGAATAGGAGCACATGCAGAGACACACCCTCCTTTCAAAGGGAGAATTGCAATGTTGGTGAATGGGCAAATTCACCCACCCACCATGCAGAGTTACAGAAGAGTCATTCAATGCAAGTGGAAGGCAACCGAAAAGACCAGGAGAGAACAGGAATCATGCAGAGCTACAGTAAACAAACTCCTGTTTAAACACAAGCACACAAGCACACTCTGGACTCACAGAAATCTGGTGGTAGAATCGACCTCAATGCAGTTGAGTTTCTGATCTTTTGTCAGGCTTCAAGAATCAGAACCACACATTAAGTTCCAATTAAGATGGTTTATTGCTCATGCCTATGCACAAGAATCTAGTCAACTAATGGTCAACACTAAACTGACATTAGATAAGGATCAATGGAATTCAAGGGACTTAGACCATTTGTGGCTGTGTACAGATTCTAGGCCAGTGAGGGCAAACCTTTTAGAGACCGAGTGCCCAAAAATTGGCCCTGCCCCTGCCCCGCCCCTACCCTATCCCCCATCCCACCTGCCCGCAGGGCCACTCACCGCCTCCAGGGCCCATCACAGATCACCCAGGCAGCCCAGCAGCGCCATGGCAGCCACGCCCTCTGCCCACGCCCCGCACAATCAACTGTGCGGGATGGGGCATGAGGGCAGAGTCTTGTCTACGCTGCTTGGCAGCCATGTCCTTGGCTGCGCTGTTCCATGTGGGCCACGCTCAGGAGCGACTCTCCTCCAGGGGGGCTGCTGGTGAGGAGGGGATTGTGGAGGGAGGCGAGGTGGGGGCAACGGCACGTGTGCCCACAGAGAGGGCTCCAAGTGCCGCCTCTGGCACCAGTGCCATAGGTTCGCCACCACTGTTCTAGGCTGATTCCTCTCTTGATGCTACCCCCCAAGATCTGCTTCTCCTTCTTCTACAATTATTACACTACCTCCTTTTCCTATTCACTAGAGTTTTCTGCAATTTAGATTTGTTCATCAGAATGCAAATAATAAATCTAGCAAATATCTATGCACGTGTGCTTGTGAGTAGGCGGATGTGTCTGTGCATATAAATATACTCAAACGTAGAGTTATTGTTGCCCTTTTACTACAGTATATTCTGTACTGACAATTTCAGTCACAACTTTATAACTTCAGTAGTATGAATTGGTACTTTTTTGCACACCTCTGAGTGATTGATGCATAGAAGTATTCAACTTACAACCATTCATTTAGCAACAATGGTACTGAAAAAGTGACTTATCACCAGTCCTCACACTTATGACTGACAGCGTCCCTGCAATCACATGATCGAAATTTAGCTGCTTGGCAACAGCTGCGCGGGCATGCGTTTACCACAGTTGCAGCGTTCTGTGGCCAGGCAGTTGCCATCTCTAACTTTCCCAGAGAGCTTCTGACAAGCAAAGTCGATGGTGGAAGCCGGATTCACTTAATGACCGTGGCAAAAAAGGTCATAAAATCAGCGTGGCTCACTCAGCACCTGTATCTCTTAGCGATGGAAGTTCTGGCCCCAACTGTGGTTAAAAGTCCAGGACTATCTATACTTAATGTGATTTAATATTTACGTATCTTGCTTATCCCTGCTTCAAAACCCTCCCTCGGGAGGACAGGCACGGCCCCTCTAGGCAGCCCAGGGGCGTTTGAGAAAATGGGCCAATACTTTAAGAATGGTCAGAGGCACAGGGTTCATACGTGAACCTGAAAACAATGTCCTGTTATATGTAAATGACGTAAAACACAGACTTGGGTCACTTTGCATCAGACAAAAAATGGTGCATGAACATAGCTGTGCATGATGTATGCAAGTCACATCCAATTCATTTCCCCCAGGTCACGTACGTGTCCTGTTTTCCTGAAATAAACTTGAGACGGCCTAACCTGGGCTCAGGCTTTCTTACAACCTCCCAGCATCAAGTCTGTGAAGTAGGCTAGGTTTAGAGACAGTCACTCATTGAGTACCTAAGCCAAGTGAAATTTGAACCCGGGCCTCCCTGACGCCACGTGGGCTGACATTCACTTTCTGTCCCATTGAAGTTTCTCCAGCTGCCATGGAAGACATGCAGTCAGTACCAAGAGGAACATATTGCCTGCCTTATCCAATAGTTGATAGCTGTCCATTCTTAAGGACAGGGAAGCTGTTGTTTTTGAAGTGCCTCAACTATTATAGTGTCAGAGTTTGCAAGCAGCGAGTGACTATTCATCGAACTGGAAGCGGATGCCTAGGCCAGTCCCTGCTCTATACATCAATTTCAGAAAATATAAACCTCAAATATCCATAACCAGGGTTATATGATATTATTCCCACAGCAACCCCTATTAGAAGTTACTAAAAGCTGACACCAATTTGATGCCAATCAATGCCTTCATTTATTTAAAATTCTAATAAACAAATTCATATTTCAGAGGCTTTAGAGTTTCATGGAGAGAATTAGCCTAAGGAGGACCATAGAAATAACAGACCGATCAGTTGATTACAAACTGGGCAGGAACAGATTGCAAGAGTGTGCTCCCAAGAACTTGGATAGACTTTCTACAATTAGCAGGAGCCAGAACCAGTGTACTATAAACAAATTACATCAGACCAACTCATCTCCTTACCAATGTTTCTCTATTTTGACAACTTTAAAATGGGTGGAATCAACTCCCAGAAGCAACTGGAGTATATATTTTTTTTTCATTTATTTGTAAACTGCCTTTATTATTTGCAAATAACTCAAGGCAGTGAATATATCCAACACACCTTCCTCCTATTTTCCCCACAACAACTCTGTGAGGCGAGTTGGGCTGAGATAAAGTGGCTGTCCCAAAGTCACCCAGCTGGCTTTCATGGCTAATCCAGGACTTGAACTCATGGCCTCTTGCGTTCTACTCTGGTGCCTTAACCACTAGGCCAAACTGAAGTTGAAGTCCACATATCTTAAAGTTGCCAAGGTTGAAAAACACTGACTCTTGCTTGGATAGAGTTACCAGCTAAGTAGCTCAGGTGAATGCCACCACAGTAGCTGGACCCACCCCCCCAAAAAAAGATTTCATTCAACACAGAATCTTGTGATGGTCTCCTGTGGAAATGTTGGCTGTTAGGCAGACTTACAACTGGGTGAATTATGGTGCCTGAAGAAGGCTCCCTGAGTGGAGGGCTAGTCACTGGACTGGATGAGAGAGGAGACATTAATGAAGTTTGCCGATCACCCAATGCAAAGCAAGCTACCGGTTGGCTAGGCCTCAAGAGGGACTAACGGCCTTCTCCCGGATGCAGCTTGGCTGCTCACCTCTCTGTGTCCATCTGGCCTAGATGTAAATTAAACATGTACCTACCAGTATGTCTAACATTGCCGTTTTGCCGTCACGAGTTTGTTGCCCTTTGGCATGACCAAGAAAAGAAAAAAAGAAAAAACCACCTTAAAAAACCTGGCAGATATCAAGTTTTCAAATATTTATACTAAAACACCCTGCCACAGTGTGGTTACAGGGGCACGAATTACAATGAGTTTAAAGAATGGAAGCCAAAGAAATGTCCTTGTTCTACTGATTTTTCAAAATGCCACAACTGGCTATAAATTCTGGGTTGCATTTTTTTCCCCGAGCATTGTTATTTCCTCAGCACTACACATTCTTAGTAAATGAGATGGATGAAAACGGAAGGGGCTGGCAACACAATTCTAAACCAGCCTTTCTCAACCTTGGCAATTTTAAGATGTGCGATGGTGCAAGATGAATTCCTGGAGTTGGTCTTAAAAGTTGCCAAGATTGAGAAACGCTGTTCGGAGAGACACCAAGTCCTACAAATGTTCTTGAGGTCATTTGTCCCAATCTCAGAAAAAAGGAGCAGTGATCGCAATAAAATTCAAAGACAGCGACTAAAGAATTTGTAGCTACCCAGGTTCTTGGCCTTAGTCTGAACACTGACTGAGGTCACTCTGGGATGGAGGAAAGCACCTCCAATAATACCTCCTCCCTCGGGCCAGATCACGCTTGGGCGCTTTCCGATTTGTACACTGATCTCAACTTCTTGACTGTGGAGCGAAAGACCCCCGTTTTCACAACAAAGGAACAGATCCATGCTTCACCTCGGAAGTCAGAGCAAGGCCGTCCCCAGCCCGGCGCCCTCCCCGTTCCCAGGCCCCCTCCTTCGGCTGCAAAATGAGGATTTTCAAAATAGCCCATAAGTTGGGGGGGCGGAATCTCGGTAATATCAACGCCAAAAGCCCTTCAAAACTGCACCCGACCGGATGCCCCTCGCTTCGCTTCAAGCCGCCACAACGCCAGAAGAACAACACTAGCAACTCTGCGGGGAGGGGACGGAGCAGGGGTCGCGTCCGCCGAAGCCTGCCCATTTCCCCCAGCGGTTCAGGCCTGCGGGGATCCGCTCGTCCGCTAGAGGGCGGCAGGAGGGACTCTCGCCTCGCTCTGCTGCCCTCGGCCGGCGGCGCGGCGTTTTGCGAGCCCGACGGGGCGGCGCGGCCTCTTGGCCGGGAGGGCGCGAAGGGGCTGGCCGGCGGCCCCGAGGATGCTGCCACTCGGAGGTCCCGCTCGCGCGAGTTCCCGATTGCGAGCTCGGTCCCCGCCCGGCTTCTGCGCAGCCCCCCCCCCCCCAGCCCACGCCTCGTTGCAGCGCGGCGCCTCTGCTCGGAGCGTACCTTGTGCCCGGCCGGAGGGCGGCAGCAGGAGGAGGGCGAGGAGCAGCGGGCCCCAGGGTTGCCGGCAGCGCGAAGGGTCCATGCCTGGGGCGGGGAGGGGGGCGAAGAGAGGCCGTGGAAGTCAGAGAAGCGTCTCTCGCTGAAAGCTGCTCTCCTCTGCTCTGCTCTCTCGCGCTGCCGGCGGCGCCTCCTCCTCCCGAATTCGGGGTCGTAATCACTGGTTTCACAGGGGTCCGAACCGCCCAGGACCGGTTGAGAAGGGAGCGTGTAAAAGGATTCCCGACCGCCCCCCCCCCAACACCACCCCCGCCGCTAAAAGTAACTGGGGGAAGAGTCCGTCCAACGCCCCCTCCCTCCCTCCCTCCCAATTTCTCCCGCTTGCATAAGGCTCAACGCCGTCTGGAGGCCGGCCCTTTCCTGAGTGGTATGTGGAATCCAGGGGTGGTCCTTCTCTCCCCCCCTTTTAACCCAAAACCACCCACTCCCCTCTTTTGACTTAGAAACTTTCGGAAACAAGGCAGGGGTTGCCGCGGCTGTCCTCTTTCAAACAGAAAGGGAAATTCTCTGAAAAGCAGCACAAGGAAAAATGTCTAAATTTCAATACCATTCTGCACGCGCAAAAACCCCCAGAAAAATAAACCAGACAGAGAGAAAAAAATTAAAGGGGAGAGTCTCCATGTTGCAACTGGGGTGGTTAACGGTTTAATCTTTGGAAACGAACATCTAAAACAAACTGCCACTAATAACAGAAGAAAAGTGAGTCACTTTTTGTCCTAATGAAAGCACACTCAGATCTGGTTTTATCTTACTCAAACAAGATACCGCTCAATCGTGGTTCAAGCTGAGGATCACGGCTGAAATCCTTCCATCTCCCTCTTCTTCCGCTCCTTCCACAAGGAGGAGATAAGAGAGGTCAGGTGTCACTTCAGGAATCATCCTGGTTTGTGCTGCTTGGCCACAGCTGGGGAATCTATTCCATCTCCTGGGTCAAGTCCTCTCCAAAACGTAAAGCACCTCAGTCCCCAGCAGGAAGTTTCGTGCCTGGGCATTAATATGCCTTAAGGGAGCAGAAATGTTTGTATCTTATTTTACTACTTCAGTATTGAATACTTGTTATCTAGGCTGTCCTGCATCTAGCCTGCCTTGGCTGATTGCAAACAAGGTGAGTGTAAAAATCATCAAGAATCTGGCTAAACTCCAGGCAGTTGCTTCACTTTCACATAAGCTATCTGTGTGTGTGTGTGTGTGTGTGTGTGTGTGTGTGTGTGTGTGTGTGTGTTTCTAAAAAGGCTGTAGTAGGCCTATTGCAGCTTCCATTGAACAAGATGTCCAGAATCAACTCTTGACAACTTCTCTAGCACAAATGCACTGCTTGATTATCTTTTCCAGGCTCTTCCCAGGTGTTGATGTCAGGCTGATTGGTGTGTAGTTTCCGAAATCCACTCCCCCCCCCCTTTTTTTTTTTTTTTTTTTTTTTTTTTTTGTAGATTGGAACCACTCCGGGATGGTCCTGGCAATGAAGCCGTTTCGAGTGAAGAGGGGTTCTCTTCCAATTTCTTGCCTGTTGTGACCTGCATTCCTATTCCGTCTCCTGTGGTGCGGCTTTTGGTAAGTTGGACTGTTTTTTTTTCCCTTTTGCACGAAGACAGATGCAGAGAATGAATTAGAAACAGTTCCGCTTCCCTGATGCTGGTTACTTCCTTGCCATCTTCTCCCATTAGTGGACTGATTGTTTCCTTGACTTCTTTCTTTACACTTTTTTTTAAAACGGCTTTAATGCAAAACGTTTGGACGTCTGATTCAGCTCAGCAATCCAATCAGCAAACCATGTTTTATTTCTGTTGTGCTTGGCGCACACAGCTCCTCGCCCCACTGCTTATTCAGGCTGCTCCAAAACTCAAAATTATTTGCTTTTAACTTGCTGGCTTCGCCACTGACATTTCCAGGAATGGAGCCAGGTTTTGCTCAACTGCAGGTCCTGTTAGAAGTCTCTTTACCCTAATCAAAGGCATTGAACCTCGATATCTGTGTATTACCTTTGCTTTTCATTCCAGTCTATTTTATTCTATTTCCATAGCTGTTGGACTCCTATCACCGTTCTTCTGTAAACATCGTCTTCCTGTGCCTCTAGCCATAAATCCTTAAAGTTAAAGATTAATAATAGGGATACAAAAAAGAAAAGGAGCCAGCAGGAAGGAAAAGTTTTGATAGTTTGCAAAAGTTCCAAGATAGATGTAGCTGTTCTCTGGGCTGCTAGTTACACCCCTAGCCAACTACTGATAACAAACTCAAGATATTTATTGCAGTTGTAAATCTTTCACCAAAGTAACACAAAGCACATTGCAAACACAAAGCTTTCTGTGTGGAAAACAAGCGGAATTGCTTATCAAAAGAGTTCCAGTGACAAACTGCAATTTCAGGACGATCCAAAGATGGTCCGTTTCTTGTCCAAGAATCCAGGCAATCCGACAGAGTCTCAGGTAGGAAATCTGATCATTTTTTGTCCATCTCTGATGCCCTGGATATGAGCTTCACCAATCAGTCGAACGTGTTTCTTTCTTTCAAGGAGATGACGTAACTTCCTTTGCTCACTTCTTCCTAGTTTGTGACATGTTGCCGGGCCTGGGATCTTGCGTCCTTAGATCACCTGACCCAAAGCTGGTACCTGTGTGGCCTGAGGGGCAGGTGCTTCCCTCAGCACCTGGGGCCTTCCTGGGGCCTTCTTGGGAGAGCAGGGAATGGCAGGGGAGGCTGAAGGCGAGACTTTATGAAAATGAGCCTCCTGGCTGTGGAGAACCTGCAGGAACAGAGCCAGCGATTGTGGCGGTTGGCCAGACCAGGAGACAGAATAGAATAGCAGAGTTGGAAGGGACCTTGTAGGTCATCTAGCCCACCCCCCACCCGTGCTCAAATGTTAGGAGTTTACCTGTTTCATGCCACATTTGTGATGAAAACAAAAATAATACAGGTCTGGCTGCTTGTTTTTAATCCAAAAAGAAAAACAAATATTCCTTTACTACTGAGGGCACATCTTATAAACAGTTGTTTTCCAGGGTGTATCTGCTGTCTCTATCCCACTATTTACAAGATAACATTGGACAAGTCCAGAAGGAAAAAATAAAAATAAACTTTCAGCCGGGAGGATAAGTTAATGGAAAGTCCTTCACTACATTTTCATCATTTGCTATTATAACCTTTTGCATTTTATGTAGCTTATGAAGTAGCTGATAAATACATGGAGCTTTTAAAAAGCATGTTGTGCAGTATATCGTGCACTGAATTATTACTAATGGTAGAAACAGTAACAGTAGTGCAGATGCTGCCAAGACTTAAGTCTTCCTTGGCTGATTTCTTGGAGAGGTCAGGTCATTCCCACGTTCAACCAAATCCGTTCCTGAAATCCAGTTATGGCCAGGTTCTTCCTGGAGGCAGAGTTAAAAGAAACCAGATGGCTGCGATTTTTCAAATGAAAAAACATGTGTTTTGTAATCACAGTCACTATCTTGACTTTTTTGACGCCTGCCTGGACCTTTGCCTCTTCCCTGCTGCATCCTCCTGTTAGCCTGTATGGCAGCCTCGGACTTTGGAGACTGGGCAAGCCTCCCCGAGAGAGGGCTTTCTCTTTTTCAAGGGCTAAGGCTGGTGACTCCCAGCCTTTCCCCCTCCTTTTATGTATCTGTCCATTTAACCTCAGAGGGGATGGAGATACATCAGCACTTTGTCCTATAGGGAAATCCAAAGCGCATTGCTTGACTTGGAGACAGATGCCAAGGGCCTGAACACGTTTCTACTCCACTCCATAAAATCCAGTGAAAATGGCGCAAGGCCTCTCTTATAAAACCAGGAATGAAACTCTAAAGAATCCAAGAAGCGGATTCAAACCCTCCCCTTAAGAGCTTTCCTTCCACTCCTTCCAACTGACAGGGTATTCTCACTGCGGGAAGGGACAACTCGCCATGGCCAAAGGGACAAATCACTGCAGAACAATTCAACAATTCAATTTAATTATTTAAAATAATTTTAAAAATATTTTAATTTTTGTCATTCACATTTTATTTTGTCCCTCCTTTGGCACTCTTTTTTTAATGATTCTATTCCACTATTTCTTCGATTATTAGTGTAACTTTTGTCCTGTGGCGAGTTGTCCCAGACCCCCCCACTCACTGTGTTGTTTAGCCGTCTATAAATCAGTTCCAAAATTTTTGCTCCATGGAAAAAGAGCCCCCTGAATAAGGACTGATCAGGTGTATGTTGGAAGTACATTAACCATTTAAGATGTAGGTGCCTGCAAATTAATACACGACAGCAGCTTCTTAAAGAAGCACGAAGTTGGCTTTGTGACGGACGGGACAAAGGCCAGCAGGTCGTCCCTGATGTACATCTACAGTTGGGACCGGAATTTCCATCGTAACTTGGTGCAATTATAAGGTGAGTCATCAAGTAACCAGAGCCAATTTTATGATCATTTTTACAGAGCTCATAAAATGAATCACCACGTTCATTAAGTAAATCATCTGGTCATTAAGCAAATCATGTGGTTATTAAGTGAATCTAGCTTCTCTAATGGACATTTTTTGTTAGAAACTAGGTGAGAAGGTCACATATTATGATCGCATGACTGCAGGACGCTGCGATTAGCCGTAAACGCAGATAGGCTGCCAAGTGCCCAAATTGTGGTCACGTGACCGGGAGGGGCAGTGCAACCGTCATCAGCGCAAGGGCAGGCTGTAAATCACTTTTTTCAAAGCCATCTTTGAATTGTCATTAAATGAACGATTGTAAGTCAAGGACTGTCTGTATTCTAAAAGAATACCATTTAATGCATGCAGACACATACAATACAGGAAGTCCTTGACTTACAACAATTCACTTAGTGACTGTTCAAAGTTACAGCAGCACTGAAAAAAGTGGCTTCTGTGTTTTTCACAATTGCGACCTTTGCAGCATCTCCATAACCATGTGGTCACAATTCGGAGGTTTGGCCACTGGTTCATATTTGTGACCATTGCTGTGTCCCAAGGTCATGTGATCACTTTTGTGAGCTCCTTACAAGCAAAGTCAGTGGGGAATCCAGATTCACTTAACAACTTTTCAACTGCAGTGATTCACTTACCATTTGTGGCAAAAAAAGTCATAAAATGGGGCAAAACTCACTTAACAAAGGTCTCACTTAACAACAGAAATTTTAGGCTCCATTGTGGTCGTAAGTCAAGGACTACCTGTATGCCTATTTTCCTTTCAGAACTGGCAACATTATGAAGAAGGTGGAAAAGGTGTAGCAAATAGTTAATTGAAAAAAATAAAGGTGTGATCTGATCAAAACCTTCTACACACATTTCTTTGTTGCGGTCACCATCTGAACGTTTTTCCTCAGCCATTCCCGGTGGGCACCTCCTCTGAGCTGGCCTCTAACCACTCGGTGGGACCCTGTGGCTGCTCTTCCGGGAAGGGTGAATACAAGCAGGGGATCAGCTGATAAGCAGAAGAGACCCTGTCAGTCCCGGTTTGGTGGCCTGGCTCAGATTTAGCTCTGGAGGGAGGACGAGATACGGCAGGACCCAATCCAAGGGCGGGCAGGCACCACGGCAGAGAAAGATCTCGGGGTCCCGTCAGATGATTTTCCTTAGCAGACAGAACCCCTAACGTGCTTTTCCTGCCAGATCTGATGGGATGGGTAGGTGTACCTGGGGAGAGATGGTTCCCTCAAATACCATTTTTTCCATCAAAATTTCACATCTATATTTCCAAATCCAGATAGAAATTTCATTGGAAGTTCAATGTGGAGGGACTTTTGTTTTCAACTGACTATCTTCGGTCCGCAAAGTGATAAAAATGCTCCTGATGGAATGTGGGCTGATGAAAGAAACGATGGCTCATTTCCCGTGCATTTTATGGGCCAAAAAGTGCAAAATGTACAAAAGAACAAGGAGACCATTTTCTTAGAAATGCCTGAATTTCAACATAGTCCATATGCAGTCCCTTCTCCTCCTTTGGCTAAGCATGGGGGAAGGACTTTATACTCAAAGTCTTAAGTGGCATGTCTCCCACATCCCTCCAAAGATTAGTAAGGAGATTAAGGCTTGCTCCATTCTGAAGCAATTTAAAGGATATCTTTTGCAATTGTTTCCCCAAGAAGTGGGTGGAGAACCCTCCATTCTGATCCTGGGTATCATTTCCAGAGACAACATTTGGTTCTTATTTTCAAAATATAATCATGCAAGTCTAGCAGAAAAACAACAAGACCATCATTGTGCCACAATAATTAGTCAGACATGCACCATTCCAAAACTATGTGTTACTAAGGTTCTCAGAAACTCTGGTTATCGTTATTCAACATGTCCAACTAAAGGTTACGTTTGGTTTCCTCGGTGTTATCAGAATGAGCTAAACATTAATTACCCTTTTTGTAGTAATGGAAAGCCAAGAGGGTGTGGGTTTGACTGTTAGGATTACTGCAGAAAAAAAAAAACAATTGCTATCAATCTGTGTTCCGTAGAAGACCTGCATATTGCACAGACCAGAAGCAGGGCTGAGAAAATAACTACAAACCCCTCACATCCTGGACGTAAAATGTTTCAACTCCTCCCCTTGCGGAGCAGCTATTGGATGCCAAAACAACTAGACACAGAGACAGTTATTTCCCTCATGCCCTCACTCTCCTGAACATCTAATCCTCACAGCACTGTTTTATTTCTAGGTATATTCATCCATGTTGTATGGCTATAGTATCTCATCTTCTCTACATTGTTATGATTATTATTACTCTGTTGTTTTGCATGTACATGAGAGATAAATTCCTTATGTGTTTAGTCACACTTGACTAATAAAGCTAGTCTAGTCTAGTCTAGTCTATTTTCTCTATTCACTGCTCTGCTCTGCTCTACTCTACTGGTTTAGAAGGGTTTTTTTTTTAAAGTTGCCAACTGCTGTTGAGAATTGGCAGGGAGAATAATAAATGGTGTCACATTTGTATTCCTCTCCCCCACCCATATTTTCCTAAAATTGTCTCATGTACTCAGTCCTGGCCATATTGTGATCAACTGAAAAAAGTTTTAGACCAGTGGTTCTCCACCTGTGGGTCGGGACCCCATTTGGGGTCGAACAACCATTTCACGGGGGTCGCCAAACAACGCAGTCCGCCATTTTTTTCCCCCTTTTCCTTAGCTGTGCTACTCCCTTTTATTCTATTGGCTTTGGAAAGCCAATAGAATAGACTCTCTCGAATAGAGTCTAATTCTATTGGCTTTCAAAAGCCAATAGGAATTGTCCAGGCTGTCTCTGCCCTGCTGAGCCCGCCAAAAGTCCCATTCTGCCAACGGTGCTGTACCAGTTGAGTAGTCCTCGACTTATGACCGGTTGAGTAGTCCTCGACTTACGACCGGTTGGGGGTCGCAGCATTAAAAAGGTTGAGAACCACTGCTTTAGACTTTCATCCTGATTAGATTTATTGCTCTTGTTTATATTTCTGTTGAAGTACGTGGGGATGACATTGACAAATACAAGTTCTAAACTGTTTCAAAATAACTTTGTGCCTCTTTGGAATGATATTAAACAGACTAATTGAGATGAGATTAATTACAACTATCTTTATTGGGTTAATCTCTGAAATCTCTTTTAAGATGAATGTTTTACCAAAAATGCTATTTTCTGATTCAGACTCTTCCAATATTTGTAACTGATAACTCCATTTAAACAATGTCAGTTTATATAGCAAGGGAAAAAACCAAGAATTAGATATACTGTAAATTATTGCAAGATAATAAAAGAAGAGGTTTGGATTTACCAGATTTCAAATTGTACTTTGATGTCTGTCATTTGGTCTGGCTAAAAGAGCGGGAGGCTCTCCAAATAAGATTTGAGCTGGAGGGACAGGAATTAAGATTTGGATGGCACACCAATTTATGCTATATGATAAGGTCAAAGTAAATGCTGAGTTCAACAACCAATTTGTTAGACATGCCATCCTAAGAGTTTGGAATACAGTAAATATAAAGTAAGGTTTACTGCAAAGATATATGGCCTAGGAGGGCTTGTTTTTTGTTTCCTTTCCTTTTCTTTTGTTCTGTTTTGGAAAAGAAATGTAATCTATCAACCTGCCGCCTCAGTCCATAAGGGAGTTTATGAGCAAGACACGGTCCAACTACGCAGACAGCCCTCAGTTTACAACCGTTCCTTTAGTGACTATATAAAATTACAACAGCACTGAAAAAAGTGATTAATGACTGTTTTTCATACTTGTAACCATGGCAGCAGCCTCATGGTCATGTGATGAAAATTGGGGTGCATTTATGACAATTGCAACATCCTGGGTCACGTGACCCCCTTTTGCAACCTTCTGACAAGCAAAGTCAATGGGGAAGTCAGATTCACTTAACAACTGTATTAGTAACTTAACAACTGCAGCAATTCATTTAACAACTGTGGTAAAATGGTCATAAAATGAGGGAATTTTGGCCTCAGTTATTATTGTTAAGTCAAAAACTACCTGTATTTTAGATTAAAATGTTCTGGGATGAAATCCCATATTGTTAGTTATGGGTCACTGTACATTCCAAATCAAGAAAATGGGGCTTGATTGACTAAATTATGTTTTAAGTAAATCATGAGTAATTTTTTAATACAAAGTCAACCTACTGAGAAAGTTACAGGTCTTTAATATCAGAGCCAATACTTCACTTTAATTTCTGACCACTTTGGAGAGCTGCTTCAGTATATTTATTTCAGTTAATTCTGTTGCAACTAGCCAGCGGTGGGGAAAGTCAGGATAATTGTAGGAGTGCCACAGCTGGACTTCAAAAAATCAGACGACCACAGAGAATAGCAAAGAGGTATAAAAATCCTTGGTTTTTTGCTGCCCTCTAGTGATCACCTTAAATTCTGGTCTAATAGCTTTAAGTAAATGTACAGTAATTCAAAAATGAACCAATGCTAAACTTTATTGTGCTTCACGTTTACGTAGCTGCCTATTTAACAAATGTGACTCTTGGCAGCATACAATAAAGAACAACCATAAAACAACTACTTAAAACTTTCCGCAATAAAAAAATCAGTATTTCTTTAAAAAGATTAAAAGAGGGCTTCCTTGGCATTGCAAATATCCTCCATCTCCCTGGAATCACCAGACCTATCGGGACAGGCAGCTCTCGGTGTCTGAGGGCTAATTCGAGGTCACTTTGTTGTAGGCGTGCAGCGAGAAGTACACAAGGTGTTAGACCCTCCTCCAAGGGAAACGCAACTAGCCAGGCACTAATGTCTTTAACGTATTTCAGATGAATAAATCTCCTTTCTGTTATAGAAACTGCTTCACTGCTCATCGCTTAGGGTTAAGAATTCCACTCCCGGGCAGGCAGAGAGAGACAGAGAGAAAGAATGCTACAGCCACCATGTGAGTAAACATTCATATATTTCCAATTATAAAAAAATTACAAATGAAAAGTACAGTAGCTTTTCTTTGCTTTTCATCTTCCAAATAGCAAGGTTTACTGTAAATCATTTTACCTTTTTTGTAACTGAAAATGTTTCTAGGTCAGAAAGAGGTGGTAATTCGTTTTGGGAGCATTGGCAGGAAGGAAACAGTGATTGCAATTAATTAATTATGGAAGAAGAAAAAGTCTCACAACGGTAGCATTGGTAGCTGAGCTAAATATAGATATAAATCAGCACCTTCTGCAACTGAAGAGCTATTTTAGCTCTTTTAGCAACTGGCCCGAGCCAAGCTGAAGGGAGCCTGGTTCTAGGCTGCAGAGGGTGCGGACCACACCCTCGTTCATTCACACCTCACAACTTAGCCACCCTTAGAGAGTATACACCAAAAGGGGTGGTCCACTATTCGGCCACCCCACGGACCAGGCCACTGACTGAGGGAACCTGGGCCTTTCTCCGGATGGTTCCAGGTCCTTCCAATCCCACAAGGTCATCTTCATGGAAGAGCTGAACCAATTCTGCCTCTAATTTAAACGATAAACCTAATTTCAGAAAACCCTGGGCAACTGGTCCTGCCTCAAACTAAGCAGACATTGTAGGAAGATGGCGAGTCTGGGCCTCCACTTCAAAAGCTCACATGTAGCAAACAATTGTGTCATGTTGTATCTGGAGGAGGAATGGGAGCCTTCTCAGGTATCAAAATGTCGTAGGAAGCCCTCTCCCCTTAATTCATGCCTGGATCTTTGAGTCTGATTATAAAGAGAGAATCCACTAATTCTTTCCAAACTTAAACTATACTGGAAATTAAAATGTAATGTCTTCTTCAGATCGAGCTCAATTCCTACTGAACAAATCTTTTTCTTTTTTTGTGTGGGGGTGACTTCATAATCTAGCCTAGAACCCAATTTACCAGTGATTCGTGATGACTGTAGGTAGCCCGTTTCAAAAGGATGTGCTTCATATGTACACTATTAAGTGTACAAGCTTAAATCCCAGCTAGATTAAGAAGATTCCTCTACGTTAAGAGAGAAATGTTTCTCTAAAGCACACCATATATATCAAAAATCCAAATTATGTTTTTGTTTGGTGCTAATTAACATTACTGGAAAAGAAAAATGTGAAAGATGCTCTTTTTTTCTACATATGATGGATTTTATTAAATTCTGGGTTTATGACTGAACAATGCATTTTAAGAAGGACACTGATGAAGAAGAAGAGTGTATCCAGAAGAAAGGAACTAAGCCTGGAAGGACAAACATGCAAGAAAGAAATATTGGATGGATTTAGCTTAAGAAAGAGAAGAGAATTGCAGAAAAACGTGACTCAAGAATTCAAACACTTGAATGGCTGTCATGTTGTAGAATATGGAATAGTGTTATTCAGAATTGCTGCATACTCTGAATTCTCTTCAGAGATGAGCAAGTTCATTTGTCTAAAGTTGTTTCAGAACACAGGACGAGGCGAAAAGGAATTAGATTTTGGCTGGACATTGCTTTTAAAAAATTGTATTGGTAAGAGCCACTGAAAAACGGAGACAACTTAGAACCGAGACTTCCGCAGCAAGTCCTGAATTCTGCCACCTGTTGGGCCTGTGGCGGGAGGCAGCCGTGGTGGGCAGCAGGATGGATTGGATGGTCTCCAAAGTCCCTTCAGAGCTGGGAAAGCATCGTTGGTTTGCAAATAAAAATGATGTGCGGCAGCAACGATGCGCATACTTCAGATTCAGATATATTTCAAAAGCAGAAATACACTTGCGATCCTTTATAATTGTTTGACTATGTGAGTTAGCATTAGCATTTTGAAATGATTGCATTTCAGCATAGTTGATCAAGTGATTAATTTTTTTTATTATGGCTAATGAAAATATAATCTCTCCCCCCCCTCCCTCCTTCCCTCTGTGTGGGGGGGGGGTTCCTTGAATCCTAGAGAACCAGCTTCCTTTTCACGTGATAAATTCATTCCTCATTCATTTTTACCTTCAGTAATGAAGGCAGAGCTATTTCTGCCCCTGAATCTCAAGGCTCATAAAGTCAGAGATGTGTTAGGAAGCTGCACTGTTCAGATAAGAGTTATCAAAAGGGAGGGTTTTTCTTTTTAATTTGGCACCTAGCAGCTTGCTTGAAATTCCTGTCCTCCTTCTCAATTTACTTTAGTGCAAGTTGCTGTGTTATTTGAGGCTTCAAAAGTGTTGAGGAATGGAATCCAGTGACAAATTATTGGTGACCATGAAAATGGGTTTCTCAGTTTTTAGCTGACGTGTTCATAACTATATATACTTGCTTCTTTCTCTCTTTTTTTTTTTGAAAGAGAGAGAGAAAGAGAGAAACAGAAAAAGGAAAGCAATTTGCTAGTGGATGAATAGAAGTGCAACCACAGATTCATTTATGATGAATAAAAAAACAAATAGCTACAGTATTTAATAGTAATTCAGTATCATAACCATTATGAATACACAGCCATTATTGAGTCACATTTACATACCTACTGTATATTACGCCTTCCAGATCTAAGCTGGAAAAATCTAGGCAGCTGGATGGATCTGAACGTCTCTCTTTGCCAAATAGCAGACACAATGTCATGAATTATCCTAGTCCTCTCTCTTTATGCATATGTGGTGAAAACCAGTATTTCTGTGTTTCTGAATATATAATCTTCAGATCTTTCTCTTTCTATAACATAGGAAGCAGTGTTTGATGCCCCATTAATCACTGTTTAAATTGAAATCCCTCTCTAAGTTATCATTTCAGATAATCAAAGGAGACATACAACTATTCTTAGGAACATATTGGGAAGAAAAAGTGAAAACATTGCTCATAAGATAAATTATGCATTATGTGAGTAATTTTACTGAACATCATTCTCCTCCATTTTAGGAAAAAGGACCAAGGACAATGTAACCCCTTCACATGGGTGACCTAAGAAGGAAAGTGCCGATTGAGGAGACACTGTTCAGGGCTGGAACTGGGCAGGAGGGAGAATGTGGCTGGGATCGCCCCTTTCCTTCCAGCTGCTTGGAAACATCTGCTGGGCTTTTGTGGAAAGAGATGCTGGGCTGCAGGGCGCAATTCTTCCATCTGGATTCGTGGTGATGTCCATTCACGCGTGCGTTTCATCGTGTGCACTCGGTCCATTGCATTAGGGCTCCTCTAGAGAATGAGCGTAGCTGCAACTAGGCGGAGAAACTATTGTCTGAAGCAGGAGATGAAATGGCTCATATCTATCTTCCTTCATGCGATGCTGACTAAATCATTGCTCCAGGTATCCAATTAAGTATATGCCAACTTGGCTTTTATCTAATAGGGAGCATCTATATGTGAACCATTTCTTGATGAGGTAATATGGAAAACCTGCGTTACTTTGCATTTTATTCAGCAGAAAGGACAAATATTTAAATCTCACCTTGCGTGACGTCTCTGATCCAGTTGTAGCAAGCTTTAAATATTCCCAGGGGATTGCTTACCTGCGAATAACCACATCTTCCTATTCTTCTGCCCTACAGCTAAAGTCTCAGCATTCAGGGCTGGTCCTAGCCTAAATCAAAGTGGAGCAGTCAGTTTACATTTGCATTTGAAGTTATTTTTAGAGCTATGCAAAATATTCAAAAGAGCATATTGTGAACTGTTGAGACTTTATAAATAAGGCTCAGCAGGGCTGGTGCTTGGCTGTTCCAGGGTCAGTCCGCGTGCAGCCCCTGGCAACCGCAGCAGCACTGTGGGCTCTCCAGAGACAACCTGGAAGAAGCCCTTGCACTGCTGGTAGAAAGGGAAGGAACACAATGAAAGATGGGTAATGTCAACAACTACATCAGCCCTGTAAACTGAATGAGTAGATGCCAAATGATGAAACTGACAAATGGAGGAAAGTAATCACATCGCATTGCACTTGTGTTGAAAGGGCTGGCCAGTGACCGTTGCCTGGGGGGGGGACACCAGTTAGGGGCTTCTTTCATGTCCCCTACAGGACCTGGAGCATTGGAGGAGAGCTTACCCTGCCCACGGCAGGGTTCAGGTCTCAGACGCGAGCTTGCTGCTTGTCAACCCAGTGTCCTAACCATGGAGCAGGCTCACATGCTCTTGTGAGAAAGCAATAGACTCTTAGGCTCCCAGGGTGCCACCACCCAACACTGGGTGAGCCTCTTCCTTATCGGTGTGTATTGCAACCAGATTATAGGGCATGTTACCTCACTAAATCAGTGGCATTTTCAAAGGGATGGAGAGAGGATCGGTCTTCCTGTACTTAAAGAAACCTCAGTCCAACCCAATGTATTTGTAGTCCTCAGCTCTCTCAGATTCTGAAGCATACTCTACATATTTTGATCTTGAATAATCCCACAGAGGAGGGAAGCAGATCCCGACGTGATTGGGTAACTAAGCAATTTCTGTAAATTTAGTTGACTGAAATAATATGTCCTGAGTAAAAAAAAATAGATTTTTATACATAAAAACAGTGTTCCACGTCTCTGTTGATCCATCCGTTATAGGAGGGAATGTTTAATATTAATATTAATATTCAATTGAATATTAATCTTTACAATCGCCTGAATCACTTGTATGTATTTAAGCCCAAATTTTCTAGCTTTTTTACACATCCATATCCCATTTCCAGCATAAGTGTTAAGTAACTTCATACATTCTAGATAATTTTCTCATGTTATATATACCAATGATAAAATATTTTATAAAAATTCCCTTTAAGACTGTAACATAATGTAAATTTCCCTCCTTTTAACAACATATTTTCCCATTGTTCCATGTGTATAGTATAACCAAGGTTTTTAGCTCACTTTATCATACGTTCTTTGACCTGTTCTTCTTTTGTTTCAAATTTTAATGAAAATTTATACATTTTAGCAATTCATATAATTCCATTTTGAATTTTGTCTTACGCTGTTCAATGCCATTAGTTCTTTATCTACTTTAAGGCTTTCTGATGGCTGCAAGAAAACCATTAACTATGTTCTGTGTCATCAAATGTTGTCTTAATTCTATTTTATATTCCCTTTGAAAAAACCCTTAACACTTGACAATATGTTAAATCATTTACCTTTGCCTGCTATACCTTCACTATAAAATGCTTCCTGTGCTGAGAACCGTAAAGGTATTTTCGAGCACAGCCTGAGTTGGTGGCTATTCCATAATCTCCGTATGTCAAGATTAACAGGGTGATTTTCGAAGCCTGCATTAACTTTGAGTCGACGGTGACACAGGTGCTTATGGCGCTGAAATCTAAGATCATGTTCTTCTAGCTCTAAAAGTATTTCGCTGTATTTCTCAACAACCCCTGTTCTTTTATCCAAACCAAAAATACCATTTCAGGTCAGGTCAGGTAGACTTGATCCTCCCCTTACCGTTTTGTGACCCTTTGCATTTAACTTGTGGGGTTTTTCCCTCGCTGTGCCATCCTAGGGGTATCTTTTGGGCATTGTTCCAAAAGGTCACAAGGCCCAGCTTTGAATCTGGAGAGCCACCTGCTGCTGGCACCACCTGACCTTAACCCTTCCCCGCCCCCGGCTCTCCAGCTGAAAAGACCGGCACTTTCTGAGCAAGTCTTAATTGTGCATTTTTTTAAAAAAAAAAAAAAAGCAAAACCCACTTTGGCCTTTAACTAAGTCACCTTCTGAGCTGGGGCAGAGGGCACCAGTGCAGAGAGCCTTACCTTCCTCTTTTTCTTAAAATATCAAGTGGATTAAGGATTATTATTCAAGGATTAATAGCAAAGCCAGAGGCTAAACCCTGATAAAAAATGGCATGCCAGCTAGTTTTGTTTAAAAAGATCTCAGCAGTATATTTCTGTAGATTTAGGAAAACACTTCATTTTTTGAAATTTTCTTGCTGCCACAGGCTGAAAAATTAATTCCTCAATGGAAAAGAAAGGGCAAAGAAAAAAAAACTTGGGCGTCTTGAACAGAAATTCTGAGATGTCCCCACTTAGACTGAAGGAGTGCTTAGGAGGAAGGTTCCTGTAATACACAAGAAGGCAAATAATTCCTGCGTCAGAAATCTTTATCAAAATAAAGATTTTCCAAGCTATGTGTAATATTTGTTTTACTTTTTAATGAAGTATCCCATTACCTTTTGTGGAATTAATACATGCCAGCAGCACAACCGTCACATTTTTGCTACAAATTCCTGACACAAAATCTGTACACAAAATCCATGTATTATGAAAGATTTAACAAAATAAGAATATTAGAATTGAAAGCAAATGTAAAATTGCAAGTGTGTTAGCATTTTTAATGCATTTTGATGTCAAAACTGATTGGAAATATGTCTAAAATGCTAACAAACTGTCAATACATCCATCCGCCGACATAAGTTTCTCCCCTTCACAAGCAAACAGGTGTGTGCATTTGGTCATCATCCACTTGGATGGTCTACTGTTCTATATACCTAATTATTATTTCACCTTTTTTTTCTAATAAGACAGTTGCCATATTTAATAACAAGATACAAAGTTTACTTCATTATGAGAAAAAGAGCTAGAGAAATACCAATCAAATCTCCCAATTGTTCTTTAGGCAATCTTTAGCCTTTTGGAATATTGAATGCAGGGATTATTCTCATTTCTTTAAACTTGTCCGCCTGTCAGTCTATAAAGCATGGATAAACTGTTCCCAGAGACACCTGTGGGGCTCTGTCTGCCTGCCCAGGTCTGTCACGGCCTGGTTATCCACAATAGACTTTGTCCCCCAAGTTCATTGCGGACCAAGACTGGAAATGATGGCTGTTAGAGGAGTTATTCTTTTTCTAGCAGCTTCAAAATTCACTTGGAGTTGTCATCTTTTCCCTACTCTGATACAAAACACCTTGCAGCTCTAGGGGTGGTGGGTGTTCCAGAACGAACCCTTTACGAGAGTTTTAAAGGCCCTTGGAGGCACAGGGAGGGGAGCCAGAAAAACGGGTGCTTTTGCGAATGCTTCAGATCAGGATCCATGCCTGGACTCCAAACGTATCTTCCGTGTTGTAGCTCATTTCTGAGTCGCTGCCAGAGCTCCACTCCAGAGAGCAGAGGAGGCAGGAGAGGAGCGGAGCAGCTGCCTTCCGCTAACCTAAAAGCCGCTGCCGGAGCTGCAGGTCAGGGGAAGGAAGGAGGAGAAATGGTTCCCAGCTCGGGCAAGGGGCTGCCGTAAAGTAGCTCATGGCGACATAAAATTCAGCAGCTGCAGACCTGTTCGTGACAGTTTCCAGCTCTCTTCCAAAACTAAGAGAAGCGCCTCCTGAGCTGGGTGGGGCATCTCATCATTTAGATCTTGGCTGCAAAGACCCCTCTCCCTTACTTAGGTCTCTCTGTGAATAAATCTGAGCTTCACCCCACAACAGTGAAACTGATTTTCTAAGATGAAATAGAGGAAAGCGGAAGATTCTGAGCTGCTGTTCTCACAATTAGAGCTGCTTCACTGAAACTCTGAACAGATGATCTAAGTAGAAACGGTGGGGATATTGAGGCAAAGGGGGAGGGAGGAATCAGGTGCAGCTCCTGAAATAGCTCAGCGATGATGAATATTCTGCCTGAATAAAATGAAGTCCTGGAAGAGAACAGATGTTGCTTCTGTGATCATCAGCCACAGCTCAGAGAATGGCTCCTCTGCCCCCAGGGCTCCATAGACGCCGGGCTCATCCCTTGTCAAAGGAATGCACGGTTATCTGCCCCAATGGTGCCACCCCCCCCCCCGGCTTCTGGGTGTAATACGGATCATAAACATGCACAAAGTAAATCTGAAGGTCTAAAGTAAAATAATATAATCATGTTCTGCCCTGTCTGATCCATCAAGTTCTAATTCAGCATTCTGTATCTTACCTGTAACACTCAGTCAGTGTCTGTTGAAAGCTGCTAAGACTATTCCCTGCCGTTTACTGCTACTATCTTGTTGTCAGAAGCACAGTCGTTTTATACAATTAAATCAACTTATTCCATAAACCTTGGTGTATAGCTACCTTCTATAACCTCTATAGCATAGTGTCAAGTACTCCCAAAGGAGTGAATGAAGAGGGAGCAAGTTGTTCCTCCTGAGTGGAATTATCACATCGCCTTTATCGGGACTCAATTTTTTTAGCATTAATCTTCCTGATGCCATCACTGCCAGTGTGCATTGGCACCCATTTAAAATATCTGCCCTCTTTTTCTAAAAGTCCATCAACCTTTGAATGAATTAGTTGTGATTATTTAAAGGTGCTCTGTGGTTCAAATTGTGCTTCCGTTCTGAGTTATTGAAATAGCCAATATTTCCTATAAGGCCAATATATGGGTCTCGGGCAGATACTAAAAAGCGGCAAAGAGGTTTAATGTTTCCAATTTGAAATTAAGCACCATATTAACTGCAGTGGGTAAAAATTCAAAAGAATTCCATGGAATCCCCTTTCTTATGTTAAAAACACCCCCTCCCCCCATGCTGACACATTACATTCAATCTCCTTCTGTATCGGCTACCCAGAGAGAGAACTAAAAATAGACCATAGCATTTTAGAGCTCCAGAACGTCTCAAAATCTGCTGTGCTTGCAAGAGTGAAGCAAAGAAGAGTTAGTCAGAGGTGTTCCCCATATGGCATATTTCAAATGTTAAGTTTTATGACTAAAAGGGGTTCTGTTTCCAAGTAAGGAGCTCTGGAGGGGAGGAGAATGGCAACAACCTCTGCAGTGGCCCTGGCAGAGCCTGGATCGGAGGAGGAGCTGGGGCCAGTGGAGGGAGATGGTGCTGCCTCTCTGGCTCAGGAGGAAAGACCAGAGGAGGAGGAGGACGATGAGGCAGTCCCGGGTCCCTCGGAGGACCTCGGAAGAGTTGCCAGGGAGGAAAGGGCAGGCAGTAACGCAGAGGAGGGACTTTGGAGCTCCGGAGACAAGCAATGGCCTCCCCCACCAAACCCTTGAGCACGGAGAATGGAGAGGAGGCAGAGCAGGGCAACCTGGCCACTTGGGAGGAGGGTCCCCCACCCCTCTTCACAAGGCTCCCCTGGGGAATAAGATTTAAAGAGATACTTTTGTCGGGAACAAGCCTCGCATTTTTCTAGCCACACTTGCTGTTACCAACAACTTGCCTTTGCCCTTTTGCCTTGCCTTGCCGTGTGGGACTTTATAGTGACACAAGTCTGTTCTGAGTTATGCTGCAGTCCCAGTGAACCCTCCGTATGACGAGGACACTCAGTGACCCCAAGCCTCCTGAACTGGGCCGCTCCCCTTGGCTTCTACTCGCCAGGAACTCTTGCAGGCCTGTGTGCGTGTTTGGAGCTTTGACTCCTGGACTTGCAGTTAGCGATGGGACTTTTTTGGGGAAAAGTTGGAGCAATGAAAGGGAGTTAATCCTTCACTTTGGCTGTGTCGCTTCCGTGTGTAGCCTGGGTCATAACAACCACAGGTGATGTTTTCCCTTTGTCTTCTTTGGTCAAAAGCATGAAACTGTTCTTAGCAGAGCAAATGCTGAAGATTTAGTACCACTATATATAAACCTCAATTCTGACATTGTTTCAGATTGTTTCTCCTTCTTGACAATAAATTCTGGCATGAAAAAGGATTAAAAATGATCAACCTTTCCGATTCTCCCCTGCAAAAATCAAAACATTAACAAATAAATACCAATATAGCAGACATGTGAAACCTGTGACGTCACGTGACGTCGCGCAACGTATCAGAGCTTTTTCGCCATTGCCGGCAATGGGATGGGCGCGGCTCCGGTATGATGAAACCGGCCCACAGGCTGGCAATTTGACACCCCTGCAATATAGTGAAGTTAAATGGGAAATGTTATTTGTGTTTGCATATCTAAAATCAGCAGAAGAGATAAATGCATTTACCCTCTTGCACACAAACACAGGAAAAGGAATCAGAAATAAAAGCAGTGTGGATCTAGTACTTTTTAATATTTGAGAATAATCCTTATGCTTTATCTGAGAAACTACAGTCCTTGCTGGCTTTTCAGCATCATCAGTAATGCTTTTTCTTGCCTATTACTGCAGGCGAGGAAAGGGCTCTGGTGAAAGCTGGTCAATGAGGTTCTGCCCAAATCAGCAAATGAGAGGACATTTCTGTGGGGCCCTGAGACAGGCACATGTACTGATACTTCCAGCTGTTTAAGTGACAAATAGGGCCTCCACTGCTTTGCTCCATTTGTCCTCAGGAGGGGCAAGTTCCTCACTTGCGGCTTTGTGTGGATCCCTTGGTTTCTGGGCTGGATTCAGCAAAGGCTGCTGTTTCAGCCTTGACATCGGAGGCAGATTAAAGGCTGCTACTGCCAGACAAAATGCTGAGGGCTGATTTATGCCTTTAGGACCAAATAGGATCTTAAGTGGACTGATTTATGGCTACTCGGTTTATTCTCTGCTGCATTAGACTGTGAAACAATGGTTTACACAGCTGGAATAAACATCGTATCCTTTTACATTACATTTACATTTTTTGTTCAATATTTTTAAGATTTTTATATAAAATAAATTTTTCAAATAATAATAATAATACCTACATTGTAGAATAGAAGGGCATCATGGTAGCATATATTGTCATGGTAGCATATGTTGTATAGGTGTGAAAAATGATTTAACTGGAGAAGATCAAGTTATTGGCTCCTTTACAAGTACTTTTGCTTAATAAACAGAACTGAAGAAAGTACATAGAAAGCAGCAATCTTGTTAAAAGGATAGGATAAAGAAAAAGGCCTAATTAAGTGGAAGGAGCCTTCTCACCATCCTAACTATCCTTAAATGTTACACTGCAATTCACAGCGACCAGTGAGTATATCTCAGTGATAAAATATAAAATATTTCACCATTGATTCCTTTAAAATGAAGAAAAACAGATTGAATTTATGTCAGGGTAATTTCAATACACTTTTGTCTAGTTAATAGTCCGCATGAATAAGCTTATTTGGGTTCAAATGTCCTCCATATTATGTATATATTCAATTTATATAGCCATTCAGCTCAAGCAAGCGACTCTGGGTGGCAAACAATCATAAAACAATTAAAAACAGAATATAGTACAGAAGAATTACTACATTCAATTACTATAGTCATGTGGCAGCTGAGAAAAAAAATGTCATCAGAGTAGTCAATAGATTAGCCAGCAAAGTGGGTTCTTCAGCCCCACCCCAGGGGTCCTGCCCCAAAAGGGCCCATAAGGCACGTCTCCCAAGCCTCATGAAAGGCCAGGCAGAGTCAGGGCCACCCTCTCCTTTGAAGGGTTCCAGGCTTTCTCCTAGTCTCTGCCAGCCGACCTTCCTTGGCTAATGGCACCCCTACTAGGCTTAATCTGCTGGGCCAAACTGGACAGGCAGAAGCTGCTGGGAGTCGACCCGGTCCCTCTGGTGACCCGGTCCCAAGTCATGAAGGGCTTTAAAAGTGGCAACTTTGAATTGCACCTGGAGACACACAGGCAACCAATACAGCTCACAAAGCAGGAAAAAGCCACTTTTGGGGGGGGGGAAATGGCCTCAATTTCATGGAAGGTGCCACAGGGAGAGCCTTCCAGAATGAAGTTAAAACAGAGTTTTTTCATAGGTTTTCCTCTGTTTATAATATTAATTCATTTTATTTATATAGTTTTAAATTTTAATAGCTATTTATAAACAGAAGAAGACAAATGAAAAGGAAGAAAAACTAAAAGAGATACAAAAGCATTGTAAGAAAAGATTATAATGCACATAACATTAGGTATGTGCTGCATATTGTATCAATTAAGAGCTTCTGAACAATATGAAATCCATTCAATATGCAATGATTAATAATGATAAAGTATAATATGAACAATAAATCAAAATGAGAAATTATTAAAATGCCTTCCTAATCTAAAACTAAGAATACTACCCTTTGAGCAAATGAAAGAAAACCTTAGATATGAAAGTCTTAGCTAAACGAAACCCAAACTTTTTTCGTGTGCCTGCGACTCAGTGTTGACTCCTACTGACTGTCTGGATTGGACTATCTGAAGTTTTCTTGGCAAGGCTTTCCAGAAATGAATTGCCCTTGTCTCCTTCCTAGGGCTAACAGAGAGCGACTGGCCCAACATCACACAGTTGACTTTGTGCCTCAGGTGGGACCACCCCACACAACTGGCTTTCTTACCTGCTTATTGTTAGGTAAAATTGCCCTTGTGTTCAAAAGATAAGGAAGGTGCCTTGGATAACCTCTGACCATTGTCCGGCCTGTGGCTCCTCCCCCCATCCCAAGGTTATTCTTTTTGGAGGAGGAGGAACCACTATGGATGCCCCTGAATTGTACAGTAGAAGTAAAACATTCAACAGAGTTCCAGCTACAGATGGTTCCAGTTGTTTTTTCCCCCAAGCATGGGGGCTACTAAAAGGGTCCTATTAAGCTTATCAGAGAAAGCCCAAGAGGAGACTGTACTGTTTCAAAGAACACCCACTTCACACACATCACTAACTAGCATCCGTATGAAAAGGGGAACAAAAGGGACTCAATAGCCATTTTATCCAAAGAACTTCACCCTAAAAAAAAAAAAGGATTTAGCCTGAGAAAATGTTGGCCTTGTGGAAGAACACTAAGTAAATGCCCAGCAGGTCACTATAGGGATGATATTCTACTTCTAAGATGACCAATTCACTAACTGTCCTTTACAGAGAAGTTAGTTTGTATGTCAAGGCCATCTCAGGGGTTTTCTAATGTTAGGATAGCAATGAGCTTAACTGTTGCTTCTGTGCTCTTAATTTTTTTTTTAGGACAAGCAAGCAAAGTGGAAAACCTTAGCAATTAATTCATAAAGGCTTTCCATATACCGCAGAATTCTGATTTTCCAGACTTTCAGATCACAGAGTCCAACACCCTTGAAGTTTCCCTTGTGGAAAAACCCCCAAGGAAGGATATTCTTCCTATTTTGTTTGGAAGGATGCTACAAACTTTCAAAGGGATCAAAAGAAGACTTTAGTTCAGCCTTCTCCCAGTTGTGTGTCAGGTGTTTGTGTGTGTGCGTGCGTGCGTGTGAAGGCTTCCTGCCTTGAACATATCCTTTGATTTTGGTTCTGGGTTTAGGTCTTTCTCCCTCTCCAAGTTATTTTAAGGCTCACCACATGACCTGATCTAGATGACATCCAGCCTTGGGAATGTATTCTTTAAACAGAATTAAAATGCATCTTCATGCCACTTTTAGCAAAATGTGAGGGCGAGACATTATGTGAAATAAGAAGACATTAAAATTTCATGTTAATGTATTATATTGCATAAATCAATATTTATCGCATTGAGTAAATCAGTGCAGAGGTATCCATGTTGAGATGGCAGCCACAACTGCAAGATCAAACCCCAGAATAAAAAATTGGTCACGTTATCACAGAACACACTTAACAAGATAAATTGTTGCCTTATTTTCCAACTAGGCAAATTTGGGGCAGTTGAATCCAAACTGCACTGGAACAACTGTCATCAAACTAACTCTAAACTTGGCAAATTTTGGGAGAGCCACGGCACAGAGATGGGACTATGGAGGAGTAGCAGAGGTGAGGTGCCCCCTAGGGCTGAACTTTGGGGCAGCCACAGGTCACGCCCCCCCCCCCAAGCCCTGGCTGGCTGCCCAGTTGCCTGCCTGCCCTTCGGAGAAGCTGGGGCTGACATCTTGCTTGCAACCCAGGGCCTAAACAGAAGGGGAAAGAATTCTGCACTCCCCTGAAGAGCAGCTCTTGACCGGGTTAGCCCGGCCATCTGCTGCTCGATCACATAGTGAGAAGCATCACCGGGTTGAGCAGACTGTGTAAATAGAGCCATTGATTGTCACATTTCCTTTGTGGTGAAATGTCTGAGGTGCATGGAGCCCAAAGGAAAAGCAACATGGTGCCATTCTTCCTCTTTTGCACACAAACATTTGTGTAAATTCATGGTTTATTTATATTTATTACAAATTTTTCATAGACTAAAAGAGTAATCAAATAAAGAGTAAGAAACATTCATATAAATTCATGTACACATTGTATTTACATCTAACCAGAAGTCAGTTCTAGGTAGCCTTCAGTACTGAGCAAAATACTTTGAGCAGTAAGTCAAAGGGCAGCATCGTTTTTAACTCATCATATGTGATTTTTTATCTAGATTTCTGATTTTCAAAATAACACACTTGTGAAGTCCCTCAGGGTGCTGTACTGTATCCTGTAGCAAATGTAACAAGTCCAAAACGGTCACTCTTCAGAATTCAGGCCACTTGGTTTGAAACTCATTTTGGAAGGCTGCATGCGAGTGAATCAGAATAATATTATGTGGTTTTTGCACCACGTGAAAATTCCTGCTCATCCCAAAGAAGGAAATATTTTTTCTAAGGCTGTCACAGACAACATATGCAAAGAAATGAAATGACATGCATTGATTTATGTAAACTAGGTGCAGAATTTCCATTCTGCTGGGTTTCTTTTATTTCTTCCAAAACAGTCAGATGTGCAAAATCAACACTTATGAAATGCATTTTAAATGCAACTACTCATATTGAACCAAAGGGATTAAAAGGCAAGAATAAACAACTATGCAAGTTGAGCAGAAGGCTGATGGTGCCGGAAGATTCCCCAATGAGAACTCTCTGAAATTGGGCTCAAAGGGTACTGGACATTGTTGTTTTCGTGGTCAGTCCAGCTGACTGACCTCTGCACTTTCGAAGCACCTTCAAGTCACCTGATTGCAAAACCTCTCCTTGATGCCAGGTTCCATGAAAATTTGCCTCCACATTTTACTGAAAATGGTTCCTGTGCTTTTTTTTTTTTTTCCTGGGTTGCTGCTCCAGAACTTAACTCCTAGCTGCTTCTGATATTGCCTTTTGCTGCTGGATTCTTTTAATCCTCAATAGGTGTTCTGATTTCATGCTCTGTGCCTAGTTCTGCTGGCTGGATTCAACAGATGCTCCTGTGCTCCTGAACTGAGGGGGGGAAACATGCACGTTGTCGTCTGTTATAAAATACTGAGCAGGGAGTGCTCTGCTTTCAGCAGAGCAGGGAGACCAGGCAGACACGGAAAATCTGTGGGGGGGGGGCAGAAGAGCCGAGTGACAGTGAGTCAGTAGAAAAGGCAAGTGGGGATGGGGGGGGGAGGTGGAGGAGTTTACTGTAAAATGCCTATGAATCAGCCATGCGAAGGGGCTGCGAAAAAAGCCAATTCAATTTTAGGCTACCTTGAACACAATTCCCAAAGCACAGGGAGTGATCACTCCATTCCATTGTGCATTAGTCACGCCTCGAATACTGTGCCTGGTTCTGGGTGCCACATTTTAAAGAAGGTCCAGAAAAACGACTTCCGGGGAGCAGAAATCACTTCCTGCAAAGAAAGACTGAAGAATTGAGGGGGGGGGGGAATGAGGTTGACAGGATAACATTCTTCCAACACCTGAAAGGCAGGTGCAGCTACAATTAAGACAACACGATTAAATGAGCATCACAATGCACACACTACCACTTACGTACTCGAGGGCGATGTCACAACATAGATACAAAAGGTTGCATTTCACCACTTGATGCAGAGGCCAAGGTGAACCTTGGGAAGTTCTCTCCCATTCCAGAGTGCAGAAGCCAGAAAAATTGTTTGAGCCACAGGAAGGCAGATTCTAGTGGAACTCTGGCTGGGCAACAGGGCAACCGAGCGGCGGACTCCCCTTCCTTGGGAGGCTTTGAGACACAGAAAATAGGCAGCCGTTTTAGTCTGCGACGGTCTCTAGTTTCAGTTCCTGCAAGGGGGGGGGGAGACGGGGGCGCTTCAGCTTCCGGCTCTAAAACCCCTTGATTCCGTTTTTCCATTTATGAGAACAAGCGTTTCTTTTCCGCTTCCATTACACGCATTTCATGAAGTTGTCATTAGCTAGTGTGTGTCTTCTATGTATTTTTAAAATCATTTGTGCGCCTCTTAGCTGTCTTTCCGCATTTATTGGTCTTGAATCATAAGCAATATCGCTCCACCTTCTAACTTTCCTCTGGACGCCCCCCGGGCCGGTGCCAGCGGAAGACCCTTCCTCGCCCTTCTCCCGAACGAGCCGCCTTTCCTCTCTCGCCACGAGGCCACGGACGGCCTACACGAGCCACGGGCATCCCTCGAACCCGACCGCCTCCCGGCAGACGCCGCTTCCAACCCGTCTCTCGGAGGCCCCGAGGCCTCCGGGCCGGAAAGCTGGACGAGGGGGTCGCGCGGCTCCCTCTCCCCAGGCGGGGCCAGCAGAAGGCGCCGCGCGGGGTTGCGCGGGCCGACATAAAGGCGGGAACAGCGGAGCAGCCCCCCCCACCTCTGGTGCAAGCGCATGCGCTCTGCGGCCGCAGCGGGGGAACTCTGGGATGTTTCTCCTCCTCCTCCTCTCCCTCTTTCTCCGCCAGCGCCGCAGCCGCAGCCACGGGAGGCGCCCGGCCGGCCGGCCATGGAGAGCCCCCCTCGCTGAGGACTGACCGCCCGGCCGGCAAGGGCCCCTTCGCCCCCACCGGCCCCTTCCGCCCCTGCTCGCCGCGGCGGCCCCGCTCTCCGACCATGGGCAACGAAGCCAGCCTGGAGGGCGGCGAGAGCCTGGCCGGACTGCCCGAAGGTGTGGCCGGGGCTGCTGCGGGAGACCCGGTGGGCCTGGCGGAGGACCTGAGCCGCCTGAGCCCGGAGGAGCGGAGGCAGATCGCCGCCGTCATGTCAAGGGCGCAGCGGGGGCTGCCCGCAGGAAAGACGGCCGGCCCGGAGGCGCCTCCCTTGACAAGGCACGCCCGGGGGGGGGGAAGGGAGGGGGCAAATCTTGGGCCGGGGAGGGGGAGGCGGGGGCCAGCTGCGGGTGATGGAGCAAAGGATCGCTCCGGGATCGGCCGGCCGCACGTGCCGCCTTTCCTGAGGTGTTCATCCCCGCCGTCCGTCCGTCCGTCCTCTCTCCCTGCCGGTGACTCGAGAAAGGGCTTCGCTCCCGCCCCGGCCTCCCCGCGGCGTTTACCCAAGCTAAACTGGAAGCGGCTTCTGCTTCACGTGTGTGTGTGTGTGTGTGTGTGTGTGTGTGTGTGTGTGTGTGTGTGTGTGTGTGTGTGTGTGTGTGTGTGTGTGTGTGTGTGTGTGTGTGTGTGAAGCTCTGCAGCCGCCCCAGTTTGAAAGTCGCCTCCGTTTTTCCTGCGCTTAAGCATCGCCCACTCCCCTTTGGCGTTGGATGGCGGCGGCGGCGGCGGCGGCCCTCCCCGGCCGGGGCGATTTGCTGAGGCCAGCGCGGAGGAAGAAGGGAGCGACCCGCCTGGGGAGGCTGCCGGGGGCGCCGAGAGGGATCCGCGCGTGGCTCTCCCGCCCCTCCCGGCGCGCGCCTCCCTTCAGCACCCTGGGCGAGGCCCTGTCCAGGGTGCTGAAAGGGCCGCTTCCCCCGGCCGCCTCTCCCGGCGCTGCCCGTGGAGGCTTCATAGCCCTCAATAGCCACAGGCAGACAGCCGTGGTGCAATATGCTGTGTGGGTGCGTGAGTGTGTGTGTAGAGTGCAAACGTTTTTGTCAAACTCACATTCTGCGAGCCTGACACACACGCAGTACTGTGCAAAAGTCTTAGGCCACCATTAGATGTGTTGTAGCAATAGGTATAATGACCATATATAATTATGTCTCAAAAATCTCCTTATTAGAATACAGTCAGAAAACACAGGAGATTTGCATGCAGTATTCAAAAGCAGGAAAAGCCAGAGAAAATAGCTTCCATAGAGGCAAATGTTTAGTTTGACTTCCCCTTACACCTGAGCAACAGCAGGCACCTGGCTCCCATCAACCTTAATGGAAGCTGTCATTACTGATACTTGTGTGGGTCCTACTATGTCATGCCCAAGTGACTGCTATGAAAAAGGGTCTGTTACACTGGTTTATGCAAGACATGCTAAGGCATTACATACGGTGCAGATATATGTTGTATCAGTGTGTGTATATAATAGCAGACTTAGATTTAGCACTTAGGCTATATAAATAGTCCAAATAAGTAACATGATTTATACAAGAAAATGATGCAAGGATTGAAAAATGTTATCTGTTGAACTGATTTACCATAACAGAATTTGGATCCAAATTAACATCTTTTTACTACTGACACCACATAGAATAATTTGGATGTGTCTAATTCATTCTTCACCTTTAGGGATGCTTGAATTTTAGAAATCTATAAAGGGGAGATATGAGCCATCACCAACTTACATATGTATTTGTGCATTGAAGATTTTCCTGCATATGAAGATAAACATAGTATCTGAACAGATAGGTACATGTTCTCTGCAAACATGTATAGCTCTTTAAAAGGAAAAATATATATACTTGGTGCTAATTATTTGCCCTACTTGTTCAGTGACATTTTCCTTCTTTTGTATATTTCAATCTTAATGGAATTAACTTAATCTAAAGTAACAAGTTTTATGGATTGCAAACAGTAGAAAGATATTCCACATAAATACTGCTTAGTTAATGTTTTACTTGATGTTTTACTTACTGTTTTATACGTTCTCTAACATAGTAGCAAATATATGCATAGTACATCTATGGCCTACAGTTTATGCTGAATGAGGTGGCCAGCTAAACCAACAGATGTTCTGCATCCTGTTAAATTAAAGTTTGGTATTCCGTTTGTTCTATGCATTTACTGTCATGTGCCTTATATGTTTTGTGTTATTTTTATCTTGATTTAGTTGATTGGAGATTTTCCCATTTTCCATCTCAGGTTTAGCCCTATTTACTACTTTGTCTTACTTACTGCTACCAATGGAGAAACTAATTTCTAAACCATTTTTCATTCTTGTACCTATTTTTATTGAGGTTAATATATACCTTGGCCTATCTTTTATCTATGCTTGTTTGCAGGTTGACCAGTTTTTCTTCACCAAGAAGTATTTGTTAATTAGATTTAAAAGTATGTTGACATTATTTACAATATTAATTTGTACCTGGAAACATTGCCAGTTATCTCCAGTTGCAAAGTGGTTCAAAAGCACTTTCTAACAATTATATAATATCAAGAAGGTGCCTCATTTGGGAAAATTCATCCAGTGGATTAATTTTGATAAGATTCATTCAGCGTTATCTGTTAATTTGCAGGATCTTGAGCAAATTTAAACGTTGATGGTAAAGAAAACAGGATGTACCAACATATTCATAGTTTCCCACACAAATGGTAGGGATGCTTCTTTTCTCTTTTCCTTGCAGATGCTTAAAGGAAACTCACAAACAGGCTCTGATTCTGTAGGCAGCAGGTAGCTCTTATACTAGATGACCATAAGTTTGTCTAACACAGGGGTGTCAAACTTGCAACCTCACAGTGATGTGACTTTTTTTCCATGGCAGGCAATGGGGTGGGTGTGGTTTCACCATGAAGCATCTGGCCCGCAGGCCGGCAGTTTGACACCCCTGGTTTAACATTTTAAAGAGTTGCTAGCCACTATTACATCATACAGAGGTAACTTCTGTATTTCACTGTGCCCTATTGGTATATGAAGAAATATTTTGCTTTGCTTAATATGATAATATGATTCCACAGTGGTTTTGTATATGTAATTGTTCATTATATTCTGAAATTGTACTGGAATTATATGGGACAAAATAAAGATAGGCCTAATAGGTACTTATCTGCAATAAGTGAGAGAAGTCTCCCTCAAGTCAGATTCAGTTCCTGGTAAATTCATGGGCATGAATATAGCTAGGAAACAGTATGAAAATTGTTTGCCTCTGTAGACATTAAAACATTGTTTAATGATGTAATAGCACAGCAAGTCTCAGGCTTCACCCTCTTCTACTTCAGATTAATTAGCATTTTGCATTAAGCCCAAATCCACAGTCTTAACTGTGGTTAGTTGAAACAAGCCAGCTTTGTAAAAAAAAAAAAAAGCCGGATCTGAAGGGTATATATTTCCATGAACTTAATTGATCTGCCTACTTCAAATGACATAGCAGCTCTGAAAAACTCAGCTGGGTTTCTCCCTGCTGTAAGGGAAAGGGAAGAAGGAGACAAATGCTTTTAGAGGAACTCTGGGTGGCAAACAGAAATAAAGATATAAACCAGAACCATGCAAAATAGATCAAGGACCCTAAAATGTTATTACTAATATTAGAAGTCAGGACCTCTTTATAATTTTATATCCCCAGTAAATATGTATATGACCATGTTGTTTTAATGTAGTGTTTTAGTCTATCCCTTAGTTTTTTTGAAGTTTGTCAGGGATGCAAGTGGTTGGGCTTGATAGCTTCAGTAGTCTCTTCCAATCTAAGATTCAACCTAGAAAGGTAAACAGGCCTCTTTAAGATCCAATTCACAGATCGTGCTAGGCCAAGACTTGCCACAATTAGCTGAGTTCCCACAAATCCTAAGCCATGTTTTACAAAATAAAATGGGCAGATGTCTTATGACAGTACCATAACAGCCCAGCTCCTTCTCCTCTGCCTGCGGCCTTTTCTCCTTCCTTTATGTCTCCCTCACAGCGACTCTGTGAGGCCGGTTGGACTTCTGTGGTTGAGGACTGAGCAGACCCTGCCTGGAGTCTTCAGTTGTGGCCTTAGGCTTAGCCCCTCCCTCTCCAGGGCTTAGCACCAGTGAGGCATACTGTGAGGTGGATGGAGTATAAAACCGATGCATTTTGTCCCTTATTGCTAAATGTTTGTGCTAAAATATTGAGGGATTGAATTGTTTTGATTTAGAGTGATGAGGGTTGAATGCCCTTGGCTGAACTAGAATGCTTTTTGTCCTCTCTTAGAAATTTGGGACAGTTAAATGACAGAACCTTTTAGTCAGAAGAGAATGTTGGCTGCTTTCTTTAAAATGCCAATCTTTTGATATACAGCAAGTATTAAACAGATGAAAAACCCCTATTGCTAGGCAGCAAATGCCATGTACAGATGCACTCTGTGTCACCTCAGGCTTAAACCATTTGGAGTAGGTACACGGTTATTCTTCAGAATTCAGAAAGCTTTTAAATTATAATTCAAGAAGAAACTGGACAGCCATTTGTTCGAAATGGTATAGGGTTTCCTGCCTGGGCAGGGTGTTGGACTAGATGACCTCCAAGGTCTCTTCCAACTTTATTATTATTATTATTATTATTATTATTATTATTATTATTATTATTATTATTATTATTATTACATATATTGGCCAGATTAAAATACACAAGCACACACATTGAAATGAAATTTTAAGAAATGCCAGTCTTGCTGGGGGGAAAAGAAAAGCAGAGTGAGTTTACTGGTACTTGTTTCTGTGTAAGCAGGTTTAGTATATGCATGTACATAAGTATATGCGTGTATAAATACGTATGTGTATATACATAAAGATATGCCAGTCTTCCACCCTTAGACATTTTTAATCTTAATGTATTAAACTCATCGACTTTCTTCATTCTACAAAATCAAAATGCAACTTCTATGTGAGGGAATAACCCCAACTCTCTGCACTTTGAGGTTTGGCATCATGGCGAATTTCATGTGGTCCATTCTTCAGGCTTTGGGGTGACTTCTAGGGTTGGAAAAGGGGTGGCTTCTTTTTAGAGGCCTTATGTTCTTTTCTCCAGCTATTCCCACCAGTTCACATCGCTTCTGGTGACAAGCAAGGTTTGAAGTTGGTTTCTAAACTTTAACCCTTTCCACTTCTAGTCCCAATGATTTAGCCACATCTAAAGTAGATTTGGTTTTTTTAGGTGAACCCTTTCAGAGATGTATCTCCAATCCATTGATATAACTTTTATTTTACCTAGAAATGATTATTCTTTACATAGGCACTTTTATGTATCTTTCTGAAGTGTAGCCTTTGGTTGTAGATATAGTTTTAGCAAGTGAGGGCTCGGGTAGACAAGATATGTTGTGATGGATGAAACTGTACATTAACATTCTGTATCCTCCCAATGGTAAACTTTTCTGCTGTTAATACATCCCTTTGTGAGAGACCCAATTGCATCTATTTAAATGAAATGAAATGAAATCTGTTTATTACAGCCATAAGGCCACATACAGTGAAGTATCTTAATAATACAACTGTTAAATCTTCCTCCCCCTCCCCCTCTCTCCAAAAAACAATGAAGTAGTAGGATCTAAAAATTAAAAATCTGAAATTAGTTTTGTAACCCATATTGTTTTCTAGAGTTTTTGTCTTATTATTTTCTAGCAGGATTATTTTTTTATGGTATATTGTTATAAGCGATGATTTTGAAGGTTGTAGTACACCTTTATAGGATATTAATAGGGGTGAACATGATGGTCTTGTTTGGCCATTGTGCCTGCGTTGGTTTTGAAAAAAAAATCTGGTTTGGTTTACGTATGTGACGAGTAGCTTGCTTTTAATTGGTATGTGAACTCTTGAGTTAGGACTTAGTATTATGTGTTTCTCTCCATAGAGGGAGAGATTTTTTAAAATAATACATTTTATTATTTACAGTTTATTTGAAGTATGTGTAGGAGGTGGGGGAGAGAGAAGAAGCAGCAGCATTAGTTTTACATAGAGAATCGTACAAAAAAAACTTGCTGGGAACTAATTCACAGTGAAGAAGACTGTGTGGATCCTACAAAAATGGCTTTAATCTCAATTTATTGGCAAGTAAAGCAGAGAAAATCAGAAGTAACTGTTAAAGTAATTGTGATACGGATTATCACTGTACCAGCATAAGTCTTCATAATTTTGCTTCCATGTCACCCTGTACAGGAATTTTATGATGTCTGCCTCTATAAATTTGATATGAAAGTTTCATTAAACATTATTTCTAAAAAGGGGAAATAAAACACTTTACAGCAACAGTTAAAATGTAAAATTTTAAATCATGGTTCATTTAAATGTTAGATAGAAACAATCAGCATGAGAATCAACTGTACGCTGCATATATTTTTTTCAGTTTTGTAAATATCAGTGTTTGCTTTATATTTAAAGGCCAGAGAAATGAGCTTTGAAGAATGAAATATTTTAAAAAGAAAGGTTGGTGGAATGGCAGTATGTTTCTAACCTTCTTTTTATGGTTATTTTTACATGAAAGATTTCCTAAGAAGCTATATTTTCCCTGTATAAGGCATGATATTTTTATGTAATCATGGTGGGAGGGCATATAAGTCTTATGTTCCTGATTGCCATGGTCTCTTACATAATGTCTTTTCTGCCCTGATTTCAGGTGATAAAACCAAAGTTATAGTGGATGTAGTGAATTACCTGTCTCGTTCTAACAACTTGTTGACCTAGTGTGCTACTTCCTTCTTTGCATATCATCCCTTTAATATGCAGCTGCTTGACCTATCCAGCCAATCAGCTCTGCGTACTTCACTTCATAGTAGAGCCAGATATAGGGACCAAGGCTCATAGTGGCTCCTAATTTAGAAAGAAAGGGAAACCTTTCCAAATTTGATGCCCTCTAAATGTGTTGATACTGTAGCTCTGCAAAATCTCAGCCATCAAGGGCAAAGGCTGTTTCTTCCCAAGAATGTTAGATGTTCCAGCTCAAGACACTTGCAGGGTGACAAGTGTGGCAAGACTATCTTTGGGACAACTCAGTTCATATTTTTCCTCGCTATGACAGGCAATAGTGCTAAGTTACGTATGGAGAACATGCTTGAGTAGAAATTAGGAACAGACAAACAACATGGAAGCTTTTGAGTAGGATCCAATGTCATAAGGATTTTGCCAGCTGAAAATATTAACCAATTAAAACGACTTACTTTGGCATTTAGATAAATCCAATAAATAGGTTCCTAATATTTGTACAATGACAGCAATTCATTTCTGATGAAGCTCTTAATTAAAAAATATTGCAGAGTCACTTTACTTTTATTATTCCCAGAGTAGAGAAATTTTAATAGGTTAAATGTCGTGAGTACCATATTTTAAAATTAATGTGCAGCAGGGAATAATGTCTGTAGACATCAGGACTTTTCATAGTTGATGCTGAAAACTGAAACACATAGAAGACTTAAGGAGGAAAGTATTCTTCAGAGAGGGAAAAATGCATCTCAACCATTCACCAATGCCAGCTCTACTGAAGAGAGCAGAATTTCACTCTGACATTTTGCCAAAATGGTGGCAGCACACATAAAAGTTGAGTCTTTTATTGACTTTTGCTTCATGCACTTTATTACCATTTTACCAGACGTATATTTACTGAGATAAAAAAGCTTGTCATTTGATACCTTCCTTATGCAATGTTGAGTTTCTGAAATATTAGAGGCATGCAGAAATTATGACCATCAAGTCAGATGTAGTCTGAAAAACATGGACCATACTTACTGGTCTTAAGACTAGACAGCCACTTCAGTCCTTGGTTGGTGGGATTCATTTGACTTTTGAATTATATGTTCATACCTTAAGAGTGTGTAATGCCTGGATAAAAGGTTGGACAAAAATTGTCAAAAGTTTAGCCTTTTGCTCCACATGTAATCTCTTCAAGAGCTTTTACATAGCGGACAGTTTCTCTGCCTGCTGAAGTTGTAGGGTCGCCTCCCCTGGGGGTGTTGAAGTGAAGGTGGGAATGTCATTGGCCTGAGGTGGCCTGTGGTTTCCCTAGTCTTGAAGACTGTCAAGATTCTTTCCAATTCTAGAATTCTTTGAAGATGAGAATTTTCTCAGGTCAATTGTTTTGGATTTTTCTTAGTCCTACTAATAAACATACCATAGTGAAAGTTAGAAATATAGCAAATGTACACAATTACCGCTAATAAAATTCATCAGCCCCATCAGGAAATGTCATATATAATTTTGCCTCACCTACAGTACCTGTCATCTATCCCCTATACTCTCAATCTGGAAAATGACCTCCGGATGTGAAGGATGGGAAATGAGAAAAACATCTTTATTGGAATTAAAACATTGAATTCATTTTATGGTTTTGGTTTCTGATATTCAGAGATCATCGCACTGGGTTAACTTTGCTTGATATCTTTACAGATCTGTTCCACCTGATGACGGTGATCACCCAAAACAACAGGGCAAGCCTCCAGATCCTGGGCCCCCCACGCTAAGTAAAAGCAGAACAGCTGATACCCTGAAAACGGAGCAACAGGTCCCTGGAAGAAGCACATCGTCCATGAGTTTGAGAGAGTCTAAATCAAAGACCGATTTGAAGGATGATCAGAAGCCAACTATAATGCCCAGCTTTCTCTCAGATGCCAACCCATTTGGCGCAGTCACATCAGTTGTAAATAAATTCAATCCTTTTGATTTGATATCTGACTCAGATATAGACCAGAATGAAGGCTCCAAGAGAGTGAAGCCCACCCAAAAGGAACAGGGTAAATCTGAGCCACGAGAGGGGATCTCCAAGCAACCACCGCAACATTCATCTCCAAAGCCAAGTAGTCCACAACTTGGGGCTGTCAAACTGGTCCCACAAAAAACAGGACCTCCCAAACAGGCACTGCAGCGACAACCACAATCTGGAATGCCTAAGCAAAGTCAGAAACCAGGCTCTGGCCAAACAACAGAAGAAGCAAAACAGTATCCAGGACCACCCACATCTCGGTTCCCAAAGCAAGAATCTACGAAACCTGCAAAGTCTTCACCACAACAGTCGGGAGCTGGAAAGCCTCCTAGTATGGACCTTGCTAAAACTTCCTCCCAGTCCTCTGTTCTTAAAAAACCAGCATCCCAGCAGGGAGTGCCCCCTTCTAAACCGAAACCTCAGCAGCAGCCGGAAGGTCCTTTGAAACCTGAGCCAGCAGCGTCCAGTAAGCAACCATTGCAACATTTGGCCGGTCCTGCAAAAGCAGCACTCCCCCAGCCTGGAGGATCTGGGAAACAACCATCTCAGCAGCCTGGGGCACCTGCAAAGCCTCCCCCCCAACCGGCCGAGTCTACCATTCGATTCCAGCAACAGGCGGGGCCTGCAAAACCTGATGATCCACTGCCTGGACCTTCCCAGCAGCAACACGTAACTCCATCGCAACCTGGATTACAAGCCACAAAGAAAACTTTTTGCCCACTTTGCACAACCACTGAACTCCTCCTGCACGTTCCTGAAATGGCCAATTATAATACTTGCACCCAGTGTCAAACCATAGTCTGCAGTTTATGCGGTTTTAATCCTAATCCTCATATAACAGAGGTAAGTACATTTAAGACATAAATGTATGGTCCCCTTAAAAAAAAACACATTGTTGAAAGGAAGCTAAATTTCAGAGAAGTTGGGAACCTATGCCCAAAGAAGTTGAGCATAGGATAAGTGTTTGTCAACTGTCCGTTTGCTCCCCATGATCACCAAGTTTCTGGAATGTCATGGAAGCTTCTTCAGGGTTTCTCCATAACAAGACTGATCATGATAAACTGCCTAAAACAGCTGTCTTCTCTGATCATTCAAAGAGAAAGCTGGTCACTCTCCCCGGTTGCTTGGGATGGGTTGGCTTGACATGCTGGCCTTGGTGTGCCATCTGACTTGAAAGCTTCTGGGCCAGTTGCATTTTTCCTTTGGCAACTGCTTTCTTTCTTCATGCAAGTTATAGGTTCTAACTATTCCCAGTTTTCCCAATAATGATTAAAATGATATATTTGAGTTTAATTTTAATTACCAGAAGAATGAAATCCTCACAAGGAGATGCATAATTATAAAATCCATAATTATAACTTTAATCAGTTTCAAAGCAAATTATTCAAGCTTTAAATCCAAAACACATACTGAAGAGAGTGACCAGTACAAAAAAAATCCACTGAAGTGACTTTGGTCACAGAGAGAGAACAACAAGGACTGAACTACAAAATAAAAGTATGAAGTGAATAGGTTAATAAGAAGGGGAAAAACCAAGGAAGTTATGGAGCTGGTGACATTCTCAGAAAGAAGAGAGCTTTTGCAATGAATGCAGCAAAAGCAATGTATGAAGCCCTGGTGGGTATGAAGAAAGAGAAGATGATTTGGGAGGGCAGAAGGACACGGGGGGGAGGGGCAGGTGTGAAAAACAGCCTTGGCCTAAGCTGAACTTGATGAGAATTCCCTCTTTTGTGTTGCCTGATGTTGCTTACCCCAAAAGGGAACACAGGGCCAGATACACATGTGTGCATAAGTATATCAAAGCACGTCCACTGAGCAAGACGGCATATTTATTTCTATGTTTACGTTACCCAGCTTAGATTCCTTGTACAATAGTTGGGCCCAATCTCCAGATTACCTCCACTTGTCTCTGCTGTCTCAAAGTATCTAGGACTGTAACTGACAAAAGGAAGTTCGGTTGGAAGCTTTCGAATGACAGATCCAAACTCAGGAGGGTGGGAGCCCCCGAGCAAGGGGAGGGTCTGCCTCATAAAGCGGTGGGTGCTCGGTTCCCAGACTGTACAGCCCTTGCGTCCACAGTGGACCAAGGATGCCTGCCCTGGACGAGAGTTTGGAGCAGAAGACTCCAGCCCTGGGACTCCACTCTGTCTGCTCCATCTGTATTAACCGGCAAATGCCAGGAGTCTCTTACGGGGTGCCCCCCTGACTCAGCCTTTGCAGAAAGACCCACAGGAGCATCTGCCTTCATCACAGCACAGATGGCAACTCCACCTCGTTAGGTATTTAAATGAGCCCCCCCCCCAAAGACGTAACGGCTCCATGAGGAAAAGTTGCTAAAGAGAAGGGATAAGTGGCTGCGCTGGGCAGTTCCCCCTAAGCGCTGCAGCCTTAATTGATCCAGGGAGGAGGCACACACTCTCCCTTTGAGTCTGATGAGAAGGGCAGCCAAGGAAGCTCATGCATCGCTCTGTAATTGGAATGGGATTTTTATTTCTGCTTCAGTTAAGTCACAAAACATTTACAAGACGACTCCACTTTAGATGCTTGGTTGCATATATGTGCAAGGAACTTACTTTGAATTTACTAGTACACACACACACACACTTCATGAACATATAGGGACCTACAAAGTTTAAATATATTCTTATATAGTGGTCCCTATTTTTTCTTGCCCATACAAGCTTTAATTTTTAATTTTACTAGAACTTTGAGATACCATTATGTTTCCTTAAAAATCATGATTATCTGTCATTGATGCAGCTTGCACAAAATCATCACAGTGGTTTCCAGAAATGAAATCTTATAATTAATTAAGGAAATTCAAAAACCCTGTCAGTTTCAGGTATTGTACTATAATAGGAGGGGATAAACAATCTGCCTTTTTTCCTAGGGTGGAAGTAATATTAAATTCAATACTTTCTAGCTTTGTTGTTTACAGATCTGTTCCAAATTTCTTTTGGATATACTGTGCATTTATCCATGAAGTTGGATAAGGTCCTATCTATTGTCTGGCTCTACTTCTTCCCAGTCTTAATTTTGCATGATTCAAGTACTGCCTTTGTATATCCATGTCCACGTTTATTGGGTTTTATGCATCAGATACTTTATTCTTTCGAGGTTCATATTACGTGTTTGCACCATATGTCCCTAGAGCCCCGCAGGAAGATTATCTTTATAAAATAAAGTTTATGTGTTCATTATTATCTACTTGCATATAATTAAAATTACGACTAGTGTGTTAGGAAAGAGTACTTTAATGAGTTATTCATTTAAAACAGAAGTGATTTTAAAAGGAAATATATTTGTCAGTAATATCTCTTTATCTGAATATAACATTTAACTATAACACCAAAAATTCACAGATCCAACAAAATATTGTATTTGGCTTTTCATCACAGCAGTTATCTTCTTGCTAATTTCTATTGTCTACCTTGCAATAAGGCTCTTGCACCCCACGGATTTATGAAATGAGAACTCAGTTGCGGCTAAGGAATAGTCTATCGTCCATTTTGAGTGGCCCATTCCTTTTGAATAAACGGTGTCACCGAATCCTTGCATCCTTTGTAATGCCTACTAGATCATATGGATCTTCCATTACTAAGTCTCCCAGCTCCAGTTTGTTCCCACTGTGCTGAGTGGTCCTGCAGAGGCAGTGGAATCTGTGACCGTCTGGTGGGACCTGCACTTCCTTGATCATTGTGGGGTTCCTTTTCATCCCCAAATGCGCCTCCAGGCCCCATTCTCAGACTTGTTGGACGTTCACTATTTCTTGGACTCTCTTCCCCCTTCTGCATAGCCTCCAAATTAAAGCTCTTAAAATCAGCCCCTTGTAAGCCCATCTTTCCCAGATGTAGTTAGGGGCAGCCAATCTCTTGCCAAGAGTCTCTAATCTCAGAAACAGATCCCATTATTAAAGAGCCTTCAGACCATTTTTATTTCTCATTTTATCAATTCATTATTTCAAACAAATCTCTTAAAGCATTTCTATGTAATTGTATCATGACTATCAAACATTCACATCAGTTTTCTTCACCTCAAATCTGCATCCCTAAATTTAGATAGCAAATTCAGATCTTCATCAGCACCAGTGTTAATGTTGCCTGGCAACCACGACTTGCTGGTGTAACAAAGTCACCTGATTTGAGATGTTTTCTGGGGAATACACTGGCAGGAAGTGTGGTGATTCCGTTTTAGGCCAGACAGGCTTACTCCTCTCTCAGAAGGCCATAATATTATACTTTATCTAACACTACAGAAGATAAATGTTCTATATTTGGTAGTGTACTCAACAGCGGGACTGAAAGATTGTTATGATTTTCCAATCATAATAACAAAATGTTTTCTTCAAACCATTTTGACTTAAAAATGATTTCAAATGATTCTATTTCCACCAAAAAAGTTAACATGGACCATGCTTTTGTAACAAACCAGTACAAATATAACAAGGTAATAATTTAAATGTAGTTTTGGTGCTTTTAATTTAGAAAACAGATCAGAAATGGTAAAGTATCATAAAGTAGCTGATGCTTGCAGACATATGATGGGAGAACTATTTTATTGAAAGGTATTTGGAAATTTAAGAAGGGAAAGTAAAAAGTAGTAAAAAAAAAAACCCTAGTGAGTCCCTTTTCCCTTCAAATAATGTAAAGTGGATCTTTCGGTACCGAGGATATAATTCTGTCTTGATGTTTTGTTTTGTTTTTCAATTATGCATACAGATCAAAGAATGGCTGTGTTTAAACTGCCAGATGCAAAGAGCTTTAGGGACTGACTTGGCTCCTGCTCGGCCTTCGGCACCCAGGCAAGAGACTCCAGCCACAGCAGCTTCCCAACCACAGCCAGGCACGAAGAAGAAAGAAAGTGCTCTGAAACAGGATGCGACAAAGTCCGCGGAACAGCAAAAGCCGCCGACCCAAGCAAAGCAGCCGCCTGCCCAGCCCGGTTCTTCTCCCGCAAAAGCGAAGGCTCTTCTTGCTGAACCCAGGACAGCAGAATCCGCTCCCAAGTCCCACCAGGCCCAGCCGTCGGGAAGCGAGGATCAGCGGAAGCAGCCCGGTCCTCGGAGACTCACCGGCGATGCCGCCGCATCTGAGCCCTCTGGACAAAATGGCCCCGAGCCTTTGCTCCCTCGACGCAAAGCGGAGCCCTTTCCGAGGCCAGGAGAGGACGAGCTGCCGCGGGACAAGCCTGCGCCCGTTGATAAAGTGGCTGCTCCAGGTGGCAAAACTTTTCCTCAAGGGTCCCCTCAAAAGTCTGGAGGAAAACTCGATCCGCAGCTTGGAACTGATTTGAATGCTAAGGGCCAAAAGGAGACGGAAGCGGTAAGAGGGGTAAAAGAGCCCTCTGCGAAAGCCCAGCCCCAGACGAATCCCATGGGGCCAGATGCCAAATTGACTCCAAAGGGCCAACCAGCCTCCACGGGTGCCAAGCCCGGCCAAGGCCGACCTCAGGTCCAGGCCCAACCGCCTCCAAGAGCACCGGAATCGGCCAAGCATTTCGGCCTCCACACAGCAGTCGATGCCCCCAGGTCGCTCCCCACAGCCCCTCCGGAAACGGTTACCGGGAAGCTGTTTGGATTCGGGGCTTCGATTTTCAGCCAGGCTTCTAGTTTGATTACCACAGGGGGCCAGCCAGGAGCTCAGGTGCCCGGAGCTGCCCCTTCGGCCCCCTCCAGGCAGCCCCCTCCTCCTGCCCTGCAGAAAGAGCCCCCTTCGCCATCTCCCAGGGGAGGGCCCACGAGGAAGGAAGCCAAGCCTCCCGTGGCAGAGAAGCGTCCCCCAAAGGAAGCCATCTGCGCCAGCCAGCCAGAGGCCGAGAAGAAGCTGCCACCGCCTGCCGGGGCCTCCCAGGCTCCCCTCGGGGCTGGAGGAGAGGAGAGGGCGGGGGCCCCGGAGGCCCCCCAGGGCCCCCCAGAGGCGGCGTCCGTGTGTCCCCTCTGTGAAACGGGTCTGAACGTGGGCTCTGGAGGCCCTCCAAATCACGGCACATGCACAGAGTGCAAGGCGGTCGTGTGCAGCCTCTGTGGATTTAACCCAACGCCCCACATCACAGAGGTAGGTGCAGCTCTCTCTTGCTCCAGTCTATTATTTGACCCCTTCCTAGTCTGAGAAAAGGGACTCAAGCGCCTTGGTTAAAAGTTTGTTGTGTGCCACACGCAGGGCCTTTCCCCCCCCCCCATCCCTTGTATTACTTGCATTTGAACAATGGAACAGGTTTTAAGTAATTCGTCGTCATTGTGGTTTGTCATTGTCTTTTCCTGGATTATTATTATTTATTTCTCAATCTCTCTTCGAAATAAACAGGCCAGCCCCTCCCCGCCATCTGATTAGGTGTCTTTTTATATGGCTGGCTGTGTTGCTACGTCTGGCTCACCCTGGGAAATCTAGACACCATCCTTCAGAGAAACATTCTCCTTGATCCACAGGAGCATTTTTCAAGGAGAACGGTCTCTGCAGTGAAAGGACTAATATTCCTCAATACAAAGCTGATTTAGATTATAACTGAAATGTGGTTTTATTTTTGCCTAAGAATAAGTGAAGAATAAATAGCTGATGATTAAATAAATGAAGGCATTAGGCTTCTATAGACTTGCAGAACAAACTGTACAAAACGTAAAGCAAACTAAAGATAATTATAAATGAAAGAAGCTTCATGGCTATTTTCTCCAGGACCTCATGGCAAGGAAACCATAAACAGGATCTGTATTACAGTATGCACACATTGATTAATTTCCATATTGGGCTGAAAAAGTTGAGTTCCTTGCTATGAATTTTTAAATACAAATCTGAAAATTTGATTTAATGTAATTCAGACAAGCTGAGAGGAAGATTTTTTTTTCATAAAGTGATATGAAACAGTTTGAAGAAATGGGTGGGATCAGTGTGGATTTAGAATAGGGCCATATTTAAAATATATCAAACTGATACTTTACCAAATATAATGTAACAAGTGTAACAAAACCCCTTTTCACAGCTGTTACTAAAGTTAACGTCTTCCTCAAATCAAACCATATCGTGGCAATGCAAAAAAACTTGACCGTGGCATCCTTCTGGGCTGGCTTGGTGGTTTTTTCCCTCCTCTCTTCAGGTTGGTTCCCCTTGGCGTTGGGAGGGAGAAAGAGGTTGAATTGGCAAGCTCCAATTTTCTGAATTAGAAAAAATCACCTACTTTGGCACCCCCAGTTTGGGAAATAAACTCCATACAGAGGCCAACTGTTTTCTTGTGAGTCTTTTGCGTGGTTTGGTACACACGCCCAGCAGGCCCCTTTCTCCTGGATATGGACAGGCATACATGAGCTTCGCCTTCAGGCAGCTGTCCTGGCCTCAGGGACACGCCCTGCACGGGTGGTTGGTGGTTCAGTGAGGTGGCCGTGGGCAGAAGGAAGGAGGGCAGCAAAGAGCCGGCCCGAATGGGAAGAAAGCGCATTCTCTTGCTGTCAGGAAGAGCCCCGCGTTGCTGATGGGGTAGACTTTTATGACTGGGTTGCTTTATTTATATGTGATGACTTAATAACAGTAGCTGATAATCTGAGACAGATCTCTGACTGATGTTGTGCATGTGCGTTAGGCTGCAGTTTTAATTGCAGCCACAACAGCAGCATGGAAGGACGTATGGTGTGCCGCCAGCTAAGCCTTGTATTTATTTACTGGGGCTGCTTCTGCAAAGCCTTAAGGGGCTCCCTAATTTGATGAGCAAAGAACCCCCATAATTGGCTCTGTGGTCCCCTCGCTTTGAAGAATGGAGGGAAACATCCACATCGTTGGATGCCCAGAGAAGCCCCCCAATGGGAAGGGAAGATGAGCAAAGACCCCCGCAAGGCAAGGAGAGCAACTTTTCCTTGGTTAAGAGAATTATTTACCCAAGACTGAGGTGAATTTAAGCCGCTTTGCACTTAGGCTTAAAGCATAGTGCAACTTCCCACCTGCTTTGGATTTCCACCAATAATATTGGAAGAGAGTGCTCAAATACCTTAGAAAAGATATAAAATATCCAGATACTAAAAGGATGCCATGCAAGTAAATGCAACCGGTCCTGTTCTAGGTTTTTGTTAGTAATCTGTAGAATCTAAATGCTAAGAACTGTGTAGAGCTGCCCACTTGCTATTTATAGACTTGTTGAAACTCGCAGATGCTGCTGAATCATATAGAGGATGCTGAAAGAACTTCAGGCTTTTATTTCTCTGCACTTTATTTTTTGCCTCTGTTAAAAGCTTGCGGTAGGTCTCTTGATAGATTTATTTCTTTATCTTAAAAGATAATTGGACCAGTAAGTGGTGATTTAATATCTTGTTTCCCCATAAAAAATGGTCTTCCAGCTGGCACTTAGCCAGGATGGGCATGAAATTTTGAGGGAGCTTTGGGAGTGGTTGGGGCTGGGCTAGGAAGTTCCCTGGATGGATCAGAGCTACGTCTCCGGTCATTTTTCTCACAGAAATCTTCTGGGGTGTTAAAAAAAAAAGAAAAAGGGGAGATTACCAAACTTTTAAGCTCCTGGAGGTAAGGTAGGCTGTGAATCTAAGAGAGAGAACGCTAGATAACAAGCAGCTGAGCGACTGCAACACTTTAACCTTGACCAGCCCGAGAGGTCACTCGGCATGCTGGGTACCTGAGGAGAAGCCCCTCCCCCCTCCCCACCCCTGAGGCAGCAGCCCAGGTGGGTGGGGAGGCCCAGGCTCTGGCTAGCCTCGGAGAGTTGACAGGGGTGGCTGAACTCAAGCTGACCAACGTTGGGGTCCCTCCTTTCTGCACTTCAGAAAAAAAAAAAAAAAAAGCCCGTCGCCCCTTCCAGCTGCCCGTGTGGCCACAAGACCCTCTGCTCGGTTCCCAGGCCTTGTGCATGCAGGGAAGCCATGGCTTGCTTCTCAGGGCTTCTGGCTGGAGCTCACAGGGAAAAGCATAGATCAGGAACTATTTATTTGCACAGCTGCTCATCTCACAAAATGCAACTCTAGCCAGTACTCAATTTAAAAACTATATAAAAAAACAGCAGTTTAAAAATTAATATTACAATTTTAAAAAGGTGAGGAAAGAATGTATGTAGACCTACTGCAGAAGGGAATGAATTGGTAAATGCCCTGGAGGAAGACTATCTTGAGTTTATAAAAACTAGGTTAATCTTACTGTACAGGGGTGGTTCTCGTTTAATGGCCACTCCCTCAGTAACCATTCAGACTTGTGGCCTGTGTCCCTGAGCAATGTATGCATAGAGTAGCAGGAGCTGCTAAGAACTTCTGAACAGACCCGAGTCCAGGAGGGAGGTGGAGGTAGCTCTGCTTTGTCCCTGCTGGGGTCTCAGAGCGAAATGTAGCTGCTCCTGCTGCTGATTATTCTTTGCTTTCAACACTCGGCTGCATGTTGTAATGCATGCAATCATTTCTAATTCTCAGCTATTCTATAGCCACAATTGGAACACCGTTTCCATTGCTAAGCAAGGTGGTGGTTAAGTGATCCATGTCCTCTATTTTGCAATCATTTTTGTCACATTTATAATTTCCATCTTGAGACCCATCTCAGCATCTGAGTTTTCTCTGTTGATATTCAATAACTCGACACCAAACCATATTGCTGCATATGTCCCATCAATGTTATTAGGGAGATTCCAGATTGAGCAAATATTGGCACAATGTAATCAGCAAACAATCTCAATTTATGTTCTTGTGCAGCTAATTTAATTCATAGGATTTCATTTTCCCCCCAGCATATTGGCATTGCCAAGGGTTCTAGTGCTAGTAAAAATAAAGAAAATCATCCTTTTCTTTTATCCCCCCTTCAGTATAGTACACTGCTTGACAATAAGTCAATTCACAATAATTTTAGTGTTTTGTTATAGATACAGTAGATGACAGACATACAGACAGATACACAAATAATAGAATATATATCCCTGTTAAAAAGTTTCCATTATTCTCACAAATGTCTCTTGTGTCTTAAAAATGGTTTTATTGCAGTTTTCTGCCTTTTTAAACCTTATACTCCATGAATATTTCCTTAAGTTAAATTCACTGGATCTCTGTGTATTTTAAACAGCCCTTTGTGCCTCAGTGTTCAGCTGATTTGGGATTGAGTGTGGAAATTTTCCAGTCCTGTGAGTGAGTGAGTGAGTGAGTGAGTGAGTGAGTGAGTGACCATAAGCTGCACCGGAGAACACACTTGTCTAACACTACCATTCCTTTTTCTTTTCTTTTTTTGCCACAGCCCTCCTAGTTCTGTTTGCAGGTCTTTGTATTTTGTTCTTTTTCTTCTATCCTGCTGTCTCCAGATACTGCAGTGTCCACTATTCCCAGACTTTTTTGTCTTTCTTATCAACAATTGTTAGGTTTGGGATGTTGTGTAGCAGATGCTTGCCTGGTTGATCTGGTGGTTAAGGCACCAGACTAGAAACTGGGAGACTCTGAGTTCTAGTCCTGCCATAGGTATGAAAGCTAGCTGGGTGATTTTGAGCCAGTCATTCTCTCTGAGCCCAACTCACCTCACAACGTCTTATCACCACACTATTACAGAAAACATCTCCCAGATGCTGCTTGTGCGGATTGACTCACAGAGAGTGTGTTTGTGCGTGGCTGACCTGTGCGCTTTCTCCTGCCAGCCTGGCTCCTGTGACTCTGAAACGATCCCAAACTGTTCCCATAAGGTTTCAGTCGGATTCCTTTCATGTGGGAGTTCTAGCAATGCTCACAGTTATCGCCATACAACAGTTCATGTGTTTTGTGGAGGACTTAACCGAGTATCAACCTGGGCTTGAGTAAACCCTCTATGTGGATGTGTTGTACCAAAATATATAAATAAACACATGCTGAACTGGACTGAACTTGGGCCTGTAGATTATCCAGAGTAATTTATTAGTTCTTTAAGTCTTTCAGACTTTTCAGGTCTAGCTTTGCTAGACTAGCCCCACTGATCTGTTACTTATGACACGTTAAATTAAGGTTTTGCCATTTGCAGTAATGAGGGGATGTCAATGCAACAGATGTTGCTCATCAGTTGTACGTTAAAAAAAAATCTCGTGTAAAAAAGATTATGAATGCTTTGAGACATTGAATTGACTTGTTTGAAAGTATGATAACTCCATGGGAAGAGACAATTTCATGCCAGCCAAAGTAGGGAGCAGCTTCCCGAATTTATGACGTGATCACTGGGTGGACTATAGCAAGCCCCATATAGCCTTCAATGTCCCCCATAAGCCATGGGTAGCCTGTTTATGTACCATTATCGCCTTTGCAGGGAAAAAGTTGATAAGACGGGAAAAGAGAAATAGTATAAGCTTCTTTTGTAATTTTTTTAAAAAAACAGTTCTGTATTGCTGCAGCCTGGCCCCACTTTGTGTTCAAAGAAAATCGCTTCATTAAATCAGATCCACACCATGAAACCTGACAAGTCTCTGGAGACGTTCTATTTTTAGCGTTGTTGGTCTCTCTGTTGCATTTAAATATCTCACTATATGTTCAGCTGAAAATACTCTGGGTGTTTTTGTAGGTGAGGATACACTTAGATCCCACAGGAATAGAAGCCAAAGACCAAGAACTCTGTCCTTAAACGTTCAGACAGCTGGCATCTAATGCCCTAGCATTAGACTACCAGGAATATTGTGCGGGCCACTGTACAGCCTGGAGCCAAATCACCCTGTTTGCGGCAGATTGCATGGGAAAGACAAAGACAAAATAATAGCTGAACATAAATTATTTTTATCCAAATATTAACACCTGGAGGTTGTAAAGAAGCATGCCATGCCCTTAACTGGGTAATTTGGAGTTTTGTTATGCAAATTCCAAAAACAAAAGCTGGTTGCCCCGGAGAGTTAAATCACCTCCCCCACCTCAGTCCTGATGGGGCTTCTTTGACAGTTAATCTCCCTCCAGGCTGTGCAACCTCCAGGCCAGAATCCCAATCAGTGCCGTGGAGATCCTGTCCCAGGACTGGATCACTGTTGGGGGGGTTGTCTGGGTGAGGAGGGACAGGATTCGTTTAGACCAGTGGTTCTCAACCTTTCTAATGCCGCGACCCCATAATACAGTTCCCCATGTTGTGGTGACCCCCAACCACTTATACATCACCGGGTGCCAGGGGTGTGGCCAAAGAAAAGGGAAAAAAAAAATGGCAGACAGCCTTATTTGGCGACCCCCGTGAAATGGTCGTTCGACCCCAAATGGGGTCCCGACCCACAGGTGGAGAACCACTGGTTTAGACTCTGACGAGACTAAGCAGCTGTGGATTTTGGGCCACTTGAGGCGCTGGGATTTGTGTGGATTGTGTCATTGTGCCTGAGCCTGGGACCCTAAATGTAGAACAAAGTCTATTTGTTCACTACGTCGAGGACTTTTTATGATTCTGCAGAAGCTGCGTGTTTTACTTTCTGTTCTATTTTTGCATTGTCTGCATTTTTATTTATTTGTCCATTCATTCATTCAATTTATATATATACACCCATCTCACATTCCTGACTTTGGGCACTTACAGATGCTATTTCCTAATCTGGTAAACCCCACCCAGCATCATGTAGGTGAAATAGGCAGCTATTTAAATAAAATCAAATAATAAATAAACTAGCAAACCTATAGTAGACTAACCAAAATTAAAACATTGTAAGGCTAAAATTTATATATAATAATTAAAAACAACATATTTAAATAATAATAATAATAATAATAATAATAATAATAATAATAAAGTTGAAAGGGACCTTGGAGGTCATCTAGTCCAACCCCCTGCTCAGGCAGGAAACCCTACACTATTTCAGACAGATGGCTGTCCAGTCTCTTCTTAAAAACTTCCAGTGTCGGAGCATTCACCACTTCTGGAGGCAGGTTGTTCCATTGGTTAATTGTTCTCACTGTCAGGAAGTTTCTCCTTAGTTCTAGGTTGCTTGTAAGAATTATTACAAATGAAAACTAAAGCCTAAAATATCTAGAGCCCTTCAAAATAATCTCAGCTGTAAGAGATAGAGCAAAAACTGAGAAAAACTGGTTTGTACACTGCTAAACAAGATACAAATAAACAGTAAGTGAAATATAACACAAAATAAAATATCATCTAACAACCTCAATCCCTAAACTTGGATAAAATATTCCAGAGATTATTGAGGTAATATAAACAAGAATAAGCAACAATAACAGATATGTTCCTTCTTTCTAAATCCAGTCTGCTTGATAGCATGTAGTTGCATTCTGAAGTAAAGATTTTGTTAAATTTGTGTCATGGAAACGTTTATACATTACATATCGAATATTGCTCTTTAAAAATTTAAATTTCTTTAAAATTACCCCATTGCAAGATCTCCTGACTTCTTACAAATAAACCCCTCAGCATCTGTTTTGTTGTAGTTCATAAAGCCTGACCTCAATTTTTCTGGATTTTGATCGTTAAAATGCAACTGTCTCAGAAAGCTCTGCTGCCTCCCTCCTGCTGGAAAACAGGGACAGCCTTCTAATCTGATCCTTACAAAGACGTGACTGGTGAGGTTTATGGTAGAGAAGGGAAGGAGGGAGCCACGTGCCAGTTTTTGACCCCCTCCCAGGAAGGTGACTTCCTATTTTTCCTAAGGATCCTAACAAGCTTAATTCATCAACTCCTTACTATGCTATGGATAGATTCATAATGTCCTTATGTTGCATATTGTATTTAATATTTAATATCAGTATTTAATAACACAATCTCTAAGAAATGGGCGACTTAGGTAGCTTCAATCCAGGGTTAGGAAAAGAAGTCAAGGCTTGATTGTCTGCACTGGTTTATGCAACCTTAGTTAGGACTAATGTGAATAAAGACCTACAAAAGCTTTCCCCAGAATTTGTATTGGGATTTTGTTTAAACAGATGGAGCCATTTTCATAGGAATGAGGAATAAGCTTTAGGTAGACCTTATCCTAATTATATAGGCATTACTCTATTGTTTATGAAATGTAACTGATTATACATAGTGCAGGTATATAACTGAATTTCTGAAATTATGTATTTATTAAATAGTACATGCTTCTGACACACTACTAAAAATAGTAGTGTGGGTATGCCTACTAGTCCATCTTGAATTCAGTTATGTTATTTTTGTGTATCAAAAGTCGAGTCACAAAAACTTTCACATAGGCAAGTTCATGAAACTTGGAGTGTGGGGGAAGCTGTTTGTCTCTTTGGCCATCTTAGAGAATTTCTTTCTATTATTGAGAAGTCAAACTACTCTTTTCTGAATAACAATAAAAAACAGGAACTTAAGGCAAAGTCTTGAATCAGAAATATTATTCATGGTAGAAAACGTGGAACCCACTAAAACAGGGGTGTCAAATTCAATTTCATTGAGGGCCGCATCAGCATTGTGGTTGCCCTTGGGGGCCAGGTGGGTGCAGCCAGGGTGGATGTGGATGGAGTGGGTGTGGCCTACTGGGTGGGCATGACCAGCTCTACATCATTCGTGTCAAGGGTGCCTGTGGGGGCCTGGGCAGGAGTGGGACAGATCTGAGGGTCTCTGGCAGAAGGGGGTGGGACCAGGACAAGCGCCAAGACATGGTCCATTTTTTTATTCCTCATAAAGGGTGACACCTCCACAGCATGCACCCAGGGGGTGGGGCCGACATGGCAGGGGCTGGTTCCTCGCTGGTTCCGGATGGCCTTGTGGAGCTAAGACTGAATGCGTTTCAGCATAGATGGCCACCACAAAATTGTACATTGGCTCCCGGCCGGCCTGGGCCAGGGCCAAGTCAGTGGGGGCTATTCCCTCACTGTTTTCAGGATGACTTTGCGGGCCGCATGAAACCACTTTGCAGGCCACATCCGGCCTCCGGGCCTTGTGTTTGACATGTCTGCATTAAAGCAACTTTTATTTATTTATTTATTTATTTATTTATTTATTTATTTATTTATTTATTTATTAAAATGTATAGACCGCCCCACTCCCGCAGGACTCCGGGCGGCTAACAATAAAAACACAATATAACTTAACAAGACAAACAATACAGTAACAGTCATCCAGGGGTTAGATTTTATAAACCCCAGGCCTGCCGGAAAAGCCAGGTCTTAAGCAGCTTGCGGAAAACCAACAGGGTGGGAGCGGTCCTAATCTCCAGGGGGAGCTGGTTCCATGACGTGGGCGCCATCACAGAGAAAGCCCTCCCCCGAGGCCTCGCCAAATGGCACTGCTTGGCCGATGGGACCTGAAGGAGGCCCAGCCTGTGGGATCTAACCGGACGAAGGGAACTATGAGGTAGTAGGCGGTCTCGCAAATAGCCTGGCCCTGAGCCATATAGAGTTTTAAAGGTAATAACCAACACCTTGAATTGGACCCGGAGACCAATAGGCAACCAGTGCAGCTCGCGAAGGATAGGTGTAACGTGCGTGTATCGAGGAGCACCCACTATCACTCGCGCAGCTGCATTCTGGACCAACTGTAGTCTCCGAATACTTTTCAAGGGTAGCCCCATGTAGAGCGCATTGCAGTAGTCCAGGCGTGAGGTGACAACATGAGCTGCTCCTGAGGGTATTGCAACAGAACTAGGTGCATTTCCATAGTTTGTTGTTGTTGCTTGGGGGAGGGAAGGGGAGTCATTTTGAGATTATTCTAAGGCAGCTTCTAGAAGAGAGCACCATCATTACCCTGACAAGCTTCTGTATAGAAAAGAATTAGGGTGGCTAATGGTGGCTCTCTCTTACATGCCAGAGCTTTTTCTCAGGGGACTCTACCCTGGAGCCCTTCTGGTCCTGAACTCTATGCTGTGTTCTGCTCTAATGATCGAATATGACACAGGCAAGGACACTCACTGCTTAAGCAATGGTGCCATTCTGGCAGGAAAACCGAGGAGCGTAATAGGCTATCTTGCTAAGAGCAGGTCTAAAAGCAGCCAGGATTGAAGTAACAGGCATAATCAAAAGGAGCATTATTTCAGTGTCAAATAAATTACCTTGTTTGTAAAGTCAGGATGCTGTTTATAGTTACAAGTATCAATGTTACTATTTTAATTACTTTTTTTTTTAGTAATGTAATGCCATTCATTAAATTCCAGGTTCAAGAATGGTTATGCTTAAACTGCCAAACTCAAAGGGCGCTATCAGGACAACTTGGGGATATAGAAAAAATCACATCTCCTGTATTTCCAAAATCTTCGGTCAGACCATCAAATGTCCTTCAAAGTCAGTCTAAACCTGCTGAGCTGCCCCAACAAAAGATTTCAGCAAAACCTGCCCTGGTGCCTGAAAAACCAAAGATGGGTTCAAAAATTCAGAAAGAGGATCCCAAGGCAAAGAAGGACACACTTTCAACAAAGACATTTACTGGAAGGATCCAAGAAGAAATTTTTAAAATTGACATTTCAAAGCTTTCGCCAGGAAAATTAGCAAAAACAACATCTGCTGATAAAATCATTCAAGGAATTTCAAAAGCAGAAAAGGAAAAATTGGGAAAATCATCATCTGCTGATCAAATTCTAAAAACAGAGTCAAAATTGCCTATAATTGATAAGCTTTCACATGATAAGATAAACCTGGAACAGACGAAAATATCTCTATCCGAAGACTCAAAGCATCCACAGATAAAACTGGCCAGAGAGGAGACTCAGAAGGGGGAACCAGCCATTCAAGTCAAATTGCCATCTGCTGATCAGAGTCAGACGGATCGGGTGACCTTGAAAAAAATACCATCCGCTGATAAAATCCTACAAGACGCTCAAAAGCCAGATCGAAAGGTTTATCCAGACAAAATGACAAAAGTAGCCTCAGATGGTGAAATTGTGAAAGTTGAACCAAAATTTCAGCAGGCAAAATTGGCCAAAATACTATCCTTTGATCAAATTCAGAAAGAAGATTCAAAACGAATTCCAGCGAAAATAATGAAAACGGCTTCTGCCGACCAGCTGTTCAAAGATTCTGTGAAATTCAAGGAACTAAAACAAGTGAAATTGCCCAGGGCGGGACCAGAGTCTTCCGAGACCATTAGCAGCCAAAGACCACCGTCAGAAGCCTCAGATCACTTCGCCAAAATCGAACACGCACCAAAACAAGAGCAATCGTTTGAAGAAAAGCCAGACTCTGAAATGCATCTAGCAACAAAACAGCAGGAAGATCCCACACTATCAGAAATGATTTCAAAAGCTCATAAACTACCCGAGGAAAATCTTTCAGATCGACCCGTGTCATTACCAAAATCTTACCCTGTGGAGTCAGTGAGAGAAAAAACAGTAAGTGTTTGACCTCCCTCCCTTGTTAGGAATTGACAAAGTCTATGTCATGCCAGAAAAATGACTTGGAGATATTCATAGAAGCTGCTCCTGATTGAAGGGAGTAATTTACAGCTGGTGGCAGCACTTAGGGAACCTTAGCTAGTCTTGAAAAAAACTAAGCAGAGTTAGATATGGTTAGTTCCTGTATGTAATCAGAGAGCAAGCCCTACTCTTCTCGAGCACTGATGAAGTTACCTAGTTGGGTAATGAAATGTCTGCAAGGAAACAACCAAGCTCAGAGAGCAATAAGGACCCACAGTTCAATCCTGAGCTATAAATATTTTCTTCTATTGGTAATTCAAAACAGCTAGGCACTCTGCTAGCAATTTCTCATGTGTTTTGATCTACATTTAAATTGCACCCTGCACAGAATAACTTCTGCCAAATGAGACTATTTTTATTTTGTAAAAAGACAGATGAAACATAATAATTAAATAGTTCTGCTTCTCCCTGTTATTTTTTTACCTATAGCCAATATCTCCATCCAGCAAACCAACTGCTTACTTGACCTTCCTCTTGTTCCACACTTATAGTGCTATTAATTTTGGTGTTGCAAGCTGCAATGAATTCTGATCCTTGGCTTTCCTGACCCATTCCAACAGATTTGGACTATTCTCTAATGTTATGCATGTGTTATGTGCTTTTCTTTCCCTTTGTAATACCTATCCTTTTTTGTTTCACAGCTTATCAGAGAACTCTGTGCTAGTTTCATCTCCTGCTTTATCTTCCCTTAGTGTCATTTGTTTTTGAGGCTTTCCCAATGCTCCTTGATATTTTTCCAGGAAGGATTTTCATTCATTGAATCCTTTCTGCTTTTCTCTTATTAAATATAAGCTATTCTGAAATTTAGAATATTAATTCGTTACGAGTCAGAGGCTTGAAGGACTTGATCTCACAACTGTTAGCCTCAGGAGCCAGCAGCCAGCCTGGAATAAGTCAGTGAGATATTAAGTGTTAAATTGGATTGTTCTAGGTATCTGTTACCATTTTATCTTCATAACTTCTTTAAAAATAAATCAAACTAAATTAAACTAAACACACAGTAAATTTAAAGATTGACATAGTTTTGACCTTGACTCTTCTACATGCAGTTTATCTTCACTAAAACGTTTCATTTTTATTAGAGATCTTTGTGATTTTATGCAACTTGAATTTTTCTATTAATTGAATGTCCACCAAAGTATTCTTATACAATCCTGTTAGATCTAAATAAGATGCTGGTCCCATTAAATATAGCGCTACACTTTAAAATATACCTGAATGATATTGAGAATAAGTTATTTTGTATTTAATTGGGGAAAATGTAAGTGAAGTGATATTTTTAATTGTTTAAATGTGAAATTAAAAGTTGTAGCTTAACTAAATTTTGTCACTCACAATGCTTTCTCAGGGTTTTCACAATTACATTTATAGTGGATGGTGAATTCATTATTTCATTATCTTGAAAAGATAAGTCTTAATGTGTGTCTGTATCTTTATGTTTTAGGAAAAAGAAGATGACAAATCAGATATATCAAGTTCTCAGCAGCCCAAAAGCCCTCAAGGCTTGAGTGATACAGGATATTCCTCTGACGGCGTCTCTAGTTCGCTTGGTGAAATTCCAAGCCTTACTCAGATAGACGAAAAGGATGCGCTGAAAGGGTCCTTTGAGAAAGAGTCTCTTTCGCAAGGGGGCAGCCCAGTCAGCCCCTCCGACCTGGCTAAGCTAGAAAGCACAGTCTTGTCCATTCTGGAAGCTCAGGTCACAAGCCTTGTGGAGGAGAAGTCTGGAAGGACCAAAGACCTCTCGGCTGAGCCGGCCAAGGCCTCTCGTGACACAGCACTCTTGCCTGTCGCCTCGGAGCCACTCACTTGTGAGGAGGAAGATTTGAGAAAACTGAACCTTCAAGATGAAGGAGGCCCTGAACGAGGCGGGGAAGAAAATTTGCCCCCCCCTCAGAAAGGGCCCAGGCAGGTCGCAGGCGTGGCAGAGAGTGCGTCAACCAGAAGGCAGCGCTATGACTCTGTGGAAGACAGCAGCGAGAGCGAAAACTCCCCTGCCCCACGAAGAAGAAGAAGGCGGCAGACCAGCGCTGGCTCCTCAAGCAGCGATGATGAAGGCAAAGCTGAAGACAGTCCAGCCTCAGGCGATGATGAGAATTTCATTCGGAAGCAAATCATGGAGATGAGCGCTGACGAAGATGCTTCCGGTTCCGAAGATGAAGAATACATCAGAAAACAGTTAAAAGAAATTAGTGCAAATGAAACACAGAAGAAGGAAGAAGTTAAGTTCAAAAAAGGAATAGGTGGAAAGCATAAGAGGATATCACGTAAAAGTAGTGCGGGCTATGAAGAGGAATCTGGCAGGCGCCATTCCTGGCATGATGATGACGATGATGAGGCTTTTGATGAAAGTCCAGAACCAAAATATAGAGAGACAAAAAGTCAAGAGAGTGAAGAAATTACTGCAACCGGAGGAGGGGGTCTTCGTCGCTTCAAAACAATAGAACTTAACAGTACAATAACAAATAAATTTTCTGAGGGTTCAGAAGCACCAAAGAGAGATTTATACTTTGATGAAGAGCCAGAATTAGAAATGGAGAGCCTGACAGATTCACCAGAGGACAGATCACGTGGAGAAGGATCTTCTAGTCTGCATGCCTCCAGCTTCACCCCAGGTACGTCTCCTACCTCTGTTTCGTCCTTTGATGAAGACAGTGACAGCAGTCCCAGTCACAAAAAAATGGGGGGAGAAACCAAGCAGCAGCGTAAAGCCAGACACCGGACACACGGGCCTCTTCTCCCGACAATTGAGGACTCTTCTGAGGAAGAGGAACTCAGGGAGGAGGAAGAGTTGCTGAAGGAGCAGGAGAAACAGCGTGAACTAGAGCAGCAGCAAAGAAAGAGCTCTAGCAAGAAATCTAAGAGAGACAAAGACGAGCTCAGAGCCCAGAGAAGGAGAGAGCGACCAAAAACACCACCCAGTAACCTTTCTCCGATCGAGGACGCTTCCCCAACAGAAGAACTGCGTCAAGCGGCAGAGATGGAGGAACTGCATCGATCTTCCTGCTCTGAATATTCACCGAGTATTGAGTCTGACCCTGAAGCTTTTGAAATCAGTCCGGAAAAAATAATAGAAGTGCAGAAAGTTTATAAATTGCCAACGGCTGTCTCGCTCTATTCTCCTACAGAAGAACCGCCCGTCGGAATGGCCAAGCAAGGGAATAATCAGAAGACTTTGAAAAGCGCAGAGGAAGTATACGAAGAAATGCTGCAGGCGTCTCAGACGGCTAGACCGCTTCCAGGTGAAAACGAAAGGGAAGAAGTGTTCGAGAAGGAACCTTTATATGGTGGCATGCTCATAGAAGACTATATCTATGAATCCTTAGTAGAGGATGCATACAACGGGGAGTCCAACCTCATTGTAAAACAAGAGGAGTGTGAAGAATTTAGCCAAGAGGAAGAGCAGAAAACCCCCCCGGAGGAAATCTATGAAGAATCTATGCAAAAACCCATTGATTTACAAGACGCCTATTACAGAATAGAGCTTTTGCACTCGATTATGCCTCAGGAGGACATTGTTTCTAGTTCTTACATCATGCCAGAAAGTCATGAAATTGTTGTGCTGGACAGTGTGGCACCATCTTCATCGAGTGATGAAAAACAACTGCTAGAGGCAGAGGCGGTTTATGAAGAACTGATGAAGCGGCAGGGAATACAGCTGACCCCGGGCTCCAGCCCTACCCAGTCATCCCCTGAATTGGCTTCCATCACAAAGAGGAGGAGTCTGTCCGGAGAAGCGGGAGATAGTAACTCCCTAGTGTCAAGCACTTCTTCAACAGTTTCAGACACAATGTCAGCCAGCCCTGTAATGCTGCCCATTCCAGATGTTAAAATTACCCAGCACTTTACAGTGGAAGAAACAGAGGATAACTATTTTACTGATTATGCCCATGAGGTGGAAGAAATTATTTCCCAGGAAACGTCCACGTTGACATACTCGGAGGCCTTAGAAAGTGCCACCCCTCTTTTCCCATCAGAGACGTGTTCTCTCACGTCATCTACGTCTTCTGTTTACACGGCTGGCACCCCTTCACCCGTAGCTGGATCAGATGGCATCACTCCCATTTGTAGCGATTCAGTGGATGCTCTTAGTGGACCATCAGATTCAGAAGGGGTCGTTTCAGTGGCACAGTCTACTAGAATTTCCCAAAGTGAGGAGTATGAACCTCTTACGTTATCCCCCAAGAAGGAACCCAAAGATCTGACTGATGCCAGTCAGGGATCAGTTACCTTTCCTGAAACCAACTCCTTTGCATCCACTTCTGTAGAAACAAAATCTAAAAGTTTTGTCCATGCTGCCTTGGCAGAGGATGGCAAAGCTGGGAGAGATGTGGCAAAGGTTAATGAACTAAAGAGGGTTTCTGAAGATGGATATTCAAGGATTTCCATTAATATGGCAGGAATAAAGGCTATATCTGACCAAGAATTTACCTGCGTAGTTCCATTATGTACTGTTTCTTCTATTACCCCTGCATCTGAAGCTTCTCCAGCTTTCATTGCTGCTTCCCAAACATACTCATTTTTGGAAAGATCTTTTGTTCATCCCGCTCCACCATATCCTCCCCCTCCCCCTCCTGCCCCACCCATTCTACCAAAGCCAGCCATTTATCCTAAAAAGAAGCCACCAGTTAAAACTGCAGTGACCACAGTTCCCACCATGATACCATCCATTAGTACTGCCAAAATAGCAGAGACCTCTCCTGTCACAAAAATATGCACGCCAACCCCACCTCCCGTCCCCCCTAAGCCAGCTTTAATTCCAGCAGGGCTTGTATTCGCGCACAGATCTTCTGAAATAATAAAGCCGCCAATTGCTCCTAAACCAGCCGTTCCTCAGCTACCGGTGGCTGTTCATAAACCAACAGAAACACAGTTCAAGCCAGCCAGCCTGCCTTTTACCAGCTCCATGACTTTGAACTTGGTTTCCCCTGCTGAATACAAATTGACCTCTCCCACCTCCCCTTCATCTCCACATTCTAATAAATCTTCCCCGAGGTTGTCCAAATCCTCTCAGGAAACCTATGTTGTTATCACGTTGCCCTCTGAGCCCGGGACTCCAATGGAATCCATTATCAGCCAAGCCGTCAGCAGTTGGCCTTCGGCTTCATCCCTTAAGGAACAAGTGCCAGAAGCTATACAGATGTTCATGCCATCTGTAAGTTCGCTGCAAATGCAAAGTACAACAGATCAAAGCAAGAGTATCCCAAATGCTTTGAATGCTGTTGCTTCTATCCCTATCACTACAACTGGACAACCAATTTTTGGCACGGTGCCTAAGTCCACCACAGAAGTAATAACAGCAAGAACTACCGTGTCTTTGGTAAGAAATGCTGGATTAGATAGTGTTTCCATAACTATGCCCCCAGACACATTGCCTGTGGTAGAGCGAACCAAATACAGAGAAAATGGAAGATCCGGTGTCTTTGGTGATGTTATGGATCTCCGCACCCTGACTAAGACTGGTATTGATAGAACAGATAGCTGCATTGACCTATCTGCCACTCCCGCAGATGTGAGAAGACAGACAATGGCAGGTGACACTTCTGGCCAGTCAGTAAGCACAGTTCAGCCAGGGATCATAAATCTTAGTACAGTGTCCATGGTCAGCCTCTCTTTAGCTCCGGTGGCTGATGCCATTTCAGTGGTGACCTGTGCATCTACTGTAGGTTACAGTACCAGTATAGAAAGCCTCATAGACCTTGGGCATGGAATGACAACTCCACTTCAGTTAACAACATCAAAGCATTTTGAGCCTGGTCCTGTAATAACAGGAAGGCAGGCCCTGTCTGCAGACAGAGAAGATGCTCCAATAAATCTGTCCCTTGGAACACCCGCATCAGCACTCGCGTGGGCCACTACAAAGCCTATCACTGCACCTCCGGTTGGGGTAACCAACGGTTGTGTCAACGCTTCTGCTGCTCACAAAGCTATGGACAGTGGCGTGGTTGACCTGAGCATTACAAAATCCTACAGAACAATGGTGACCGTTGATGAAACGACTTCAGGATTTTTTACAACTGTAATAGAAGAGGATGAAAAACCTGTAGATTTGACCGCAGGGAAAAGGGCTGTTTGTTGCGATGTGATTTACAAATTGCCATTTGGGAGGAGCTGCACCGCTCCAGCCCCAGCAACTACCCTCCCGGAAGATCGTTTTGGCTACAGGGATGACCACTACCAGTATGACCGCTCCGGGCCCTACGCTTACAGAGGAACTGGGGGTATGAAGCCCTCCATGTCGGATACCAATTTATCCGAAGCTGGGCTCTACCAGTACAAAAACAAGAACGCCCTTGAGCACCAGTTTGGGGCAGCTGATTTAGCAGTAGACTTGACTTCTGGCAGAGACACCACAGGTCAGTATGACAAGGCGTCAGACTTTTCTTGGAAATTTAGTAACAACGTTGCTCGCCTCATTTCAGGATGATTTTTGCCTCTCTCTCTCTCTCTCTCTTTTTTTTTTTTTTTGCCTTTCCCCCTTTTATTAGGCTTTATGTTCAACAGTGTGGCAAATTTTGTTGGAATTCACCCATGTATTTTTTTTTTAAATTTTCATCAGTTGTTTTATGGAAAGAGGTACTTGCATGTACCCGCATGCTCAGAAAATGTTCTTTTTTTTTTCCTTCCCTGCCCAATAAAACATTGAAGATTTGCATGCAGCTCCTTCCTGCTTTATCGCTCATATTTATCACTCATCTCTGTAGGCTGCCTTTCAGAATCCACACAAAAATTAAAGGCGATGTTTTGGGGGACTGGAATATAACTTTCCCCTATAATTTCAGGTGAAATTATGGATTATTCAAGCAAGATTACTGATCTATATCCAGAGAGCCAACATGTGATTTCTGGCATTAGTGCACCTCAGTATTCCCAAGCAAGAATGTTCTCCTCCTTAGGAACCTCCTATGGAAGTGTATTGAGATCATCCAATGGGGTGGTTTACTCCTCAGTGGCAGCTCCGGTCCCATCTACATTTGCTATTACCACACAGCCTGGCTCTATTTTCAGCACTTCAGTCCGAGACCTGCCTTCTCTTCATGCCGTTGATTCAGTGCCTTCCTTGTCAAACTTGCCACAGAGCCAGGCGCTCCCAAGATCATTACACTTTTTGACAACCGTGTCTTCTGAAAAAGACAATCTTGTTGCTGGCATTGACCCAGGGATGCAACCTCTCCCTCTAGAAACTATTGCCACTGAGCCAGTGCTGCCTGTCTTTAGTACGGCTTCTGAAGCGTTCATAGATGGAATTGAAGATGAAGGAGCGGTTCTCATTGACACTGAAGAAGACAAGCAACAGCATCTGGACATAGAACGTGAGCTTCTGGAGCTTGAAAAACTGAAGCAGCAGCGCTTTGCAGAAGAGCTAGAATGGGAACGTCAAGAAATACAGAGGTTTAGAGAACAAGAGCAGTTCATGGTTCAAAAGAAGCTTGAGGAACTGCATTCCATGAAGCACCACCTTCTCTATCAGCAGGAAGAAGAGAGGCAAGCTCAGTTCATGATGAGACAAGAAACATTGGCTCAGCAGCAGCTGCACATTGAACAAATCCAACAACTTCAACAGCAGCTTCACCAGCACTTAGAAGAGCAAAAAATCCACCAGATGTATCAATATAATTATGATCCTTCTGAAATGGTGTCCCCACAAACGACCACAGATCAAGTCCTTCTTGACAGCCAGTATGCTGCAAGCAACCAGTTCTGGCCTGGCGAGGAGGTGACCACCACTACTTCTGCTCTCCTGGAGATGGAAATTCCAGACAGCCAAGGCTGGTACGCTGTCCAGTCAGATGGCATGACTCAGTACATTCCCAAGCCAGGGACGTTAAGTTCTGTTTCTGAGCTATCTCTTAAAGACATGGAAGTGAGAGAGGAAAAACAGCTTAAAAAGAAGAATTCCATGCCAAAGCTGCACGGCCTTTACGAGGAGCGCAGTGGAGGCACGGAAGGTGAACCCAGGGGTTTTAAAAAGATAGTGGAGAGTGGCGTCCAAACAGATGATGAGGATAGCGCAGACCTGGCCTACGCAGACCGGAGACGCAGGACCAAAAAGAGTGTTGATACGAGTGTTCAGACGGATGATGAGGATCAAGATGAATGGGATCCCACCAACAGATCAAGAAGAAAGACCCGTGTAGGGAAATATGAAGGGAGCACAGAGGTGGATAAGGCTAAACCCTTTTCCAAGGTCTCCAGTATTGCAGTGCAGACTGTGGCAGAGATATCTGTACAAACGGAGCCTGTCGGAACCATAAGGACTCCATCAGCCAGGGCCCAGTTAGATGCAAAGATAGAAATAGTCAAACACATTTCAGCTCCAGAAAAGACATACAAAGGAGGAAGTTTGGGATGTCAGACAGAGACAGATTCAGACACCCAGAGTCCCCTGTACCATAGAGTCACTTCCCCTCAGAAAGATAAAAAGCGCCCAACGCCATTAGAGATAGGCTATTCATCCCACCTGCATCCAGAAACCACCTTTCAGATGGCTCCTTCAGCTCCTAAATCTCCCAAAGTCCTCTATTCTCCCATTTCACCTGTTCCTCCAGCAGCAGTCATGGAGTCAGCCTTTGTGCCCTATGAGAAGCTGATGGCTGAAGATATTAGTTCTCAGAAAACTCTTCATGCCGACATCCCCACGGCTCCTCAGCTGAGCCCAAAGTCTGCCAAGGTGATCCAGCGCTCTTTGTCGGACCCGAAGCCCCTGAGCCCCACGGCTGAGGATCTCTCCATGGCTCACTTCCAGTACACAGAGAGCTTCTTGGTAAGATCTCATTCATCACGTGTTGACATTGAATTGTCATGCTATACACAGTGGTGGGATGCAGCCAGTTTGTACCACTTTGGCAGAACCACTAGCTAATTTTTTGTTGCCCAGGCCAGAATGGACATCCACACAGAGAACCAGTTGTTCACATATTTGAATCCCACCACTGTATATACAATGAACATTGCTTTGTTGACTGCCTTGACTAGATGAAATGTTTAGTGAATGGTTTTGGAAATGAAGGCCTGTCATGTTAGAATCCAGGATAAATTTATTTTAAAAATAGAATTAATACTGCAAGAAATATACTATTGATGTTTCACTGGAGAAAGAGATGGTCTTGAATAAGAGCATCTCACTGCAATATCTACTTTATTTAAAGTTGAAAAGAGATGTAGTCATTTCTATACATAATCTACATTTTTCTTTGTACAGTTGGTCCATTTTTAAAAATTTAAATGTATTCATGTCACAAGGATACGTGGATATACACTAAATGTATTCTTTCTAACTTTTCTTCTCTCTGTGTGTAGTAAAGGGTTTGTAATTAAGCACAGTGCCTTAAACAGGTGGAATATATGGAGCATGTCTACTGTATTTGCAGAAAAGATGAGTTGCCAATGATTTGCTCAATATCAGAGCCTGTTTTTAAGTCTTGTTGATTTTTTGTATTCTACCTCTCCAAAAATGTAAACCAGGTCCAGCTGAGTTCATTCTATGAGCTAAAAAATGACAATAAAGGTTATCTAATCTAATCTAAAAATCACCATAACCAGAAACAGAATATTTTGGAGGTCATTGCGTGAAGAGCATCTTTGCTATCTGGCAGGCAGTGTCACTCAGATTTGCTCCATGGACAGGTGCAGTGGAGGTGCTGGGAGTCTGGTATGGATTTCCCGAGTGAATTTCCAGGCGTGCCTCCCTTGTAAATGGTTAGGGTGCTCCAGATTGTAAGCTCAGCCACCCATGTGTGTTAGATGCAGCTTGAACAGGGGCACCTGGGAGGTGACTTGTTATTGGATCCATGCAGTGATTTCTGCTTCTTTGAGTGGGGTCTCAAAGCCCCCTTGACCTTGAAAGAGAAAAATGTGCACCCGCTCCTGAGAGGCCAACAATTTCCATCCAGTCTCCAACCTTTGATATTCAGGGAAGTTGCAGAATGGGTAGCTGCTAAGCCTGTACTCCTCTATTTATTTATTTATTTATTTTTATCTATCTATCTATCTATCTATCTATCTATCTATCTATCTATCTATCTATCTATCATCTATCATCTATGTATCTATCTATCTAAATGATAGATGATAAATAGATAGATAGATAGATAGATAGATAGATAGATAGATAGATAGATAGACAGACAGACAGATAATTTTTATTTAGGCAGCATGTGTAACAAAAAAGCTAGAGCAAAAGCAATAAATGTTGCTGTATTTTTCAGTCCATTTAGAAATCCAAAGTGACTGGATGATATTTTCTGGGAAACTTTGGCACAGATGATACATTTCTTGTGTATCTCCAGTGATTTGTCCTAACCAAATGTTGAAAGTTGAATATGGGACTTGCCAAAATTGAGAAAGAATCTCTGAAATTTTCATTCCTTTCCAATGAAAGTTTATATTCTCATATAATGGTATGTTGTGGTATGAAGGTATGAGAACCCATCTAATTTGTATCTGAGAAATTAGTTTTATTTAGCTAATATGGGCCAAATTCATTCTGCATTTCAAACAAATCAGTTTGATTCAGTTCTTCCATATGTACTTTTAAACAGTTATTGTTTCTTTTTCCCCTACTTCTCAGAATTTTGTAATATAATTCTCTGCCTACACTTCAGAAGAGGTTTTTAATCCCAAATTTTGTGTGCATATTTTAAAATCATAAATATTAAAGATGGAATACAGTAGGCACATAAATATGCATATGTGGAACTATTACAAGCCAATAAACAATAAAAAGGTATGGAGTCTGCTGAATGAATACCGTTTGACGCAGGGGTGATTTGCGGCAATAAAGTATAGGCTGGTCCAGCGAATGGTATTAGGGTAAACTACTTTTAGCTCTATTTTCTTTTTCTTATGTCAGGCATTGAATTGTTTTAAACTATTATTTTGGCTTAGCGTTTTTCTCCTTTTTTTGTGTTCTGCTTAACATTACTTGTCTTCAAAGGGAATTGTATGTAAGATACAAACCAGGATGGACTATTCCCATTAGACATGGTTTCTAGAATGTATAAATTGAAGGCAGGGGAGGCATATCCCTGTCACTCATAGGAAGTGTTTCTTCATCGATATTGCCTTGTGCTAATCTTCTCTCTGTTCTTCCACTTTTATTATATATGCTCAGCGTTTTGTAGACATGGATGCTGCTTTGGCAGCTGAATAAAGCAGGCAAAATTACACTTTTTCCTAGCGTCATAGCCTCTTCAATTGGCACAACAATCTTAGACAAGAATTGCTGCAGGCCTAAAGTATTGTGGATGATCAGGTCATGATTTGACTCTGCTGTCCCACAGCAGTATCAGACGTCTCCCAATCCAGTTTCTTGTTCCCAGCAGCGGTGAACAAAAAGTGTTCATTAAATTCCCATAAATCCATAGTGCTGGCTCTCCAGTTCCTGATACGAAGACTTTGCCTCTGGCACGGAAGGTCAATTTTGCTTAATGGCTAAAAAAAATTATAGATCCCTTCTTTATGAATGTCACTGATTCCCTTTTAAAACTGTCTAGAACAATGACAAGCACTTTATTCTTTAATACTGAGCTCCATAAGAGCTCAGTAAATTGTATTATGTATTTTGAAATACTTTTAGTCTTTATTGACTGTGATTCTAACCACTTTCATTTGAATTTTGTCCTTCTAAGAGGGAATAGTATCTGTATCCATATTTTTAAACCATCCAAATTTATGATTAAATTACTTTGTGTTCTAAACTAGGTTTTTTTTGTAGGAAAATAGTTCCATCTGTTTTCTTCTTTTTTTGTTTTTCCACTTTTACTAGCAAAGAGTGTGTTGTTGTTGCCTTGATGGGTCACAAGTTGTGCTATCCATTTCCAAAATAATGTATCTTCTCTGTTTCTGTGTGTGTGCAGCAAGCCAAAGAGTCTTCGGGTGCAGGAACATCTTCAGGACCGCAGAAGAAGGTCAAGAGGACTCTGCCCAACCCGCCTCCTGAGGATGTTTCGGTAGGAACACAACCGGCCTTTTCCACCGTGGGGTCGATTTCACGCCGGAGGATGTGCAGAAGCAACACGATGGCCAGAGCTAAAATCCTCCAGGATATAGACAGAGAACTAGACATGGTAGAAAGAGAATCTGCTAAGCTTCGCAAAAAACAAGCAGAGCTTGACGAGGAAGAAAAAGAAATAGATGCAAAACTCCGGTATCTGGAAATGGGCATCAACCGACGCAAGGAAGCCCTGCTCAAGGAAAGAGAGAAGAGGGAGAGAGCCTACCTGCAAGGGGTAGCGGAGGAACGTGATTATATGTCCGACAGTGAAGTCAGCAGCACCCGGCCTGCCAGGGCAGAATCCCAGCATGGCCTGGAGAGGCCGAGGACTGCGCCCCAAACAGAATTCGACCAATTCATACCCCCCCAGACACAACCAGAAACTCAGTTTGCTACTCCTACAAGTCCTTATACACAGTATCAATACTCTTCTCCTGCCCTTCCTACTCAGGCACCAACTCCCTATACGCAGCAATCCCATTACCAGCAGCCGCCACCTTTGTATCAACAGCAGGTTTCACCCTATCAGACTCAAACCGTGGTGACCGTGTCCTTCACTCCTCAAGCTCAACCCCCACCAACTTTGCAGCCTTCCTATCAGCTCTCCTCTCCATTGGTGATGATCCCGCAAAAAGCAAGACAAACTTCATTATACATGGAACCCAAGATAACAACAAACTATGATGTCATTCGCAATCCGTCTCTCATGATAGCACCCGCTTCCTCTGATAGCGCCTACTCGGTGGCTCATTTGGGTAGCAAGTATAGCACTTTGGATCTGAGGTTGGGACTGGACGAAAGGAGCAGCCTGGCCAGCAGCCCCATCTCGAGCCTGTCAGGTGACTCTTTCTATCCAGACGTTGACCACCACAGCGCTCGCAGTTACCTGCTGCTTGATGACATGGGGGATCTCACCAAGGAAACACCGACCCTGAGCTCCACCTATGGCCTGCACGAAAAGGACCTCGGCAAAACCGACAGGCTCCTTCGGGCCACCGAGGCTCGGCGAGTGCAAGAGGTCCCAGATTTCCTCTCCTCCCTGCAAACGTCTTCCCGGCTGCACAGCTACATGAAGACCGAGGAAGACCCCATGGAGGATCCTTATGAACTGAAACTTCTGAAGCATCAGATCAAGCAGGAGTTCCGGAGGGGCGCAGAAAGCATGGATCACCTGGCTGGCCTCTCCCACTGTTACCATACAGATACGAATTACAGGCATTTCCCCAAGTCTGAGAAATACAGCATCAGCCGGCTGACTCTGGAAAAGCAAGCTGCCAAGCAGCTTCCAGCAGCCCTTCTCTATCAGAAACAATCCAAACATAAAAAGGCTTTGATGGATCCCAAACTATCAAAATTTTCACCCATTCAGGAAAGCAGGGATCTTGAGCTTGATTATTCAACCTATTTGACTTCCAACACCTCTTCAGTTGGGAGCATCACCTCCAAAGCAAAACTTCTCCAAGATGACATAACATTTGGCCTTCGAAAAAACATTACAGACCAGCAGAAGTACATAGCTCCAACTTTGTCTCATTCCCTGGGAACGAGCCTTGGGGCAGCACTGAGTGTCACCATGAGGTCAGCTTTACAGGACGATGTGGACAAATCTTACGCCAGCGCTACGAGATCGAGACCTTCCTCTAGGCCATCCTCTGTCTATGGGCTTGACCTGTCCCTGAAACGAGACACTTCCAGCTCTTCTTTGAGGTTGAAAGCCCAGGAAGCTGAACCCCTCGACGTTTCCTTCAGCCCCACAGCTCCTTCTGGAAGAACTAAGCCTACTAGTCTACCGATAAGTCAGAGCAGAGGGCGGATTCCAATAGTCGCACAGAACTCGGAGGAAGAGAGTCCCTTAAGTCCAGTGGGGCAGCCAATGGGGATGGCGAGAGCGGCCGCTGGGCCCCTGCCACCGATATCTGCAGACACCAGGGATCAGTTTGGCTCAAGCCATTCCTTGCCGGAAGTCCAGCAGCACATGAGGGAGGAGTCACGCGCTCGGGGCTACGACCGGGATATTGCCTTCTTCATGGACGACTTCCAGCACGCCATGTCAGATAGTGAAGGTAAACTAGACTTCAGGCTGCCTTCTCCATTTCACAGCACAAACCCTCATTTCTATGCATGTGTCTGATTTCAACCTCTATTGGGAACTATGGTGCCTTTAAAAAAAACACCTTTCTTTTGTATGTAAATATGTCTGGAGTGTGTAGGCATGTTCTTCTCAGCTTGCTAAACTCGTTTGCAGAATTGCTTTTTATGTTGCATGTGCATTTCTCTTTCCTCTTTGCTGGAATTTTCAGAAAGTTTTTTTTCCCCCTGGGATTGGTTTAGTTGGAGAGGTCTTCAGGGCACTATGGTTAAGGATGAGAAACCACATTATTGATTGTAACAACTTAATCAACACAAGATCTTGATTAAACAGACTTCAATGCACTTGCACCATTAACTCCCTTATCTCTGGGCTTCAAGCATCGCTTGCTTCCTGCCTCCCCTTGCCTGCTCGCATGGCCATGTCAGGCGATCACGTGACCTGCCCCTGGGTGACCCACGGCTAAGAGACAGGTGGCCCAGTGGTTGCAGGTAGAGCTGGATCCCTGGAGGGACAGATGTGCCTGCTCCTTCGAGGCAGCGGGTTTCCCTCTCCCATGGCAGAAGGGCGGCAGTTCATCTTCCACCGTCCGGTCCCTCCTTCCCTCTGCAGACTCCTTTCAGAGATCGTAAGGCCGGACACCTGTAGCCGAGAGGGAGGGAATGTGGGCCTGACCACTATGAGGAAGCTGTTTAGCAAAAGCTTGGAGGAAGAAACTATGGCAGCAATTTTAAGATGTGCAAGCGGAGGTCTCACTTAGGAGGAATGGGTGTAGAATCCCCTCACTATGAAGGGGGTTTATCACTGGGCAAGAATGAAAGATATCGCTTACATACTGATACGTAACTTGATTTGTAATTGCTCAGGTAGCAGGTAGATTGGTCATCTTTACCTTTTCTCTGTTGACCCAATAAAATCTTTTCTATTTTGGAAGGCTAGAAATTTAAAATAATGGATACAAATACTGAATTTTACATATATATCAATGCAGATTTTGGATGCATTACCATATGTCACATCACTTACTCTGTAGAAGCCAGATCAACTTGTTAAAAATTGTTTTTTGTTATCTCTGTGTACGGCTCTAAATATTAAAGGAGGCACATAATATTTCACTGGCAACGTTATATCTGCGTGTTATGTTTATATCCATTTTAACTGAATGCAGACCGAGCTGCTTGGTGAAGATTCGATCAAGATTGTTGCAAGGCCCAAGAGCCAGTTCATAATAAATACAACTATACTAAAGAAGTATCACCAACACCATAAAAATGCCCATCTTTATACTGTCTAATATATGGGGATCCTGCTTTATTGAAGCAGATAAATACGTGACGTGGTAAAGGAGATATGAATTTTGATTTCATTGTTGAAACTTTGAAAAAGCTCTTGTGCCCAATTCTGTAATCTCAGAAATCCTGAAAGCCAACGGTTGATGGTTATGTTAGCCTTATTATGAAAATTACTAAAAGGGATTGCAGGCTATTATCTCTGTCTATAAGAGCAGCAAGAAAGATAATCCTGACAATTTTTGTCTGTTAGCTTGTTCTCAATAATCAGTAAATTATACCCTGTAAATTTGATCCATGCCTTCTTTTTCTGTGGTTATTATAGAGATATGAAGTACAGATTTCTTATTCCTAAAAGAATTACTTATCTACTTCATCAGAGCTACGTAGGTGTCAGTCCTGAGTTCCCCTTCAGGGGCAACTATGACAAACAAATGCTTCTAATTAAGGCAGACCTTTCCATTTTCCACTGTATATGTGATTCTGTAAACACGTACATACATGCATATATAATATGTACATGAATGGATATACATATATACAGTGCTTTTTTTCTAAAAAAAAAAAGGTGCCGGATCTCACACACCTCATACAACCCGCCTTGCCTACCCTACAAGATTCCATCCAAAAAAGGTGTGTGTGTATACTCTGTGTGTATGTATGTGTGTATACATACATACATACATACATACATACATACATAATGTATGTTTGATTTTTAGCTTGAGCTATGATTACATGTCCTGTTACCACAATTTGTTTTGGTTTTGTTAATGTTGGTCCACAGCTGCAGTAACATTTGTAATATTAGAGGAATTATCAAGCATATATTATATTTCTGTGAATTATACTTTTAAAACTTAGTATTCAAATCAGTATTTTTTAAAATTAAGTCTATGTAAGCACATAGAAAGATTGGTTATTTTTATGGCTTAACTTTTTTTAACTGTATGGTTCCCCCTCAGAATCTGTCCTCACAAATTCCATATCTGCAATAACTGCCTGGAAAGTTTTCAGAAGTAAACATTAAAACAATTCAAAAACCTGAGAAATCAACTTGTTATTATATTTTTATCCTAATATCTCTAATACTCCTGCCTTCTCCTATTTTCCCAACAACCCCTTGAGCTGTGGGAGGGTGGCCCAAAGTCACCCAGCCTGCCTAAGATGGGTCTAGAATTCACCATCTCCCAGTTTCTACTGCAACCACAGCACCAAACTGGTTGCCATGTTGGTGACACCAAAACACTTGATCTCTAAATTTGGTTGATGTGATCTCAGGGCCTGCATATAACTCAAGGACCATGGCTTAACCAACTGCCGCACAACAGGACAACATATTGTCCATCAGTGTTTCTCAGCCTTGGCAACTTTAAGAGAATCATAAAATTGAAAAACACTGGGGTGGATAATGGTTTAGACACTGCACAACATATGATATTTAATTAAAGGTAGATTTATTATCATAGGAAAAAGACGAAAGCAGAAACTATTGGTTGAATCTATTTGTAGGTTGTCCTAGGATTTAAAATCAGTTGATCACCAATATTTATATAAATGTTGGCAATGTGCTATAAGCAGGAAACACATTTTTAAAGTTATGCTTGAACTCTGCAAATTGATACCCAAGGTTGATTCCCCGTCTCCTAGCACAGCCACTCGCGACATTGCATGCAACTGGGATATACCGTATTCTGATCTTAGTGGCTACCATGGAAATGCAGGTAAAGGACAGTCTCCAAACACTTATATACGTGTTTATGAAGCCACATTCAGAAGTGTTAAATATTTAAGTAACTAAAGGCCAAAGAGATTAAGTTATTGTAATATAGACGCAGTCTTAATTAGGCACCGTCCATTTGTGTTTGTCTGCTTCAACTTTTGTGTGCTATTTTTGCTTTGAAATGCATGCTAACTGTGCATCCGGGGTTGTTAGTCTTCTCACATCTCCCACTCAGAGCCTCTGCTGTGTCCTTGGTTTTCAAAGCCTATCACCTGCGTCGGGAAGAAACAGATTGGTTCGACAAACCTCGGGAGCCCCCTCTGGAGAATGGGCCTGCTTTTGACAGAAGGCTGCCGGATAAGTTAGCCCACTCAAGACCACCGAGCCAGCATCAGGACCAAGTAAGAATATTGCTTAAGAAAGTCCATTTCAAGAAAACTCAATTCTCCAGTCATTTCACAACAAAATATTACGGGCTTTTGCAGCTCTTTTTAATGGTTCTCCCACTTACCTGCACCTAAGAGAATTAACATCAAGTGCTGTGACTAAGAAGGCCAAATTAAAATGGTTCTCACGAATGAAGGCAAATCTACGTGTCCCAGGATAATGTTGCAGGATCCAATATGGGGTCAGTCACTGGGACCAGAAGGTCTTTAGTCTTCTGAGCTTTCGGGCTCAGGGAGAAGTTATCTCGCTTCCCTCTCGGAAGCGCCCCGAGGACGGGAGCTCAAGCACGAGTCTGAAAGCTCAGAAAACTAAAACCACTGGTCCCGATGACCGACCCAGGTTGGACCCCAAAATGGTTCTCCCCCCCTACTGCTGCTGGCAAAATAACTTGCATTATGCAATGCAGATCTGCCCCAAGCATTTTAATTGTTTTCGGAAGCAGGAATACATTAGGGTGTCTGGACTGGCATTGTTGGGGAAATCCAGTAATATTCCCCACAACAAGCATTTCTGGTCATGCTCTAGTTCTGGGATTGAATCAGCCACGTATCTACTGTTCAGTTTCGCCCTGGGTAATTCTTAGAGGTTGGAACTGAATGCCCCACTAATCATAAATCACTTCAGTTGGCCCCAACAGTGAACTAAACTGTTTCCCTGCTAAAGGATCAATATTCTGAAATTTCTAGATAAATTCTAAATTCTGTGCTATATATGAAGTTGCTGTATATGAACAAATTCACTTTTTGCATGCTTAGTTTCTCTTATAAACAAGGCTTATATGCTACTTGTTTTTCTTTTAGCAGATGTTTTTGTGAGGATTAAATAAGATTAAAAAAATAAAATCTGCTTTAATAACTCTTTGATGGGCAGCATCAACAAATTACACAAAATATCCAAATATTTATTTGGAATTAGCATTTTATCAAAAGAAGTTTCAATGCAGAGGTTTCAATTTTGGGCAGTTAAAAAAAATCGTCCCCTCTTTGCCTGGCGCTCCCTCTCTTTCCTGGCTTTCTTCAAGGTGCAGCTCTGACAGAAGGACCTTCCTCTTGTTTAGATAAGTGAGAAATTACTAGAAAATGGAGCCATATTTCACAAAAAATGAAAACATTCACGAAACCTTTTTCATTCAGTGTTTTTGGTTAAGTCAATGTAATCTAAGCCAAGAGCTGGGAAATTCCTGTTTTTATAGGAATTATCAAGGAGTCGACCTGAACATTTTTGCACTGCATGACCTAAGCAGTGAATTCAAGCCAGCCCTTCTGCAGATTTTGCATTTTAAAGGCTGGCCCGACAACTGCCTTGCCTTATAAATTCTCTTGTCACATTGCTGCTTCTGTTACCGTGGGGAAAAATGTGTTAAATGAAATGGGAGACCTGCACTATAAGGTTACTTATGTAAGCAAATAATAACAGGCAGATTGCATAAGTGACATCTTTGTGTATTAGATTTTTTACAACATTCACAAATTGGAAAACAAGTAACAGTTGCTTTTACTGTCCTGTTTTTCTGCCTGAGCTGCAGCAGCAAAACTAATGAACCTTCTACAATGAAAACAAACTAGTATCTCAAATAAGCATAAGTAAATACAACCAAATTCAGGCATCCATGCATCTCTCTGCAAAGGGTGCAGCCCAATTTAAAACAAACAAACAAACAAACGGGTTCGGAAGTATCACTGCAAACCACAGCAGTTCCTACATTAATAGCATATTCCCCTCTTTCTGTCACCACACACATAAATGACCATAAATGCAGGCTGGTCACCCAAGAGCCCAAAATGTGGTCACATAACTGCAGGCTGGATGGCCATCGAACCTTTGGAGCCTGGTCATAAATGGCTTCTGGGCAGTTGCCTGACATTATACACATCTCCATAGAAGCAGTTCAGAAGGTCCAGGGAGTCCTTTAGTTCCAGCACCTCTTATTGGCTTACTCCAATTTCTGTAGAGTAGAATGGAAGAGCCAAAGCCGTCAGCTGCGCTCACTGGCTCCTGATGCTTGAACCACAAAACGGAGACCATCTCTTCCTCGGGATCAACATTACTGCACACAATTGCAGTGGACTAGTTCCCATGCTGCGTGCAGTTGCATATACAAATAGTTCTACTTGTAAGAGGCAGAATGTATTTCCAAGCATAGTGTTTGCAAGACTAATGCTTTAATTCAAAGTAACTATTTACCTAAGGGATATATCTTACCTTTAATCCACACTTGCATTTTGTATTCCCTAGATTATTGGGAAGCCTATCCAATACACCTTCCCTCATGCAAGGCTGAAGCTCTTGAGCGACCCAAAAGATCACTCTGTTTCAGGTAAAGCAAACAAGATTACCCAGCTTGGATCCTATGATAGCATGGACAATGACTGAGTTGCATACAAAGGAATTACTCATTTCTGAGAAGGATTGAAATTCTGCAGTGGTATAGAGCCTAACGCTTATTAAATGCTACTTCCTTAAAAAGAATAAAAGTTCTGCCAAAGTTATAATACAGCTACTCCTTGCTTAGCAGCTATCACATTTGGTGACCGTTTGCAAATAGCAGGATAATTTAAAAAATAAATTATTGATGTGCACATTTATGACCAAATTTCATGAGCCTGACATCAAAAATCATGAGTGTGAAACATATTAAGATCTTGTCAGTTCCAGGCAGTATCTGAGGGTTCTAATCAGCTAATTAAGGTCCCAGAACTGAGCTTGTTAGCTTGCAGTCAGCACGTTTAAGCAATAACAGATTAACAGAGTTGGAAGGGACCTTGGAGGTCTTCTGTCCAACCCCTGCTCAAGCAGAAGACCCTGGACCATCTAAGACAAATGGGTTGTCCAATCTCGTCTTAAAAACTTCCAGTGTTGGAGCATCCACAACGTCTGGAGGCAAGGAGTTCCACTGGTTAATTGTTCTAATTGTCAGGAAATTTCTCCTTAATTCTCTTTGATTAGTTTCCATCTATTATTTCTTGTCCTGGTCTCAGGTGCTTTGGAGAATAGGTTGACCCCCTCCTCTTTGGGTCAGCTCCTCAAATGCTGGAATACTGCTATCATGTCATCCCTTCTTGGATGAGAAGAGAAACATTTTCAAGGGGAAAGTCCTGGTTTTTATATGGTGAAAGGAGGTTTTTTTTTTTTAATTTTTGTTGCAAGTCCAGCAAGGGGGAAAAATGGTAAAAATTTAACAGGATTGCAGTCACTAAATGAAGACAGAGTCTACCAAAAAAAGCAGTCCATAAAAAGTTTCTGAGTATAGATTGGTTTATTTATTTAACGGTTTCTATCCCTTCTTCTTAAGAAGAATGGTTCATGACTTTCCATATTTGTTTCTTCCTTTTTGATTGAAAGTTATGCTCAGAAATGCTGGAGAAGGGAGACAGTTTGCTGCAGCGGTTAAAGACCCAGGGCAGATGTATATGCACAGCAGAGTTTTGCTGGATTTCTCTGTTTTATTCTGTTTTTTTGTTGTGTTTTTGTTTGTTCTGTTTGAAAAGGAAAACCTTGTTCCATAAATTACATTGTTAGAAAGCAGCAAAGCAATAGCTCTTGAGGAATGAGGATTAACCCCCACCTACCCCCCATCCATCTTCCACTTCCACTCTGGCCAATGTAAAGCAGAGGCAGAGACAGACCTGGGATGCTTCAGAGCAAGATTCCTGTTGTAATTTAGAATTTCTGTCATTGGAAAAAAGTCATCATAATATTCTACTCCATAGAAAAACATTCTGAATCACTTTTGTTAGTAGGATTTTATTTTATTTTCTAAAATGAAAAGTCACAGATTCCTTGACTCCACTCTTTGATATCAGGAATAGACTTGTCTCATTTCTTAAAATATGTCTCTTAGCAAGATCCCAAGACCAGCACAAGCATAATTCTCCAAGCATAGTCAAGTTCTAGGTATCGGTAGCCTTGATACAAAAGATTTCCCCCATAAATCCAACTCCGTACATTAATACATTATTCAACCATTCACAGGGCCACTCAATGGCCTTGCTAGGGTTCCCAGGGACCAGCTACTCTCTCTCTTGCTCTCTCTCTCTCACTTGCAGGAAGAAAATAATGGCAAATCACTCTGGAAAATGCTGCCCACCCCCCAAAAGGTGGAACAGTAAACAGAGAACTTTGCTGGTTCTTATTAAAATTGGCCTCTTGTTCCCCAGGGACCACTCGCCCTGGACGTTTTCTGGAGTTCAAGGTGTTTAGGAACAGAATGTAAGAATTAATTGTCTTTGGAGCTGGAAGCCTTTGTCTTCCACACAGGTGGCCAAGGCTGGACCAGGTGTGATCCACCTGAGTCATTCCTGTACTCTCTCTCTCTCTCTTACTCTCTCTCTCTCTCTCTCTTTCTAAAAGAAAGCCTGTGTTGATGGTCATTCAAGGTTTCCTGTCAGAACAATTGGACTGCCTTTTCATGTATTGCTTTTATCTCAGGTCACAAATATATAATGCTAAATTTGTATTCCTGTGAAGAAACAATTATTCTTTCTGCCAGTCACCACTGTGGCTTTGGTATTAAATGGAAACTAACTTATTTCCCTTACCTGCTGTAGACATGATTGTTTTTTTTTTTTTAGATTTGCAGAGAGAAACATTTTTCATTCTTCCTGTCTCATCACTTTTCTCATATTCTAACAGAGTTAACTCTTCGTTTCTTGAAAACCTTGAGTTTATGGGATATTTTTCATGAAATGCAAGCATACATACACAGAGTTTATTCCACTCTTATCTTGTTCAGTTTCCTTTATAAAATCAAGTCATTTGATTGATTGAATTAATCACATGATAAAAACAAATTTGATCTTTCTTTCTTTCCTCTCAGTTTTTTGGGAACTCAAGTTATATTATCTGGCTGGGAACAAAATTAATATTTCTGAATAAACAAATATAGAATTGAACAGCTACAGCAAAAAAACCCTATAGCTTTCTTATTACATTACAGTTTTGATCCTTATATTTTAAAAATTACTGTGTGCTTTCTTTTTTAAATGCAGGCAATGGTCTTGGGATTCGAATTGTAGGTGGAAAAGAAATTCCTGGAACCAATGGAGAAATTGGTGCTTACATTGCAAGGATCTTACCAGGTGGAAATGCTGAACAAACAGGGAAACTTATGGAAGGTACAATGATCTGTTCTTTGTCCTCATTGGTACTGATCAGTATTGCATGTGGAAAGATGACTTTCCTCAAGGAAAAATCTAGGAAGACCACAATGAATAAATGGAAAGAAGTAGGTCAAGCAGTGTGTGTGTGTGTGTGTGTGTCCACTATGACATTCATTTTGTAAATGAAGATACTGTCCCCAACAGTCTATTTGTAAGAACCTCTTCTGAAAATTTCAAAAATGTTCAGCTGTCATATATTAGATATCTTAAACAAATCAGTTGTGACCCTGACATACTTTAGAAAAGGCTACTAAAGCACAGCAGAGAAAACTGGAAGACCACACTTATATTATTTATTAAACTTGCCTAGGAAAATTAAAATCATAACTAATACCTTGAATTGGACCCGGAAGCAAATCGGCAACCAATGAGGTCCACATAACAATGATTTTCCAGGGGCCCTCATAGGGGCCCTTAAAATTGTCCCTATGGCTGCCTTCTGCACCAGCCATAGCTTCCAAACAGTCTCCAAGGGTAGCTCCATGGAGAATATTGCTGGGAAACACCATATTAGCCATGGGTCAGCCACATGGTAGTAAAAGCAGCCAGTCAGAGCTTCAGCCTCCAGAGGTGCCTATGGTGCAATCTCTTGAGACAACAACTCTTACCTAATTGATATTAGGATACTTACAGAAGAACATCAAACTCTTGCAAGAATTTGGCCATTTGAAAACAACATTTGGTATGCATATCAGAGACAATTTGCGGCACTGTTTCTAACCCTAGTGTTTCCTAGACCACATCTGGGAACATCTGATCTAAAAGATAAGAAGCAAATCCATGAATGCTAGCTCTATCTCTATTGAGCCATGAATCATTAAGAATGTGAAGTATCTCTCTAAGAAACCATACTTATTTTATTTAAAAACTATTTAAAAGAGTCTTTCGTGCATAGGGGGATGGGAACCCTTTCCTGGATCCCTGCACTAAGTCACTCCTGCCCTGGTCAGTCCTCTTATACCTGGACTGCTGCAACCTGCTCTGAAATACAGAGCCATTCTCTAGCATTCTTCTCTAAGGAATACCTGCCACCCATTATTATGCATGTCTCATCGTGTCTTATTTATTCATTACCTAGGTTTTCAAAACAAATTTATGACCTGTTAAACAGTATATTATTTGTGTAAGTGAAAGCAGCTCAAGAATTCTGCTTTTTTCCTACGTGTAATTTAATTTGTGTGTGTGTGAGAGAGAGAGATTTGGTTTTGCATGGAGACTTTAAACAGCTGCTAGTTAAAACACACTCGACCCATGTCTCTACCAGGGTGGTAGAGTAATTTAAAGGTTAGGTCAGCTTTAGTTCCTGACCTAAATATCGGGATAGGAACTAATTGAACTTTAGCCTTGAAACTATTTTTCTGTAGATACACCTCACTATAGAATAGAATAGAGCTGGAAGGGACCTTGGAGGTCTTCTGGTCCAACCCCCCGCTCAAGCAAGAGAACCTTTACCATCTCAGACAAGTAACTGTCTAGGCTCTTCTTAAAAATCTCCAGTGATGGAGCACCCACGATTTCTGGTGGCAAGCTGTTCCACTGGTTAATTGTCCTCACTGTAAGGAAGTTTCTCCTTAATTCCAGGTTGCTTCTTTCTTTGATCAGGTTTCAATCATTGTTTCTTGTCCTGCCCTCTATTGCTATGGTGAATAACGTGACTCCCTCCCCCTTGTGGCAGCCCCTCAGATACTGGATCATTGCTATCATGTCTCCCCTATTTCTTCTTTTCTTTAGACTAGCCAAACCCAAGTCCTGTAGCTGTTCTTCATATGTTTTAGTCTCCAGGCTTTTGATCATCTTAGTTGCTCTTCTCTGGATACACCTCACTAACAATTCAACCCATCTTCTGTTTCCTATATATTGTCAGTTTAACTGTCAGTTCAAATGACTCTTGTATATCCACTGCTGATTTCTAAGTTGCCCTGCATTGTTTTTTTCCTTATTGGAATGGAGTATTTCTAGTACTTTTATAGAAGTTCCCAATCTTGTCCTCCACTGGATCTCGGGTCTTCTGTGAAGTCTCACTAAGTACATCTCTAAAGTTGTAGAAATCAGCTCTCCCTGCATGTGTGCATGTGTGACTATGCTTCAGTCTCTTATTCTGTAGCATCTTGGAACCCTGAGATGATGTGGCCAATTGTTCTCCATTCTTTTACTTCTTCAGTCAGCTTTTCTTCTTTGTTAGGATCAACCCTCGAAGGGTTGATTTCCTTGTCCTTTGTTCAATTAACAGGAAAATTAAGAAACAGCGAGACCTTTGAGAAACATTTTGCAATCTTCATCAATCTCCTTTTCCAGAACCAGCACAAAATCAGGTCTCTAAGGTCTTACAAAAGGTTATTGTTCTGCATATTTGACTGATTAGTGAGGCCAGTTTACGATGTCACATTAAATACATATTATGGAATCTGTATTATAAGATGGTAGGGTTTTTTTTAGCCCAATTACTTCCTCTGTATACAAATTCCTTTATCTTACAAGAACATCCTTTTCCATCTCATGTACCTCCAATTCCTGTATTAAGGTATAGTAAAATATTTTGTTCTACTACCTGTAACAGGGCTTTGCTTTGCTTTGCTTTGCTTTGCTTTGTTGTGTGGGTTTGTGCATGTTTGAACACTGCCCATATAAAAACTAGGGTTAGTCTTACCATAAGGCAGAGTATGCTTCTGGTTTTAGGTGATAAAACTTGGAAGAGTTTCTGTCGGAAGACACAAGGAAGTGTGGTGTGGCTCCCCTTCATTTCTCATCACATTCAGCCAGAGCAGGAATTATAGTCCTGACAGAACTCAAGTAAAGCTTGGTCTACTCAGCATGGAAGGGAAGTCTACCCTGTTTAGACAGCAAAGTACCTTGCGCTGGTCCTGCTGAAAAGAGATCAGTCTATGTAGGAAATAATTGGCAAGAAAGAAAAATTAAGTGGGAAATATTCATTTGGCTGTGCTAGTTTTTAATGGATAGTGTCCATATTGATTGAACAAGAAATATGCACAGACACCTACTGATTATGACACTGATACCTTTGTTCCACTTTGAGTCTCTGCCTCCATTCAGATTTTTCCTACCACAGAAAAGTCCATATTTGTCCCACTGACTCCTTGCGCCACTTCATGCCAGCTCTTCCTCCCTCAATTCCCCTTTCCCCTTTCCTCTTTATTCAGTTTATTTGTGAGACAGAGATTTTCCATGAAGTTTGGCAACAAGGTAAGCAAAATTTAAAATTAGCATGATTCGTGTGCAGTGAAAAGGTTTTGATCCTATCCGATGAAATCAGATGCCTATTGTATTTACGTTACACATATAACGGAAGGACTTTGCTTCGGGAAGGTTTTAGAGCACATGGTGCTAATCCCATAACTTGTCTTGTGCCCGCTTTCCTAGGCATGCAGGTGCTGGAGTGGAACGGCTTTCCTCTGATGGGCAAGACCTATGAAGAGGTCCAGAGCATTATCGCTCTCCAGAGTGGGGAAGCTGAAATATGTGTAAGACTGTGAGTTTTTCTTCATCTTCCTGTTTCCATTGGTTTTTTTGGCTTTTCGTGGTTTCTTGATTCACGATTGTTAAGTTGCGAGCTGTACTTTATAATATTTGATATGAGAAGAAGATAAATGTAATTTTAAGTATTAAAGGAATATTTCCTTATTCCTTATAGTAAACTGATACATAAAGGAATGGAATGAATGAACCTGGGTTAGAACCTCTGCATTCCACTTGAGACAGATGTCAAAACAATATTAATATCAGAGAACATACTGACTCATTTTGAATTACAAAATAATCAACCACCATTTTTTTAAAAAAAATTATTTGGCAATGTTTAAACTAAATGGGTTCATAACATATCCTTCATTGCAAGAATGCTTTATCTTGCATTACACGTAGATCAAAGGATTTCAGCAAACTCATAAGTTCTTCAACAAACTCTAATGGAAATCTGTTAGAGACAAGTACAGGACTATGGTTCAAAATTACTGTGAGATGATTGTAAGGCACTCTGTGATTCAGAGCACTGCAAAAAAAGTTTATCACACATGCACAAGTGGTTACTCATCTGGATATTGTGTAAAGTATATGTATTTTGGTGTAAATTACATTTCTTTCCATTCATAAATTCACCCTCAGTGTCACTCTTCCCAGCTCACAAGGCATCACAAAGATATTTAAGGGAGCTGCGTTCAGCAGCAGCTGCTTCATCTCATTTATCTATCCTATTGCAATCGTTGGGGGGTCTAGACAGGGTTCTTTTTGTCTTAGGTTTGTTGTTCCTCCTTTTAGGAATGTCAGCATGCTGTCTGAAGGAGAGAATTCCCAACATCTGGAATGGCTTGAGCCAGGAAAGACAGGTAAATGACCTATCTAACATGGGTAACAAACTGAGGGGGGAAGGATTTGGCTGCACTTAGCATACAACCTGTAGCTTTTGAATTTGTAGCAAGGGCGGTGTAGCAAGGGTGTTTTTTTTTTTCTTAGAGAAGTACAAAATATTTCAAGTGCAGGAAAGTTCCATCTTTTCTCCCCAAATGAGTTGATCCAGGCATCCCAGCTTGGTTCCTATCTTCCCAGAGATAGTTTATCTGGAACCCAAAGTGTGAAATTCCAATATTTATTTTATTTAATATTCTGGATTTTTTCTGGATGTTTTCCAGTTTGTTTCCTCTCATTGTTGTAAAAGCTGAGCAAACTGTAGGTGGACAGGATGACTTTGTTGTATTGCAAAACTGACTCTGAATTCTTGTGCTTGCAGTAGATAAAACAAAATCTCCAGGAGTCGATCCTAAGCAACTGGCTGCAGAGCTGCAAAAGGTTTCTCTGCAACAGGCTCCCCTGATGGCCTCTTCAGCCATGGAGAAGGGGTCCCATGGGCACTCTGGGACTGCGTCAGCCGCCTCCAGCTCCGTGCCCAGCCCTGGGCAGCCTGGCTCTCCTTCAGTGAGCAAGAAGCGGCACAGCGGCAAGGTAGGCGGGCGCCTCACCCTGGGTGGAGGGATAGACGGTGGGGGTTAGGTGCTTTTGTTTCCTGCATTATCAGTCAGGTAAGGAGCAACCTATGTCTTAGGTTAAGCGAGAGACTTTCCTGACTCACTGTGACTGCTCTGGGGGCTTCCCTCTCTCTGTATGTGCACGCTTCAGTCACGTGCTGACAGACATTGCCTACACACAAACACACAACAGTTGATCCTGTATGGGTATAAGATGATGATTGAGTCCCTTGTAAACCGCTTTGAACTCTGGGATAACAGGACAGGATATATATATTTAATAAATAAGTAAAGCGTAAGACACTCTACTTACTGAGGCCCAAGCCTTGGATGTATTTGTATAGGCAGAAACCCTAATTTATTATTGTAATTTGATAAGAGAGATTCAGACGTTTTTAAGGTTTTTTTTATAAAATAAATTATGGCATGTATCAATCTAGAATTGTTAATAAACAAGTCATCTTTGAGGCAAGGTATTAAAATCAATTACTGCAGGAAATATCACCTTTTTACAAAGTTTCATTTCAGCTCTGAAATTTTAAGCCACCAAATGAATGGTTCGTTAATCTTAATTGTATAAATTTAAGAATGCTGTGATAATTCTATTCCAGTTGTAAAGAGAGACAAATAACAATCAGTGCTGGTTTATTTGTTTTTAAATAACAGTCTGCTGAAGTCTCAAAGGGGGGTTCCCATCCCATAACTGGAGAAATCCAGGTAACGGTCTCATATTAAGTTATTTACCATTTACCTTTGTCAAAAAGTATGAAATTAATTTTTGTGGTTTGTACTTTGGGATAAAGTAACAGTGCAATGGCTACTTTGAGAACAGTTTGGATGTTTGATACATTAATTGGGTTATTCGGTAAAGTGCACCTTTTGTCTCACTTTGGCTTGGCCAAGCTGCAAACGGGGAGGGAGGCCCAAGCCAGAGAAATAGGATGTTGTTAGACTGATGAGGTTGATGATGATGATGATATTGCAGAAGGCTTGTTTTAAAAAATCCTCACTGGACACCACTCAGCCTTTAGATCCTTTATCATTTTAGAAACCTAAAAAGTAGGTTTCTGGATCCAGAATGTTAGAATGGACCCAGCAGTAGAGGGATGGCTCTATTTGCACAGGATGAGCTTTGCCAACTCCATTTTCTCAGTAGAGTCAGCCCAGGTTGCCTCTAGAATAGCAAGGACAGTGGATAGCCAGCTCGAACACTCCATTAGGGCTCCCTTTCCAATTATACAAAGCATTTCATGATCCATTGTCTATAATTACTGTTGCCGCCTCTCTGTATGGGTAAAGCTGGCTAACATTCAGATGGAATCATTTGCATTGGCACCGCCATGTTCTGGAGATGAGCCCGACTTGAGAGAGACTTTACCTTTTGTGCCCAGCAGGTGGCAGCACTCAGTCAAACCGCTAAGGAAGCTTAGAATTTTCATCAGTTATGCTAGCTATCAGGGCATAGTGTGGAAAAAAGTTTTAAACACATAATTTTAAAATGGCTTTACTTTCAGAAACAGAAATTCATGTCAAAAATAACTAACGTGAATCAATGTTCTCCTTAGCTTCAAATCAACTATGACAAGCAACTTGGTAATTTGATTATTCATGTCCTTCAAGCCAGAAATCTTGCTCCCCGTGACAACAATGGTTATTCTGACCCTTTTGTCAAAGTTTACCTTCTGCCAGGAAGAGGGTAAGTGGAGGGACATTTTCACTCAAGGCAACAATTCTCATTTTTTAAATGTTTTTAGGGGATTCTTTTCATGACCAATAATCAGCATGTCTAGCTTCAAGGGGGAGGGGCTATTGAATGGTTTTTCAGGGGAATTTGTTATCAATCTTGTTAATCCTTTGGGGGCTCCTCCCTCTCTGGTCTAATTGCTTCCTAAGTAGCACCTCTTTCCCTCCTCCCCCAAGGTCAGCCCCGGGTTGCATTGCAATTAATGAAGAGAGTTTAAGGAATTTTCTCCTCCGTACATTTTCTGCAAGGTAACCCAGCATATTCCAAGCGCTGATGAAGGGTGCTGTTACTAGACTCCTTGCAACCTCATAAGGATGCTTCAAGCTAGGTTCTTTTCTGTCCTTCCGGTGAGAGGAAAAAAGTTCAGATCAAATCTGCTCCCAGGGTGAAAAGTTCCTTTTCTCTCTGACAATGGGACGTTGGAATTTGTTTTAGCCATAGAGTAGTCAAACCAGGATCAAACTACAATTCAGTATTCTGATCAGCTATCGGTTTCTCATTCTCAGATATGACAGTTTGTTCAAAAACATAAGCAGAATCTTCAAAGAAAAGATGAATTCATGAATCATAATTCTGCACTTTGATATTATAGTATTTATCTATGATTGAGAACTAATAGACCTAAATTGCTTATGCTGTTATTGGGGTGGGGGGGGGGCTTTCAGTGGAGGGAAGTTCCATTATGATCTGCCCAATCTGTTTAACATTTCTTCTTTCCCCAATTTTCAACCTCTTTTGATATATGGTTGGCATCATGTTTTATCTCTTTGTATTCCTAATCTTTTGCTTCCTGTATCCCTTTCTATTGCTTTTCGATGCATTGTTCCTTCACTGGGTTTGCAGCCAAGTCATGGTTGTCCAGAATGCAAGGTAGAGTGCTTTATTCTTTAACTGATGCTCTGTGCATGAAAACAGCCATATAGTATATACTCGTCTGCCCAGAATTCCAGTGATCTGCAAAGCAGGAAAGAAAAGTGAATTTCCCCCCAAAATGGCTGATCTAGTTATTGATGGCCAGAGGTGAAAAAAATTATAATAGGCAACAAATTGAGGCAGCAGCATCTTACCCCACCATTACTGGATTAATTGTGAAAGGTCACAACTATTTTAATATATGCAGAAATAATAATGCACTGTCAATTAATAATTATTCTGAGAGCCTGTTCCAGTAAGGCATAAGGCTAGTAACCAGGAGACGGTGAATTCTAGTCCCATCTTAAGCCTGAAAGCAGGCTGGCTGACTTTGGGCGGTCCCGCTCGCTCAGGGCACAAAGTCAGACTTGGATGACAAGACGGTCAGACAATTCCTGTCACAACCAATGGATCAACATAATCTGGCAGAGAAAAACATTGGGAAGGGAAAAAAATAGTAATTATTCTGTTCTGCTTCTCTAACATGAATTGCTTGCTAGCAAATGCAAATACCTTACAGAAAAATCATTTTTATGCATAAATTGTAGTTTCCATTTTATATCAGTTTCTTTGGGGTTTATGGGATACTTGCTATATGAGTTAGTGTCCAAATATAGCTCAATTTTAATTGCACTTTTTTTTAAAATGGTTAGATATTTGGATCGATCGTATTAAATCACTTGATAAGCAAAGCACCCCTCTTGATCCATCAACCTCAGAGACTAGCAAGCTGTTTTGGGATCCTGTGAAAATGCTCCAAACATTTCATGCATAAAAAGTGTCTTACTGCATGCTTGCAAAGATCCCTCACACACATACACTATACTGAAGTGACACTAGTTACATAGTACATTCAGGCTTTAACTATTTGCCGACCTTATATATCTGATATATAATTTCTGCACTTCTCTTCAAAAATTAATTTGCTTAAAGAAACCATATTTTTATAGCAGAGCTAACTTATTAGAAATTACTGTATTATTGGCCAATGGGAAGAGACAACTTGACTTTAAAATTATATAATAATTAATTTCAGTTCAGAGGGATATTCCTGAAAGCAATAGTGCCCTGTAAGATATGCATAATCCTAAAACATAATTAAAACAAAGGTGAGGTTGCAGAGATCCATTAGCATGCATAGAACTGAATCTTTCAAAGTCCTAAAATATAACATACTTAATGTTCTTTAAGTTTCTCTATATAAAATAATTATATGAAATAACTGATCCAATTAAGAGCTGATATACAGTGGATGACCTGCCATGTACATTCCCAGCAGTAAAGGGACATGTATTTTTTCAGGCTTGGGAAAACACGTGACAGTTTAATCAATATTAAATTAGTGTTTTTGTCATTAATACAATAGTGATTTGAGTTTTCCTTTATGATTTTCACAGGAATTACTCTCCTATAATTAAAGGCAAGCCAAGGCTAGGAAATAATATGTTGTATTATTTATCTGTCTTATCAGCTGAGTATATTTTTCAGGAAAACCAGTGCTTCATCATTATTTTATAAATATTATTGTATAGAAGCAATTTGTAAATGCAATATATTCCTTGTGTTGTTTTCAGTTGTACAAAAGAGATTTAAAAGCTTCCAACTAGGTGTGTTGGCAATTCAAAACTTTAATTTTAATAAAGACAATATGGAGAATGCTCAATAGAAGATTATCATTTACACTGAAAGAGATCTAATCTCATTTGACCACACGAGCCTGAAAGTTTAATCATCAGATGTGTTAAAATTGTTTATGAATTGAAACAATAGGAAACCTATGAAAGTGATGTTCTGTTGCATTCCTTTGTTTCATTTCAGCGTTGAGAACAAGAGAAAGACAAAATACCTACAGAAAAGCTTGAATCCTGAATGGAACCAGACGGTTATTTATAAAAGCATCTTCATGGAGCAGGTATGCGGCTTAAGGCATATTTTGTTCCTGGTGTGGACAAATGCTGTTCCTGAGATAAGGATATATCAAGAATGAAACTGCTTCCAGTTTAAATTGAATATTCAATTTCATGGAGTCATTAGATCAAAACACCTTTCATCAGGTCTTTAAATTAAAATGTCAGTTATGCCATGATATCCTTATGAACTAAATTTCCTTTCACCTTCCAAAAAAATTGAGACATTAATAAACAGGTTACAGATCCCTCTGTCCAAGTTCTTTAGCCAATTATACTCAGAGCAGGAGTTGGACAAGAATACTTCTTACACCTTTCCAGATTGCCACTCATAGGGTCTATTAATGGGATGCCCCTGGTCAAAGCTTGACCAAAGAACTTCTCCACTTGGAATTGGTCTCAAAGATCTCCCCCCCCCCCCAGGTTGATGTGAGGACAATGATTGCTAGGTGGTCACCTTGCCGATCCATAGAGGGTTACAGGGAGGTATTATTCAGTGGAGCATATTCTGTGGGCTGGGTGTGAATTGCACAATGGGAACTAAAATCAATTATCTTTTGCAGCTGAAAAAGAAAACTCTGGAAGTCAGTGTCTGGGATTATGATAGATTCTCCTCTAATGACTTCTTGGGTGAAGTAAGTTTGCTATTTTCCTTGATTTTGCTAATTTTTTCCTTTCTTCAGATGACAATACAATCTCATGATATATTTTTTAAATCCCAAGAAACATTTGTCCAAATTGAGGCCCCATGACAGAGACAGATGCACAGTAATGTCTTGTGACATTTATCCATTTAGGAAACCATGGATTTCTTTGTTTTTGGCTTAGCCAAAAGTGCAAACCCACCTATTAGGGTTTAACTATACATAAACAAAGTCATCATAGCAATTAACTTTTGTTTCTTTTAAGAAACTGACTTAGCATTAGGCTGTAAAGTTAAAAGCAAAGTATAATTTCCATTGAGTTTGAGGTAAGACCTCCATGTCGTTTTCATGCCAAGAATAAGGAGATAGTTTGCCATTATTTTTTTTTGGGGTGTCTTTCAGTTCCCCGTCAATCCTGCAGCTTGGGTTTTCCTGAAGTCTCTTGTCCCAATCCCAAGTTTTCCCTTTGTTTACAGCCCAGATTATTGTCTTTTTTTCCCCACAGCTGTTCTTTGTTGTTAAAGCTTTGACGATCACAGACCCAGATTAGCTTTTCCCAGATTTTGCCAAGTCTTATATTAAAGTCATAGCTGTTGTAGTCTTCATCTGCCACTAGGTGTCAGCAACTATTTGTTTTTCAATTTCCAAAATGAACAATTATCTTTGAAATGAGAGTCTTGACCATTAAAACAATTTTAGATTTATCCAGATTTAAGTTTTAAGTTTCAGGTTTTATATTTATTTCACTTCCATATATTTTGATCCTCAATAAAAAGATTAATTTGCCACCTCCGTTAGTATAAGGGTGGGGTGGAAATCCCCTTCCTTCCCTTTCGGAGATATTTTGCTTCTTGGGGATCTTTTCCAGGAAATTAAATGTAAAATAGAAAAGGGAAGATCAAATTCCTCACCCAGTTTCAAGCATGCTGTTCACAGTTGTGCTGGTTAGTGCTTTTGGACTTCGGTTGCAAGTAGCTTGGGCTGGTTGATGCAATACGGCCAGCCTTCTCCTGTTGGGTTAGAAGGCTTTCCCCAAGTTGAACAGAACGGCCGCTGCCATTCCAGAATTGCTGGAGCACCCTTCTTTCTTCGTTGCCTCTCCGGGGCAACTTAGACCCACTTAGGGTCCCCAGGCAGGGCAAAATTAGCCGTGGGGGTGCGGAGAATCTGCAAGCCCATGCCCGGTCGCTACTGCGCAAAACCGGAAGTCAAAAACCCATCTCATTTTTAAAGAAGGTGAAATTCTGGAGAAAATACTCAGATACTTTAGGATACCCCAAAGGGTGTATATGAAATATTTAAATGTGTATATTGTCTTCTGCTCTGGGTGAAGCCAACATCCATTTCCAATACCTGAAATTCTTAAAACGATCACTCCCAGAAAAACAGCTGTACTTTCTTGGAGCACTTTTCTCTCGTCAACTCTCTCCTCAAAACGGCCAATCATCATTCCAGAGCACTCAGACCCTCAGAGACTCTGTCTAGGCTCATGAACTAGACCGTTTTTCTTCCTTCCACTTTTAGAGTCTTTTAAGTTCCCATCCAGTGCCATATAGATGGAAGTAAACATTCCCGCCATCTCCATTTGTGTTACCATCTCCTTCCCTCTTTCTTTCTTTCTTTCTTTCTTTCTTTCTTTCTTTCTTTCTTTCTTTCTTTCTTTCTTTCTTTCTTTCTTTCTTTCTTTCTTTCTTTCTTTCTTTCTTTCTCACAATTTAATTTCTAATCTCCTGAAATAAGGACATTGCACACAAATATTGAACAGTCACCATAACAAGAATGTTATATAAAATGGGTTTGGAGTGAGTTTTGAGATTTAGTGCACCCAGAATAGTGTAGCTTTTTCAAAACTGGAGGTTTGCTGTCTGTTGCTGCGTAGGTCTTAATCGAGCTGTCTAGTGCCTCTCCCCTGGATAACACTCCTCGCTGGTACGTTCTGAAGGAGCAGAGTGAAAACTTTGACCATGGGAGATCCCACTCAGGGCAGGGTAGCCAACAGTCTCCGAAACCGTCAGTCATCAAGAGCAGAAGTCATGGTATTTTTCCTGACCCATCCAAAGGTAAGACTATTTTCCCTGGCCTCTCTTTGCGGACATCAGGGTAGGCTCTCCTGGTAAACTCTGGCTTTATACGGACCGTTTGATGTGAAATCAGACGGTGAGGCACAGTGGATCCCCTGTTTTACCCAAGAAGTTATTTCACTTCTTAAGTATGACAGTGAAATAACCTTAAGATATTTTTAGGTCCAGAGAGATAGAGAGATAGAGAAACCACTCGTAGTTAAAAGGGGGGGGAGTATGTGGGGGGGGGAAGGTTTCTGCCATGTTTTGAGCCCACCACTTCTTAGGAGTGTAGAACCTGTTAGAGCCCTTGGTGAGCCACTGAAGGGGGGGCTCTTCCTTTGCCAAGCAACAAATGAACAACTGAGCTACCTTGCGGCCCACTGAAGGCCATTTTCCCAAAGAGAGGGAGGCGCTGGGGAGGGCATATAATGGGGAAAGGGAGACTTTAAAAGAGAAGCAAAGAAACATACCCCATTTTCACTTTGGAAGTGATGAAGAATTAAGAGAAGGTGACCTCCATTTCTGCCAATACAGTTCCTAGCCTGTTCTGGCCATGAGGCATTATTTGCATCCAACCAAGCAAACGTCCAGAATGAGCAGGTAGCACATGGACATGGGGGCCGGAGAGAGTGGGGGAAGTTTGTTTCTTCAGAGTCTATGGAAGGGTTAGAGGGTTGGACATTATTCTCTGCTTCCTATTCTCAACACAGCAAAGTAAGATGAGGAGAAGACCCCACCCGTGGTTTTCAGTTGAGGGATGATGGGCGCTATCTAACAAAATGAAGTTCAATGGTGAAAAAAGTAAGGTTCTACATTTAGGCAAGTAAAACCAAATGTACAGGTATAGTATAGGGGGTACCTTGCTCAATAGTAGTAACTGTGAGAGGGATCTCGGAATCCTAGTGGACAATCCCTTAAATAGGAGCCAGCCATGTGCTGCAGCTGCCAAAAAAGCCAACACAGTGCTAGGCTGCATTAACAGAGGGATAGAATTAAGATCACGTGAACTATTAATACCACTTTACAATGCCTTGGTAAGGCCACACTTGGAATACTGCAACCAGTTTTGGTCACCACGATGTAAAAAAGAGGTTGAGACTCTAGAAAGAGTACAGAGAAGAGCAACAAAGATGATTAGGGAACTGGAGGCTAAAACATATAAGGAAAGGTTGATGGAATTGGGTATGTCTAGTTTAATGAAGAGAAGGACCAGGGGGGACATGATAGCAGTATTCCAATATATCAGGGGCTGCCACAGAGAAGAGGGGGTCAAGCTATTTTCTAAAGCGCCTGAAGGCAGGACAAGAAGCAATGGATGGAAACTAACCAAGGAGAGAAGCAACCTAGAACTAAGGAGAAACTTCCTGACAGTTAGAGCAATTAACCAGTGGAACAACCTGCTCCAGAAGCGGTGAATGCTCCAACATTGGAAGTTTTTAGGAAGAGACTGGACAGCCATTTGTCCAAAATGGTATAGGGTTACCTACCTGAGCAGGGGGTTGGACTTGATGACCTCCAAGATTCCTTCCAACTATTATTATTATTATTGCCTGCATAATTACTCTGTGGCTCTGAGGTGGGAGAAGAATAACATACTGTATTCCTGATATTTCCCCCCTCTTCCCCCCCCCCAATTCTTGCCAGATATGCAGATGCCCACCATTGAGAAGTCCCACAGCAGCCCAGGAAGTTCCAAATCTTCCTCTGAGGGACATCTGCGGTCTCACGGACCATCTCGCAGCCAAAGCAAAACCAGTGTCACTCAAACTCACCTTGAAGATGCTGGGGCAGCCATCGCTGCTGCTGAAGCCGCTGTCCAACAGCTCCGTCTCCAACCAAGTAAAGGGCACAAATAAAATTCCTCAGCATGGCAGCTTAATTCTCATCTGTGGCCCTTCTTCCCCTGCCCTTCTCCCCCGTCTTCCCTGCTCCTGGCCTTTTCTTTCCGCTCTGGGCACATTTGTGCATTTCACCTGTTCAGTATTCTGTGTGTTTGTCTGAAAATACAAATCTCCTTTTCTACTGAGATATAGAATGCCACTAAACTGGTTGTTTTTCCAGCATGTATTCCATTTGCTCAGTAAGTCACAATCCTGCACTTCTTTATGGGAAAGGTTTGCTGTGTTTTCTTCCTTTGGTGTCACTAAATGCCTCAACTAATTTAAATATTATATACTTTGTTTCCAGCTCTACCCCCACCTGAGAATTGTGGAAAATTTATAAAAACAGCATATTAAATTTGAAAATCAAATGGGGTAGATCTGTTGTAGAACATCAGAATTTGAAAAACAAAATGAAAGAATGTATTTGGTTCAATTGGTAAATGTTCTTTTCTTTTGACAAAATTATTTTTTTTAAAGCAATATCCTTAAAATGTTTTCTTTGGTCAATGATAATATAGTACAACCACCCAGACAGACATTCATTGGCTGCAATTAAAATTAGATACTGGCTTTGTTAACAATGTAATCATTAGCCTTACGGAGCCTATATTATATGAGGGTATAAAAAAATGTTAGTTAGCAATGAGGCTTAACAATTACAGCTTTTCTGTATTTCATCACGTGTAAATCATTCTTTCTTGGAATTAGAGGTTGAGGATTTAGTGTGTGGCAAATTAGTATAATCCAACTGTGGCAACCGTTTGTTGTCTCCATGATAATTGGTGCCCAGTCACTGTTGCGTAACGCAAAAGGCAGGAAATAAAATCCTCTGTGTCTTCTTTATCCTTTTATTTTAATTAAAAAGAAACAGCCAGTTTAATTACCATTTACTGCTCTTCATGTGATGTCTCTTTGGAATTCAAAGAAACTTGCCTATTTAAATGCTGAAAGGAGAATTTCCCTATTTCTGTTTGCATGACTAACATTTAAGCTGGTTCCATCTGAGGTACATATTGTGGGTTTCCATTTCACCCATAACTGCCACAGCTACCCATAAAAGCGGTCAGTCTAATCATGCAAGGAAGCTGCACAGACACAGCATAGCGGGAGTCCTCCCAATTCAAAGAACTCAGTCTGACAATCTGCCTCCACCAGCCAGTGACAACAAAGAGCAAAGCCAACTAGCCCTCAGGAAAGTGATGTCCGATGGACCCTTCAACCCTGAAGGAGGTGAGCAGAAAGACATCCGGCCCAGGAACCCCTGGCCCAAATCGAATGCCTTCTGGCCGGGCCTGCTAATTCGTTGCACAGTGAAGTTACTCCTCCGCTCATAGCGGTAATGTTCTACTGCAGGGGTCTTCCAATTTGGCCCTTTTATGACTTGTGGACTTCAACTCCCAGAATTCCTCAGCCAGCATGCCTGGCTGAGGAATTCTGGGAGTTGAAATCCCACAAATCATGAAAGGGCCAAGTTGGAAGACCCCTGTTCTACTGGATTAAAAGAGAATAAGATTTCTTAATTGCTGAAGCGCTAGACACATAAATGGTTGAGCTTTCTAACACAGAGAGTGTCCATCCTCCTCCAAATCTCGAATGCATCATGCTGATATTGCCAACTAAATGGATGTGTTTAATTTGAACTCCTTGAGCATGATTAACCAATCTTTTTGTACAACTAAAATCTGTTGTGGCATACATGAATTACAACATGGATGCTGTTGTTGTTTTGTTATGTTGGTGCTATCACTTTGATATATGCTATGTATTCTGCTTTGAAAAATCTATCTTTCAAAAGAAAATTCTTCCCTGGAAGTTGAATAGAGAGACTCAGTGAAGGCAGCCGTTGAATTTCAACTGGAGTATGTTCATTTGTTCGTGGTATGGTAGACAAGAGGAGCTGGAAATTAGCTTGTTCCTAAACTCTTCTGTATCCTGTTCAAAAAGCAAGATGGCCCTTCCGCCATTCCAGGAACCCAAACGACCTGGTTGTTTTCTGAATGAATAGGAGGTACAAATTTTCCTCCTATTGGCTACGTGGCCCCCTCTTCCCTGTCTTTATTTAACCAGCCTCCAAGCATCCACTAGGAAGGGCAATGTCGTTCTAACTCAGTCAGATGTTGGTTGTGAATGGGTAGGTAGGTTTTGTGCTGGATATGCTGCCTGCTTTGCGCTTTCCACTTTCTGTCGTGAACACATATATGGAACTTCTGAGGACAATAAAACAGTCAAGGATGCAAAGGCAAACATGCAAATCTAATAATCAGCATTTTCAAACATTATTTGAGATCGAATAAAAAAGAAACAATATTTTTTTGTTGATTTAGTTTCATTGTTAAGTATATTTTACATTTCTTAAGATTTGGAGCCATTAATTTTCTAGGGATGCGTATTTTCTCCTTTTAAATTTCCAGTGTGTAATTATGGTAATATTCATCCAGGTTTTTTTTTAACTCTAAGTAAAGTTTAATTGTTGATTCAATTCAAGAATTTCTTAAGCATACTAGCATTCCAGCCACTGAGGTACCTGGGCTGTGCAATTTTGTCAGTGCACGTTTCAGCTGTAGATAATTTCAAGCAAAAACTCTGGGTAAGTCCTAAAGTCAGAACATATCGTAGCAAATCATTAAAACAACCATTATAGATAAACCAATTTTATCCCTTTTTAGCCCATGCTTTCTAATAAAACCTCTTCTCTTCAAACCATGGATTATTCCATGGTGTCAATTTCTCATGTGATTCTAGTTCAAATCTTAAATATTAATAATCAAATGTGCATAGCAGCTTACAAGTTTGGAAGCAAATAATCCCTAATTAATATACCTAAAGACTAAAACTTGTCAAGATTTCAAAAGAGTCACACATTTTTATAATTTGATCCAAAGAGGGCAATATTACCAAAAAAAATCTCATTTCACAGTAATATGGAAAATAACAAGAAAGCCCAGTAATAAAGTTGAATGTCTGCTAAATCAGTGCCAATATTTTCATACAGCAACCTCAGTTGGTTAAAGATATTTAAGGACTTTGGGCCTCACACAAATGTTTTCTCAATGCTTATTTATTTATTTGTTTGTTTGTTTGTTTGTCTGTTTTATTTCACCCCGCCCTCTCCCATTCTGGCATTTCCTGAGGGGCCCCCTCGCCAGCAGGCCCCCCCAGCTGCTCCTTCGCTCCCCGCCCACCACCCACCATTGAGAGATCTCAGAGGTCGGTCAGCCTTAGCCCCAAAGCAGCCACAGCCATCCCTGGAGCCCAGCTGCTCAGATCTTGGTCTGGTAAAGGCTGTCCTTACTGTACAGAGATATCCACAGTAAGGTATTTTTTCTGTTTGAAAATTCTTTATTCTTGGTAAGCCAGCTCAACATCTGATGGTTGCAAGTGACTCAAGCCAGATCTTGAGGGGCTTCCAGAAAATAAAGGGAGATGGAGTTGAGGAAGCTTCAGGACAAGATAACTTCTTTTAGGTCCCCGTTGCCTTCTCACTGCTCTATGACTTGATGTTCCTAGAGTGTCTCGATTAGGCTGCAGGGAATATTGGTGGCTTTCACACCTCTCTCCCCTCCAGCTGAATGACCCCTCGCCTCTCACCCTTCTCTGCAGGGGTGGTCAGCTCTCCCTGGCCATGTTGCAGTCAGAGCCTCTTCTCACTTTTCTTTTTTCCAAGAAGATTTTCTCTACTCTTCCTATATGTTGAAGCTTCCAATAGGCCAGCATAAGACTGTCCCACTGGGGGAAAAAAAGTGGAAGGATAAATGTCAAATAAAATGGGCTGATATTTAAAACAAAAGATTAAAAAAAGAGATGATAAAAAGTAAACTTTTAGGAGGGGTTCTTTATAGGTATTGCTGCCTTCTCTCCATTTTGGCTCCCCCTCCTGAATTTGGGATCATTAAATGGGTATTGTTTCCTTAGATTATTTTGGGGAATTGAAATTAAACCAGTGGTTCTCAACCTGTGGGTCAGGACCCCATTTGGGGTCGAACAACCATTTCACGGGGGTCGCCAAACAACGCAGTCCGCCATTTTTTCCCCCTTTTCCTTAGCTGTGCTACTCCCTTTTATTCTATTGGCTTTTGAAAGCCAATAGAATAGACTCTCTTGAATAGAGTCTAATTCTATTGGCTTTCAAAAGCCAATAGGAATTGTCCAGGCTGTCTCTGCCCTGCTGAGCCCGCCAAAAGTCCCATTCTGCAAACGGTGCTGCACCAGTTGAGTAGTCCTCGACTTACGACCGGTTGTGCGCAGTTTTAACTGAAGAAATATATTCAAGCACTTTTAGTCAAGAAACTGACTATATAATAGCTGAGATTTAACTGATAAGACTTCAGTCTGAGATTTAACTGATAAGACTTCAGTCAAATTGGCTATTTACTGTATTTTTAACAGTTGTTGTTCATATTGTAATATTTGAGCCACCTGAATTAAAAAGACTTAGTTCTACAATGGCATCTTTACTGATAGATTAATGTGGTTAAGTATCCAATAACTCTGAGGAAATTATGGGAACAATGTGTTGTTTGGCCAGAATAGCCTTCTGCCAGCTAACATAGCCTTTAGTCTTCAGCCATGCTAACTTCAGATTCTATAATTGCAGCCCAATTACACCCACGTAGCCCACCCAGAAAAGGTATGGCATAACCCTAAAACCAAAATTCAGCACAAGGCGGGAGAATCTTGTGAGAATACTTTACATTCCATCTTGCAAATAGCCAGATCTTACTTAAATTGCTTACAGTTTTATCAGTTCAGCCAACCGGTGGGATCCAATCCCTGTCACTCTTTCTACTCCCTACAGCCAGGTCTGCCAACCACAGGCCAGGAGAAAGCTCGGTCTCTTCCACTGGCTCATCCACCAGCACCTTTGGCAGCGGATACAGTGTGGACAGTGAAGGAAGCAACAGCAACACCACCACCGCCGCCACCACCACCACCACCACCACCACCACTACGGGGGACAGCAACCATTTCCCCATTCCAAGAATGTACGGCTTTTTATCATGGACTGTCTTTTTTGCTAATCACTCAGAAAAGATAGAATAGCCCTTCAGACCTCAGGAAGCAGCTGCCTTCCCTGCCGTCGAATCGTTCTGCCCTCCCATCCCATTTCCAGCCACGGAGTCTCCTCAAGGACAGTTCATTGTGGCACACATGGGGGCTGCAAGTGGCTTCTTTCAGCAGCAGCAGCAGCAGCAGCAGTACTGAGCCCCACTTGGTTAATCTAGAAAGTTAAGCAGGCTCTTGGTGCCCCTGGTTTTGGCTCATATTCAGATGAGGTTAACAATGTGCAGTGGCAAAACTGTAAAGCTGTTGGCACGTCTTTGTTGCCATTCATCATGTTGCAGGCCCGATCTGGCAGCTCTAATGTTATCTTCTATTGAAAGCAGCTGCCTTTTTCAAATAGGGAATCAAGAGGCTTGCATATTTTTTACTATCCTACTTACTTCTCTGTGATCAACTGCAATTTTTTTTTTGTCATTCTGTAGATTTATATATTTATACATTTAAAGAATCGCCTTTGTTAATAGCAGACCATCTATGTTTTTCAACAGAGGAAAGATGAGCCAGAATGGACAAGAAGCCGTGAAGCAATCAGGGGTAGGATTAAAAGAGATTGAAGGTAAAGTGTCTGTCTCAATTCAAAATGAATTATCTAGGAGACTGTAGAAAATATTTGTTGCTATTCTATTAATCTAAATGCTATTTTTATAAGAAATAAACTCTCTGCTTTATTGTAACCAAAAATGCTATGATGGTAGCAACAATAGCCCTTTCAGTGTAAAGCAGGGGTCCCCAATCCGTGGACCAGTACCGGGCCATGGCATGCCAGCAACTGGTCCGCACAAACAAGCAAAGATCCATCCATGGGATGCAGGCAGCACACAAAACCACACAACCTCCAGTCCGTGGAAAAACCTTTCTCCACGGAATTGGTCCCTCGTGCCCAAAAGGTTGAGAACCTCTGGTGTAAAGAACCTAACTGTCAGTAAGAAAACCTTATTCATCTGAATCTGGATTTAAATGCTAAACTGCATGCATCTCCAATTAGATTGTGAGAAAAGGGACAATTTGTCCCATCCAGTGATGTACAAGGATAATTAAAACTAGTATATACAGTGATGTACAAGGATAATTAAAACTAGTATATAAAATTAGTTATACTGATATAAGAATCATTATGAAAAATATATCCTGTTGGGCTCAAATTCTTGCAAGCTATTAGAGAACTTCAGAATGACAACTTTGAAAATGTCTGGTGAGTTTGCCTTCAATCCTGAATGAAATGAAATTTTAATTGTAAGCTTAAATATTGAAAGGCTTTGAAATAAATGACAAAAAGCTAAAGATTTTTATCTTAGGACAGGGGTCTTCAAACTTGGCCCTTTTATGACTTGTGGACCTCAACACCCAGAATTCCTCAGCCAGCATGCCTAGCTGAGGAATTCTGGAAGTTGAAGTCCACAAGTCATAAAAGGGTCAAGTTTGAAGACCCCTGTCTTAGGAAGATATAAACAGACTAAGAATGCAGATAATATTAGAATATAGAAATTATTACAATAAGATTTTAGAACCAATTATAAAAAACAAACAGCTTCTCATGGGAAATAAATATATTTTGATTTTTGCAAGCCATAACTAAGATAAATAAGTTTATAATTTCAAAAAAATAGACACTAGAGGGGATTAAAGACTTAAGGGGGGGGGAGAACCACAAGTCTACTTTTTGTTAATTAACCGAGACCTAAAAATGAGTAAAACATTACAATACTGAAAATATTAGAGAGTTTTGAAGAATAGAGCTTGAAATTAATAGCCACAATATCAACAGTGTCATAGATAATGCCTTTCTCTATGATACATTTTGTCCAAAACATGACATTGAAGAAATGGCAAATGTGGGATAAATTTTATCTGACTAAACAGTGGTGATCCCAAAAGTGGATTTTAAAAGGAAGTCTAAGAATGGCTCGGGGAAAAAATCTCACTGGATGTACAGAGGAAACTGGACATCAAGGAAAATACAAATGATAAACCAAAAAAGGGACCTGGATAATTTGTTTTATTGGATTTAAAAAACAGGCTTGCTAAAATGTCACTTAAGTGAGATGGGTGGGGTAGAATGTGAAGAAATCAAATCCTGCAACAATATTTAAATGAGCTAAAGATTAAGACAAAGAAGGATTGTAAAGTTGGTTAACTTGATCAAGATTTAAACAAACCATATTGTTACTTCTGGTAACCCTTTGTGAACTTTCTGCTGACCCTGGGATAGGACTTGCTTATACAATGAGGTCAGATATGATACAAAGAGGCAGTCATTTCTAATGGGGAAGATGTATAATTTGTTCATACTTGTGATTAAAGGTTGGAAGTCACTTCTCTACAGTTTCTTTTCTATTTGTTATATTTTTGATTTTCTCTTTCTTTTTTCCTTTTCCCTTGCTCTTTTTACTCTTTCTGTTCCAAATTCTAGGATATCAGGGGTAATCTGGCAGAAAAGCAGCATTTCCTTTCAGTAGGGCTAAATTAATTTTGCTTTCTTTTATTATTACAGGCAAAACTCAGGTGATGGGTGAAATAAAGATTGCCTTAAAGAAGGAAATGAAGACCGATGGAGAACAGTTAATAGTGGAAATCCTGCAATGCAGGAATATAACTTACAAGTTTAAATCTCCAGATCATTTACCAGGTATCATTTGTTCATGAGTCGGTATTTTATTAAATATTTTTAAATAATCAGGCCCCAACTACATATTATATTAATTATTTTAAGTACAGCAATAACATAGTGGGATTTTTGCCATTAGATACAAAGGGGGAAAAGATTATTCTCATAAATTGAATGCCCTTTGGGTGAAACTGTTTTTCATGTGCAAACTGAATTATCCAATAATCCTAGTTGGGCTGACAATTTTAATCAGGTAAAGGCCACTTGGTGTAATAGAATAATATCTAATGGAGTAGAAATAGAATTCCACATGTGGGTGGAAGGTGAGTCCTGAAATAAATCATAGCCCTATTTCCCTTTTGTAATATTCATGGGCTTTTAATCTTACCCTCATATACAGATTTCTGCAGAATTTTATTCAGTCAATTCCATAGCCAGTAGGACAGCTTTGGGATCACAGGGGGTGTCGTGAGGCTCAAAGTACAGCCAGAGGTTAAGATACTGAGTGGAGAAATAGCCAAGAGGAGTCCCTTTCAGATCTTAATGATGTTTGCTATCCTGAATTAAATACGAATCTCTGAGTGTTCTATAAAATAGGCCAAACCATCTGTTTCCACAGATTTATATGTAAAGCTGTACGTCGTCAACCTTGGGACTCAAAAGAGGGTGGTGAAGAAGAAAACGAGAGTGTGCCGGCACGACCGAGAGCCTTCCTTCAACGAGACCTTCCGGCTCAGCCTGAGCCCCTCTGGCCATTCGCTCCAGGTACTTGGCTCACTCCCGGGGCCCAGCGCCTGCCGCCCCCTGACCCTCGGCAGACCTTCCGCGTTTGCGTTTGAAATTCACCTTTTATTCACTCACCTGACCCTGATGTTTCTAATGTTTCTAGGAATGTTGTCCCAATTTTGTCAGCTATTTTGCTTATTTTAGCAAGCCACCTTGACCAATTCTTCCAATTTTGTCTGCAGAAAATCATGTTCCCCAGCATTTCCATGCTCTTCTCCTTGAGCATAAGTAAATTTTTCAAGTGACATTTTGAGTAGAAAAATGAGAGGAAGATTTTAAAAGTTCTCATTTGAGGTTATTGTAATTCCATCTTGTCTATAGAGATTCTCAGTCATCCAGGTTATAGTTATCCTGAAGGTGCTTTTTCACTAGGCAACTGGACTTTCTTGTTTTTTCCTTGAAGACGTTTCACTTCTAATCCCAGAAGCTTCTTCAGCTCTGACTGGATGGTGGAGAATGGAAGGATTTATGCTCCTTGCAGACAGGTGTTCATTTGCCTTCTTTTAGAGAGTCATTGAGGCCACCTGGAGGCTTATCTGTGTCCCCAGAGTCTCCTGAGTAGTGCAAATGGGTGTGGAGCCTTCTTCGAACTGATGAAAAAACTGTGTTGTACACTGGAGATAAGCCCATCTTGTTTCTGTTTTAAAAAATAGAACAAATGATTTGGAAGATATTTCAGATATCCTATAGTTCAACATTAACCAACAACAATGACAAATTATCAGTGTTTTTGTTTTGGTGGTATTGTAACTCTTTGGGTTTTTAAGGAAAGAGCTGACAATATTTTCCAGTCCTGAGCACCATTGTATGATTTCTCATTATGACTCACTCTGCACCTCCCATCCTGACCTTTGTGCACTTTACGGGAGCATATTGCTCAGTTTAATGTCCTTTAAACATGATACAGACATTATACATACATACATATATATGTTGAGAAAAATAGTCGAACACCAGGATAAATATAAAAAACAACTGTTTAATAAACTAAGCTTTCGTCGGCTAACTGCCGATGTCGTCAGAGTGGAATGCCTGAGGTTTGAAAGCCTGCTTATAACACCAGCTGTTTTTGCGCTCTGCTCATAGAGTGCGTTACTGGTCTACCCGCCCCAGCTAATCGTATTGCTTCTAGTTGTCTCGCATCCGTCTGTATATTTGTAGGTTCAGGGATCATCGCCTCTCCTGTTGTCGCTCCCTTTGCCCTCAGTGTTTCCTGTCCAATGGCCATCTCCCCCTGTAGTGTATGTGGCACCCCGCCTCCCATCATTGGTTCCTGCGCAGATCACACTGAGGATTTCTCCCCTTCGCTGGTCATAGTTCTTTGCCGTTGCATGAGCCCGCGGTTCTGATCTTGCATAGGCCGTGCCCGTTGCACTCGTTGTAAGTCGTTACGCTGTTGTTCCCACTTCCTTAGTGCTTGATAAGCAGGCAGTAACTCTATGTGGTGATTAATTGAGTGCTCATCCAATAGCCAAGCCTCCTTCAGCAACTGGCCCCCCCTTGGTGACATCCTGAGCGATGGCCTCCACCCCAGCAAGGTCGAATGCATGATTTGATATATAAACTTCCTGATCAAAGTGATAAGTAAATGTAAGACCTCTTTCAGTCAAGATTGAGTTCTTCGTGATTCTTCTTTGTCACACAATGTTTCCCTTTCACATAGTTTTCATGATCTATACAAGCTAAATAAATAATATTCTATGAGAGTAGACATATTATGGATTATTTAATTTATCTGATACCTTTTGATGATTTATATTAATTTAATGTTAATTCGTAGAGTTTGGTTTTGTTTGTTCTTTGGTTTGTTTTTGGTAATAGAAATTATTTGATAAATGATCCAATTGAATAGCTACATATTACATTTCTTATTCATATTTCTTAATGGTTTTTTACTATTATGAGTTTTTTCTATATTTTCCTTAAAACTGCCAGTTTTAAAAAGTTGACAAAGAGTCACTAGGTTACAGACTGGAGCTTAAAAGCATTGAGGAGGGGGGGGATGTTGTGTGTGCACGTGTGTATATTGTAGTCCTTCGCTCCAATGTCTTTCTTTGTGATGTAATAACATTCATTGGATGGAAGTTTCCCATAAACTGCCTCTTGGGGGAAAAATGGGCCATTGCTCAAATAAATGACATATATGATGAATATATTCCATGTCATGTGGAATGTTTTGTGTAATAGCCTTTTTAATGCAAAGAGTTAAAATGATTTGATCACTTTTTTTTAAAGGGTATTCTAAGTGCTTTTTAATGTCATATGAAATATATTACTTTTTGCTTTTTCCCCTAGATTCTTCTTGTTTCCAATGGAGGAAAGTTTATGAAGAAAACCTTGATTGGTGAAGCATATATTTGGCTTGATAAAGTGGACCTTAGGAAAAGAATTGTAAACTGGCACAAACTTTTAGTTAGTTCCACACAAGCCCATTGAGCAAAGATGTCCTTGTTTGGTGTCAGACAGTTCAAGCTGGAAGAGTCTCCTTGTGTGATCCCAGGACTCCACTTTAATATTAGGCTTAGGTAGGCTTTCCAGAATATGAAACAAGTAACATCTGTTCTGGGCTACCTAGCACATTTTTATGAAGGCTAGTCCACTGGTTTTACTATGTAAAAAGCTAGAATAAGACAGTAAAAGAAAAACATCACCCTTGGCTCAGATGATAAAACAAGTCCACTGGAATAAGGACTGCGAATCAAGGGTTCAATGATGTTAAAACCTTTGTAGCCATGTAAACGAAGGGTGTCCCTGCGCACGAAGGCAGCTGGAATGCAGAAACTCTGGCTGCGTTTGGAGGCAAGACTCCCAGAGAATGGAACCTGGGTTCTCTTGTGCCATCAGAAGGGGGATCCTTTTATGCAAAAGCACCCAGGGACGGCCTTCCTAGTCTCACCGATCAGAAGATTATTCAGCTCTGTTCTTCTGTATTTTAGAGCGTTCAGAGTAAGATGGTGCCCTAGGGGCAAAACACAGTATCTTTTATTTTTATTTTAAATAGTAGCAATGTTTATATTTCTTTTCTTGGAGTACCAGTTCAGAGTAATAATTTCAGTATTTCTCCGTGTGAATAATGCAGAATCACGATCCTAGAACATTAAGTCCAAAGGGAGAGAGAGAAATGGGGGGGGGGGGAGAATCAGGATTTGTTGTACAGTTGCCACCATAGCATGAAATAAAACGTAGCCCTGAGTTGTGAAAGAAGCCACAGTCCTCCCTGCCTTTCTCAGTCTCTTGTTTACAAATAATGAAGTTAATGATTTAAAGGGCTTCTAAACAGACATGCCTATTTACTGTATGCCACTGCCTGCTGGTCTTGCTGTTGTTGATCACAAGGAACCGAGACTCAAAAGTCTGAAGCTATCTGTGGTTTAGATTCACTAACTATGCCACTGGTCCTCAGCTTATTCTGGAGTTATGAATCTTTTTTTTTAAATGACTTCTATAATGTGATACCACCCTCCATAATTGGCATAGTGCCATATTACAGATTTCATCCCAAACATGCACCTCCATTCGCCGTTCTGCTGGGTGAAAGGACAGTGCAGAGAGGAGGGCTTTGTGTGGTCTCTGTATGGCAGGTCTTAGTCCAAAGCGACGGAGGGATTTGTGGAGAAGTCTAAGCCTGCAGCATTCATTACCATCCACTGGGCATTTTGCAGAAGGAGTACAAATGAATCAGCCTATGGCTTCTGCGGCCAAAACAGAATTAATGGCCTAGCCCTAGCTTGTAACAATGCTGATTGGCTTTCTGATCTTATTATAGGATCTGTGCAGTATCAAAAGCCCATATGCACAGCCAAGTAACAATTTGACTTCAAATGGCAGTGATTATTATACTACCTTTAAAGTTAAAATATCTGAAAATTATAAATTGAATAACAATAAATTCTAAACAATCTGTTTAATTTAATTTAATCAGTGAACATTTTTCAGGAGCTCCAGAAGCTAGAAAATAAATGCTGGAAAGAGAGTATTAAAATTATATTTTATGTTTTAATAAAGGAACACTTCATTAGGCAATAAATAACTAAGAAAGGGTTCACAGTCCCGATTTTGTTTTTAGCCATTACTTATATCTGTAATGAACAGCCGGGGGCAGGGCAGCAATAGAGTATAATATGAACGGATGTAACCAGCCAACATTCTAATTTAACTTTCAATTGTCTCCTGATAATTATATCTACTTTAATTGGATTCTTGAGGACAATTGGCATGGCCATTCCCCCAAATCATGCAGAAATGATTTAGTACTTCAGCCTACGGGTACCACAAGAGAAGGAGAGCAAATGTCTTACATAGACTGAAACTATACCTCTGAAAGTTTCTGAAGCAGCCAGTTCCCTCATTCTGTGTCAGGTGTCTAGAGATGTGAGTGAGTCAATCTTAAATTATGAAATGTGCAATTTGTGCAAATGAATGACAATTTTGTGCTTCTCAATGTTTATGACAAAGGCAATGACTATTCCAGTGGTTGCCATGGAGATTTCAAGAACTAGGAAGAAACAATTAGAAGGCTTATGAATAAGTCTTTAATTATCGCTCTTAATTGAGAAAGTTAGGCTATTGTTGCAGCAATGCTGCTATGGGTTGAGGAAGTCAAGAGCAAGTGACTATTTATGTGAATACCAATATTCATGTATTTGCTCTTAAAAAAGAAATCTTAATTCTGCTACCCTGGGTTAAATGTCCTTTGCCCTCCAGATTTTTCAGTCACTGGCCTGCATGGGACGAAGCTCCACTGTTTCGGACCTGTCGTAGCTATTCATACTGTAACAGTCCTGCTTTGAGGAATGTACCTAATTTGTGACAATTTGCGGTTGTTAGGAAAATAGTTTCTATTAAGGCTAGAATTTCTTTTCTCCTCACGTCCTTCAAATACGGTTCAGTGCTACTGATGTTGTCCATCAGCCGATCCCTCTTGCACCAGTGCTGGGACTAGCAATTGTCTCTGAAGCTTTTCTCGGGATCAGATAACTAGCATCATTCTATGCAATGGAGTTTCTTTTTTTATTAATGAAGACAAAAAAATCCTTATGGCAATTATTTTTTTATCAGAGAAAAATCACAGAAACTTAGTATTTAAGAAAATGTAGATATTTCAGTGTATACGTTTTCCTCTTGATGGGATTGGGAGAAATTGTGTTATATTTATTTCTTCCATCAGACAAAAAACAAGACTTCTTATCTGAGAGTGAAGTTTCTCCTGATATGGATTTCTTGGAAAATATGTCTTGTTGGTGGCACAATGAGCTTTATTGTATATCACATGAGTCTACTGAGCTGAAGGTAAAAATACTGTTGTGTAATAAGTCTTGTTCAGGGGGAAAAATTTGAAATATGAGTGAAAGCACAGAACCTGTATGTGTATTGACAAGTGAGGGATCATTTCTGTGAAAGAATATGTGTGTGTTTGTGTACACACACACACACACACACACACACACACCCCTTCATCTGGTAAGCCACTTTATGATCCAAAGTGTTTCAGTTCCTGTGATGAATGCTAAAATATTTTTTGTTAACCTAATTCTTTAAAGGGATGGTATAAGGAGCAACACAAATGCTATTTATTTTGTTCTATGTTCTCCCTGCATGCTCCCCTCTGAAAGACCTCTTGGGTGCCTGCCAGAACAAATAGGGGTGCCTCGTTGTGGGTGCATTGGAGATGCCAGTAAAATTAAAATCCAGCTCCTTATTGTTACTTAAATTGTGTTTTTCTAAATGCCTATATCGTTTGTTTGGCAAAACATGGGGAGTGTGAATCTGTAGCTGGTAACCAGCTGATATGGCTTCTTTTTCTTAGGATGAAAAAGTCAACAGTAAACATCTCTTATATTGTATGTAAGCTAGTCTGCTTTCCATTTCTAAAGATTTCATGTAAAAGTGTATTTTTGGCTTTTTATTTAAATCACACCTGATAATTAAATATTCAAATTATAGGTCATTCTACATATGAAAGCATGGCTCTATCTGTGATGGAAATAAGTAAACAAAATAGTAGCCTCTTTCATGTGATGAAGATATTGAAGGAAAATTGAGTGTGTAATTCTGCGCAAGATCCTGAATTAGAAATTGCTGCTGGACTAAAATAATATCTGGATACTCTCTCTTCTAATTGTAATTTGTTTACTGGTAGTTCCTTTATTTGTTTACTTATTTCTGCAACATCACAAGCACTCTGATGGTTTCTTTTAAAAAACATATAGTTGTATATATATCATCAACTTGAACAATATGATTCTGAAGAAAGCTGTTTCCTTAATATGTTATCATATTGTAAATATACATTTTTGTATTGAGTAACACAGCTGAGTTTAGATTCCAGACCTTATCTGTTATTTTAGCATATCATTGTCAATACAAATTGGCTGCATTTTGTAAAAATGTGAGCGCTCAGCAGTGACAACTGACCTCAATGCCATCCTTCTGTTAGACAAAATTCATAACTTCCCTGATATTCGGAGTAGTAATGAAAAGAATAACAGTGATAACAGGAGCACCAAATGCACACCCATCCTATAGTGGTCTTTGAAGAGATGTAATATTTCCACAATGAACGTTGCATGCTTCTGCAGTGTTTTGTTAAATTAACTTTTTCATTTTTGCCTTCCAATCCTCCAAGAAAAAGAAACCTTTCAAATTATTTCATCAACATCTGCAAGAATGTCCAAAACAAGAAAGGCTTTTAAATCAGTTCTCAGATGTCTATAAAATCCATGTTATGGTTTAGTGATTGTATACAGGATGTATCTTGAAAACCTATGTAAAATGTCTTGTTCAAAGGCTGTTAAACCCAGCCTTGCTAATAAATATTTAAAAATATACACCTACACACACACCCATCTCTTCTATCACTGAAATCTTGCACTGAATAAACAACAAAAAATGAATGGACCAAAAAAGAAGAGAAGTATCATGTCAGTTTTGGCTCTGTTGAAATAAGAGAACTCCAGAAGACCTTGGAGCCACTGTAGATTATTGTCTTCAGTAAAGGATTGGTTTTAAGTTCTTTAGTGCACCTGTTTGAAATGGCTGAGTAAGAAACAATAACACTAAACAATAACAGTCTATAGATTAATCAGAAATTGTAAAGGATTATTTCTGAGTCCCATTATTAAACAGGATTTTTTATTGTGCACTGAAATAGGAGCAATATTTTATTGCAACGATACTAAAATGCTGCACAGGTGGATATCAAGCAAGTGGACGGAGTTGTGAAATGCCAACAGGGCTTCTGCTCCTCCTGCCTGATGCCCACCTAGCATCACTTTTTAAAGGGGCTGATCCCCCCTGTGTAGGAGGGGGGGGAGACCAAAATCCTCCACCCAGGAAAGGTTTTGTGTCTTTTATCAGGATGAAAGCGGAATTCCTTTAAACCGAGGTCGGGCCGGGTTCCAGGGGCAGCGCTGCTGGCTCCCGGCAGGGGCTTGGAGGGAGGGAGGGAAACGGAAGGCGGGGGGGGGGGTTCCTGACACTCCGCAGGAGAGTTGTGCCGGGTTTTCCGGCAGATCAAAGGAGTTCAGGAACAAAACTAGACTTGCTTTTTAAAAGCCGGCATCTCCTCCGCCCGTTATTCGGTGAGTTTTGCCCCATTTTAAGACCTCTCTTGGCCGCAGCCCTGAGTCGCTTGTCATCTTTAATGACCGGAGATGGCCAAAGCGAACCGGGCTTCCCCCTCCCTCGTCGCAAAAAGGAGGATCGCGGGGACCCCCGTCGTAAAGGAGGAACCGGTCGCCCCGTCGTCCGAGTTTTGACCACGTGCCCGCCGAGAATGCTGCAGCGGTCGTTAACTGGTGAAAAAAAAAGATCCTAAGTCACTACTTCCACTTTGGTCAGTTACTAAACGAATGGCTGTAAGTCGAGCAGTAGCTCGACGATGGTCCAGCGAGGAAAGAAGGGTTTTGTGTATATAAGGCGGTGTCCCCAACCCAAGTGCTGAAAAAAAAAGGAAAAATGCTTTTTAGGCACGAATATGTTTTATTGCTCAGGGAAAAAGAAAACCGGGAGGGCAACGAGCCGACAGTCCCAAGAAGCGAAGCCCCGCAGCGCAGAGCGGCAGCAAAAGCACCGCCACTCTATGCTCCTCTTCAGGGGACGAGCGGCTTCCGTTGGCTTTCTCCGCACGGCTGCCGGGGCTCTCCGCTACAGTCCCCCGATGCCTTTGAAAGCGAACCTTCCCGTCATGGTCGACTTCCTGTCCGTTCTCAGCGTCCGTCCCCCAGTGTCGTTGGGAAAAACCACCTGTCCTTTATGGTCGACTTCCTGTCCGACTCCCTTAGTTATCCCCCAGCTTCCTTCAACAGGGAATTTTTCGACATGAGCGACTTCCTGCCCAATCTCCACGGCCGTCCCCCCGGTGATTTTGAAAAGAGACCTTCTCATCATGGTCGATTTCCTGTCCCTTCGCCTTAGCTGTCCCCCACTTCCTGTACATTTGCAGCATGGTCTCCTGTTTTTTCCGGTCCTCTTTTCTGCTCTACACTTCTGGAGCGCACGTCCACCGGACAGGCCGCAAGAATTGGGGGGAAAAAACAAGCCTGGGAGTGGTGAGCCAACTAAAAGCCGCAACAGGCAGTGGGAAATACGGTGGAAGATTGCGATTTGCCACGACTCTAAATATTACAGTTTTGGTGGGAAATAGCAGGATGGGACCTTTTGAAGGGCCTTCCCACGACCAGAAGTTTGCAATCTACCGGAAAGGGCCCTTTCTGGCGTGCCTGCCAGGTGATGCTTGTGGGCCGCATTTTCCAGATATTTAGGGACAAGGTAAGAATGCATTTCTTTTGCTGAGCTTTCACCATGAACTATTAGAGCAAAATGGACATCGCCAACGAACTCGGAGTGCTTGGGTATGGTTAGGAGAGCACTCACTTTTCTAGGCTGCCCTATCTATTTTTCCTGGTAAAATACATGGGAAAATCCCATTGGATTTTGGATTAGGGTTACGTCACCGTGAACTCCTAGAGCAAAATGGACATCGCCAACAAACTAGGGGTGCTTGGGTATTGTTAGGAGGGCACTGAATTTTTTAGGCTGCCCTATGTATGTTTCCTGGTAAAATACATGGGAAAATCCCATTGGAGGAAAATTCCACTTAGGGTTAGGGTTATGTCACCTTGAACTCCTAGAGCAAAATGGACATCGCCAACAAACTCGGAGTGCTTGGGTATGGTTAGGAGGGCACTGACTTTTCTAGGCTGCCCTATCTATGTTTCCTGGTAAAATGCATGGGAAAATCCCATTGGAGGAAAATTCCACTTAGGATTAGGGTTACGTCACCTTGAACTCCTAGAGCAAAATGGACATCGCCAACAATCTCGGAGTGCTTGGGTATGATTAGGAGGGCACTGACTTTTCTAGGCTGCCCTATCTATGTTTCCTGGTAAAATACATGGGAAAATCCTATTAGAGGAAAATTCCACTTAGGGTTAGGGTTACGTCACCGTGAACTCCTAGAGCAAAATGGACATCGCCAACAAACTTGGAGTGCTTGGGTATGATTAGGAGGGCACTGACTTTTCTACGCTGCCCTATCTATGTTTCCTGGTAAAATACATGGGAAAATCCCATTGGAGGAAAATTCCATTTAGAGTTAGGGTTACGTCACCGTGAACTCTTAGAGCAAAATGGACATCGCCAACAAACTAGGGGTGCTTGGGTATTGTTAGGAGGGCACTCACTTTTCTAGGCTGCCCTATCTATGTTTCCTGGTAAAATACATGGGAAAATCCCATTAGAAGAAAATTCCACTTAGGGTTAGGGTTACGTCACCGTGAACTCCTAGAGCAAAATGGACATCGCCAACAAACTCGGAGTGCTTGGGTATGGTTAGGAGGGCACTGACTTTTCTAGGCTGCCCTATCTATGTTTCCTGGTAAAATACATAGGAAAATCCCATTGGAGGAAAATTCCACTTAGAGTTAGGGTTACGTCACCGTGAACTCTTAGAGCAAAATGGACATCGCCAACAAACTAGGGGTGCTTGGGTATTGTTAGGAGGGCACTCACTTTTCTAGGCTGCCCTTTCTATGTTTCCTGGTAAAATACATGGGAATCTAAATACAATCATCATTCTATATAAACTTTCTCCAAAAACACAGATTTAAGCATTACTTTCTTTCCTAAACAAATCTAGACATTTAATTAAACAAATTATTTTCTCTTAGAAATATTAATAATAATATTTAAAAACCAAATTTAAGCATTACTTGAAACTTAAACAAATTATACTCCCTTCGAAACACAAATTTATTAGAATCCCCTCACTGAAATAAACAAATTATAATCCCTTCAAAACACAGGTTTAAACAATATTATCATTAAAGGTTTAAAACTTAAAACTGAAATATATTATTATCCCAAAACACATATTTAGACATTACATAAGACTTTTTCCAAAAACAATATAAGTTTTACTTCTCCCACAATCTCAATAGTAAACTTCTTGTCTAAAGTTCAGTTGCATCTACTATAAGCACAATCCATATCGGTCTCTCTTGCCCGCAAGCCTTTCTTATGATCCAACTTTCACAGCCATACATTGCAACTGGGCAAACCATGGCCTGGACTATACGCCCTTTTGTTGGCAGGGTGATGTCTCTGCTTTTTAGTACGCTGTCTAGATTTGCCATAGCTTTCCTTCCCAGGAGCAAGCGTCTTTTAATTTCTTGGCTGCAGTCCCCATCTGAGATGATCTTGGAGCCCAGAAAAATAAAATCTGTCACTACCTCCATTTCTTCCCCATCTATTTGCCAGGAATTGAGAGGGCCGGATGCCATGATTTTGGTTTTCTTAATGTTGAGTTTCAAGCCAACTTTTGCACTCTCCTTCTTCACCCGCATCAAGAGGCTCTTTAGTTCCTCTTCACTTTCTGCCATTAGAGTGGTATCATCTGCATATCTTAGGTTGTTGATATTTCTCCCGGCAATCTTAATTCCAACTTTTGTTTCATCTAGCCCTGCCTTTCTCATGATGTGCTCTGCATATAAGTTAAATAGGCAGGGCGACAGTATACAGCCTTGCCGGACTCCTTTTCCAATTTTGAACCCATCAGTGGTTCCGTGTCCAGTTCTCACTGTTGCTTCTTGACCCGCATATAGGTTTCTCAAGAGACAAATAAGATGGTCTGGTATTCCCATCTCTTTAAGAACTTGCCACAATTTGTTGTGATCCACACAATGAAAGGCTTTAGCGTAGTCAATGAAGCAGAAGTAGATGTTTTTCTGGAACTCCCTAGCTTTCTCCATGATCCAGTCGTATCGCACTTCCCTGTGTTACACCTTAAGAGGTTGCTCCTAAAAGTGCACCCCGCTCGCCCCCTTCAAGCAAACCCAGATGTTTTTATTCAAGCATAGTTTTGTTTGTCCTGCCCTTCTTTTTCTTTAAGGAGATCGTACGTATGTAGGTTTGTATTTAGGTTTGGTGTTTCTAAACTATATTTCTTAGAGATACCTATGTATTAATATAAGCGCAATATCAAATATCTATTTGAAATATTGTGTATTTTTATTACGAAACGATCAATCTAAAAATCAGTGTAGTTTATTTTGAAAAAGTATATAACCTATCGTTCCCTTATAGGTTTATCATTTAAAGGATGGATAAAAGGGATGAGACGTGAGAAGTTGCAACTAATGGCATTTATTAATTTGTTCGCCGTCCATCTAACTTTGTGGACCTTCGTCTATTAATAAGGTGTTAATACCGTTAATAAAGATAGAGAATACGGTCATTTTAAAATGCCATTAAAAAGGTTTATTTCTTTGGGTGGCCGCAATACCCATTTTTGCCCCGGAAGGGCACAGTTTTCTGTCCCATAGCTTTGGCTTGG